AGAGCGTGGCACTCTTTCTACACGAGGCATCGGATTTAACGTCCCCATTTTGATCGGACGTGGAGATGTTCTAAACGTTTTGTTTTGATACATCTTTGTTCTATGAAAATCTCATGATATTATATTTTAATGGATTATGTTGTGTTTACACAGATGTTTCTTCTGTGAAAATTATATAATTTGGTTCACAAATTTGAATTTTTGTGAACGGAGTTACACTTACCTCATAGGTTTACATAGTTGGATACTTTACGGTATTTGGTCATATCTCGCTCAAACGCTCAGCTGATCGTTTAAAGATCATCTACATCTATATCAGGTAAGCGCTTGAAACCTCAGTTTTTTTCCTGCGGAAATCCAACTGAATTCACCAAAAAAATTACTGAGGGGAGGAGCTGAGAATTATATCAGATAAGTGTAACTCCGTTCACAAAATCCAAATTTGTGAACCAAATTATATAAAATATCCACTACGTTACACTTACTTAATAGGTTTACATAAATGGATATATCAAGAATTCAAAGCAGTACTTTGTCCTGTGGATGGCAGTAATGTCTTGTTCAATTTATACATATCCACTGTACATTTTAAAAAACAATAAAATCTTTCCTCCTCTTCTCCATATAAATAACATCGTTTATTTACACTAATATTAAAATGAAAATTCTGTAGTTCAATTATTCATACAGATTTCTAGTCTTTAATTTATCATTTTAATTTGTAAAACTTCGATCGCATCTCGTCAGAAATGGGGATTTCAATATATACATATATCTACATAAATTTTTTAATGTTTTTTTATATATATTTTTCTTTTTCTTTTTTCTTCTCAAACAATTAAGATAAAAATCTTGGTTCTGTGTTCAAATAAAACTTTTTAAAAGTAGATTCTCTGATCCAGTGTGCTGTCTCCATGATAGATTTCATAGACGAGCCCTTAAACAGGGCCGATGAAGGTCCAATAGCTCTGGTACTATGAGCTTTACTAGACTTTTTCTTGTCATTATATGCTATCTGAATAGTTTGAACAATCCGAATAGAAATTGTCTGGCTAGAAACCGGGCTATGCGGACTATTTACACTTGAAAATATTTTACTGTCACTTCTGTCACAATCACGGAAATCCTCTATCATTATCATGTAATACCTCAATGTCCCCTTCGGATTCAATAATTTGTTGTCCTTAAAACTTGGAACAATATTTTGGAACCAACACGTCCAGGACGATTCTGTTTTGAAAGACCTTCTCTTATGAAAAATACACCAGTACTATGCACACTGATAATATCTAAATCTTGAATTGAATACACCTTTTAAAAGTCTTATGTATGGATGTTGGCCTACAGGAATTTTTTCTATAGGTGGTAAAACTGTAGATAACATGGACCTGTATACTGCTATTGTTATATATTGAAGTCCACTAGTAAACAGACTTGTCAAAAAATCTGTCACATCTGTTAAAGAGGCATTATAGGGATCAATTTCCCTTTCATTACACCAGCTATAGAAATCTTTGAATTTGCCAGAGAAATCTTTTTGAGTTCGTGCTCTCCTTGAGGCAGATAGTAATTGTCCGGTGTCTTTAGAAAAGCGTCTACTTTTAAAAAATCTGTTGATAGAGGTCATACAGTTAGGTTGAATATTTCTGGATTGAGATGATAAATCCTTGTTTTTGGCTGGTGAAAAAGATTGCTTTGAATTAGAATTTTTAAAGGGTAATCTACTATTAATTTAAACAGGTCTGGGTACCAGTGTCTTCTTGGCAAATGCGGTGCAATCATAAGAATTTGACACTTGTACTGAGACATGTGTTGTAGAATTTTTGAAATAAGGCATATTGGAGGGTATGCATACCCGAACAGATTCTGCCATGGAAATGCGTCCAGAGCATAGGCTTGATTGTGAGGAAAACACGTGCAAAAAATCTGAGTTTGTCTGAGAATTAATGCAAACAGATCTACTGAATTTGATCCTACCTTTTGAAATATTTTTTGCGCCATAGATTTTTCTAGTGTCTATTCTCTGTGTCTTATTTTTTCTCTCGTCGATAAATCCGCTAGAATGTTTGCTTTGCCCGCATTGTGGGCTGCTTTTAATCGAAACTGGTGATCGATTGCCAAATTCCATAGTTACCATTTTTTAGACAAAGAGTTACTGACTTGGTCCACCCTTGACGATTGATGTATTGTACAACTGTTGAGTTGTCGCAACGTATGAGAACATTCTTCCCTTTCAGCTGAGATAAGAAGTGTTTTATTGTTCATATCAATGCTTCCATTTCTAAGCAGTTGAAATCCAACCCACTGATGTAGAAGCATCCTTTGTCATGGTGGCATGGGTTTCCCAATGTTTCAATGATCTGCCCTTTGCTATGTTGGCTAAATTTAACCACCATTTCAGATGGCATTTTAGATGTGCAGTAATTGGGACTTTGAATTTAAATTCTGAGAAACCGGTTTCCAAAATTGTAACAGATGTATTTGTAATCTGGCATTGGGAATTATTTCTATGCAAGATGACATTATCCCTAAAAAGTGCAGAAAATCCCTGGCTTTTACTTGATCTTGATGGATCATTGTCTGGGCTTAAGTTATTAATTTGGATGTTCTCTCCGCTGTTGGCAAAACGATCCCCAGATCCAACTGAAACATTGCTCCTAAGTATGTTAATTGTTGCTATGGATTTAAAGTGGACGTTTTAAAGTTTAATATGAATCCTAGTTCGAAAAGGAGATTGAGTACTAATTTACGTTCTAATATTATTTGACTTTTTTTCTGATTCAGTCTAGATATACTACAAGTCTTATGCTCCTTGACCTTAAGTTGGCTGGTACTGCAGCAACAATTTTTGTAATACAATAGCAAGGTATTCCGATGAATGATTTGTGTGGAATTTGTTTTATCTCTCAGTTGATACGATATCTCTGAGCATGCATTTCCTTTTATGATTGGTGCTTACAAGGAAGTAATTACACCAGTAGTTCCAAGTGGTGGAGTTAAAATTATTCCTTCCAAACATTTACAGACATCATTACGAGTTGGTAGACTGTTATGTAATATCTGTTTCAGAGTTAACTACGGATATGTTCTATTGTCCTAACCACAATCCCGTTCTATTTTCCTAATATGTGACCTACGTTTCATCGGGTTTTGTACTTTCATGAGCAACGCGACGGGTGCCACATGTAGAGCAGGATCTGTTAACACATGCGTAGCACCTGATATCACTGGTTTATATGGGGTTCGTGTAGCTCAGCCTTAAGGTTTCTATATTACGTTTTGTGAACTGTTGTTCGTGTTTTTCCACGGCCCTGTCAATTTGTTTTTAACTTATGCATTTGACTATCCCTTTGGTATGTATCCTTCGCCTTTTAGAAACAAAATCAAATCTCATAAATGTAATATGTATGGCCACAAACTGAAATTTTGTACAGCATGAAAAATGGCAAAGAAGAGAATGCCAATTTAACCACTGTTTCAAACAGATTTAATGCACTTTCAACCTTATGCTCTGAATGCAATTTATTATCTTGTATATGTAAGTCCACATTTTCTATTTCACAAGAGTATGGAATTTCTAAAAGAAACAAAAAGGGGAGTGTTAATTATGTTGTCATCAAAGAAAAGGAGATTGGTAATTATTCATTCGACACAACTAAGAAAGTGTCTATTGTAAAACTTAATGTATTAATGATGCATTAATTAATTCAAATAATGTTGTCACTTTGTGTTATGTTTGATAATGATTCTAATGTTATCATAGCATGTGATTTATTGTATCGACTCCCTGAGGCCAATTTTCTAATTGATGTGAAATTATCTTATATCTATGTATTTACTTTAGCAATAGCTATTTGTATGTATTATCTAATCAATTTTGAAAACCATGCATTGACAAGGAAGCAAATTGATCCTGGTGATAATATTTTTGATACATATGGTTTTAGTAAATCTAAAGGTATCAGGATTTGTTCTCATAATGTTAATAGGATTGAAAGTAAATATGATGAAATCAAACACACACTTATGTTTTCAAATCTGACTGATCTTAGAAAATACTGTTGTGTAAACATTTTACTTTTTTATTCTTACAAAGATAAAAGTTGCAAATATGTATATTCAATGAATAAATGAAAAAAAAATATATATCCTTTACTTTAGTACAAATAAAACAATGCATGAAGTCCATCGTTTCAAATATGCGGCATTTATACTTTTCCGGCATTGAGTTTTGTCCGCAATTGTTCCAAGAGTACCTATCGCGTCGTCAAAGCGTTTGCTGATAATGGACGTAAAACGATATCAAACGGTACTCGATTAAAAAATTCAAAAGTCAGGGGTGTTACTGAAGATGGATTTACTGTATTGTACATGCTTTAAAACGACTGATATCCCTTTTAAAAGAATACTGCTATCCAAACACTGGTGTGTCTTTATATCAATGAAATATCATAGTGTCAAATGGAAATTTGTAAAAAAATCACATTTTTCATCGGATTTACCATAATACAGTATAGTTCCATCTTTGGATATCATTTTTGCAGATTATATACATTCAAACGACTTCATTAATAATTTGTTTCACATTCAAAGATTCAACACGCTGGACTTTTGAGTTGAAAATGAAATATACGACCTTCAGTGGCGACTCAGGTCACGTGACTACTTTCACTTTCGATATGAAAAACCCATTCAAGAGTGAATATAGGTCTTAATGTTTCATTTTACGATCTCTGTTTTCCTGAATTTTTTGCCATTTATTATATGCACTTCCATAAAACATGCATGTTAACGTATTTTTCTAGGTAAAGTGCCTTAATATCACTGCGTCGCACTTACACATGTTTGTTTAGCCCTTGGCAATAAGTAGATCTCATCATGAAATATTACCAGATGAGGCTGCGTAGGATTTGAAAGGTTGAATGGTGGTGAAAATTTCACGTGGTTAGCTGTTGTTGATTCAGAAATACATGCCCCCGCTGGCAAATTTTCAAACTGCATTATCTCTAAAACAACAAAAGATATATCATCTGCTGAATGAAAAATGATCTGCAGTTGAAGTACAACTCTGTGACACAAAAATGGGACAATTGCAAAGTTCATCAAGGTCACAATGAATAATCAAATATACGATGCAATACCAAACTTGAGAACCGAAAGTCGTAGAGACATTGGACTATATCATTCAACTCAGGACCATATGACCTTTCCAATGTCACAAGGTCAAGTTTAAATTTCATCTTGACGTTGACCTCAAATTAAAGGTCTTGAAATACTGATCATTTATAAACATAACTATCTGTTCCTGTACATGTTGGCATTTTCAAATCCATTCTATATAATATACTAGATTATGGAGTGTGTGTCCGAGCGAGAACTTCTCTAGTTCATTACTTTAGGAATATTTATCAAAAAGTAGTATTTCAATATTCAGCCCCATTCTACTATTTAGTCAGACGTCAGTCGCTACCCTAATATACCCTTTCTTTTTCGGGTAATTAATATGGATAGCGTTTGACATCTTTAGCCGAACAGATGTATCATTTTTACATAATTTAATTCATTGTATGCTGGTTCATATTCTGCACGCCAGTCTTTGCTCCTTTCTAATATAATTCACAAACAAAAAACAAATATGAAGCTTAGAAATGGAAAAATATTAAATACTAAACTCGTTCAAAGGGTATCTACACGTCTCAATCTTCAAAATCGCTTATCTAAAAATACTACCATCGCTAACATTTTTAACAATAAAAATCGTGGTTACCCTTCTATCGATAAGTGTCATGCCAAAAAATGACTTACATGTCCCCGTCTTTCCACCAACAATACGGTAAGGTCCACGTTTAATGGTCGCACATTTTCATTAAATTTTGAAACTGATATAACTTGAAAAACAAACAGTATAATTTATTTACTCACATGAAACAAACCGGGATGCGGTATTCAGTACGTAGGTGAAACTGGACGATATTTATCTAAACGCACTCAAGAACATCTGTATCGTTTTAAAAGACCCAATAAATTCAAAAGTATCATTTATCAACACCTTAAGAAGCACAATCATCCTATTAAATATTTAGCAGTTCAACCTTTAGAAGTAGTAAATAAGCAGCCTGGTGAATCTCATTCAAAGTTTGTACGATCGCGGAAAATAATTGAATTAAATTGGATTAAAAAATTACAGACAGTCTACCCTCTCGGTCTTAATGATAATATCATGGGAATTGGTAATATATCAAGAACCGATTCTGTTAACATTTTGGATATAGTTTCTAAAATTGTTCGTAAAAACCGTTCTCATGGTCGTAGAAAAAATCGCAATCAAAGAAAATTTCGGACCAATCATACCAATATTTCGGACCTAATTTCTATTTCAAAAAACAACGGCAGACATTATCTGTTAACAAAGCTCTGTTCATTACCGGTTAATAAGTTAAATAAAATTTTAGAGGATTGCAACACAATTTCATATAGCAGTCCTAAGTATGAAATCGTTCAAATTATAATGGCATATTGTTATTCTAAACTGTTTCCCAAAATTGATCGCCCTGAAGATCATAAAAAACAGTTTATTAAAATAAAGTATGTCAATAAAGGTTTTGATTTTGTAAATATTGCCGGTATTTTTAACGACCATTCTGTTAAAGAACAAATTCCGGGATATTTTGATAATACTGAGCTCCCTCTTATTTGTTATATTTACAAGAAATCTACCTGGAAATTTGTGTTTAATTATAGCCAATTGTGTAAAGATGTTAATATCAGTGAAAATACACCTACTTCATGTAATTGCAGTAATTCCGAATACATTTATGGACCCATTTCCCATGTTATAACAGGATATCTTAACATCGTTCAAGACCGAGAGTTAAAATCATTCCTCAGTAAAGGACCTAAATATCGTCCCCCGTCAATTATTAATTGGAATGAGTGTCGTAATATCATCCACGACTCACTCCATACTTACTGTTTGAAATGGATAAAACGGGAAAAAGCTGACAAAAAATCTTTGGACTCTTTTTTTAAATCAGTAATGAACATAGTTGATACACGTATTCAACATTTTAAAGAACATTTTACTCTTAACAATAACCACAATAAACCTATTTCTCGTATTAAACATAAACTAAAAGAACTAGCCAAGGAATTTGTTTTTGTCCCGGCCGATAAAGCTGCTAATAATATTATTATTGTTTGACGTAAATTTTACATTGAGGTTCTGAAAAAAGAAATCACCAATTCACCAACATTCCAACTGACTCCATTTTCAGAAAACGACATCTGTAACAAACATAAACTTTTAGCTACCGCTTTACAAGCAGAACCAAATACAATGAAAGTCCCAACTATGTATTGGCTTCCGAAGCTACACAAAACACCTTACAAATATAGATTCATTTCGTCTTCAAGCCATTGTTCCACTACTAAATTGTCTATTCTTCTTACCAGTACACTTGGTACAATCAAAAACCTGATAATAAATTGTTCAAATAAGGCCTTCGAAAATAGTGGAATTAATTACTTTTGGAGTGTCAAGAACTCGTTGGAAGTACTTGATAAATTGCATGCATATATTGGTGATTTTGAATCTGTTCAAAGTTTTGATTTTTCTACCCTATATACCACATTGCCTCACATTCTCATTAAGAAAAAATTCACACACCTAATTAAATGGGCATTTAAAAAGTCAGAATGTGAATATATATGTTCAAACTCTTTTAGGTCATTTTTTAGTAGCAATAAACAAAAAAACTATGTCAATTGGACATGCTTTGATACTATATATGCCCTTGAATTTTTACTAGATAACATTTTTGTTCGCTTTGGAGATTCCGTATATCGTCAGGTTAACGGAATTCCAATGGGGACTAACTGTGCACCACTTATTGCGGACCTTTTTTTGTATTGCTATGAGTTACAATTTATGACAAAAATCAGTAAAGACCCATCGAAACAACATCTGATACACAAATTTAATAATACTTTTAGATATTTGGATGATATTTTGGCTCTCAATAATGACGACTTCAGTATGTATACTAAAGAAATTTATCCTGTTGAACTTACTTTAAATAAAGCTAATACTAACAATGACCACTGCCCTTTCCTCGATCTTGATATCTATATCATTAACGGAAAGCTTAATACTAAAATATATGATAAAAGAGATGATTTTTCATTTCCTATCGTTAATTATCCATTTTTAGATGGTGACGTTCCCTTGTCACCATCTTACGGTGTTTATATATCTCAACTTGTACGATTCGCTCGTGTATGTAACAATGTTTTAGATTTTAACGAGAGAAATTTATGTATTACTGAAAAATTATTACACCAGGGTTTTCGATATCACAAACTAGTCAAAACATTTACTAAATTTTATCATCGGTATAAGGACATCATTCGTAAATATAGCTCAACATGCAGACTTCTTATACGTTCAGGTATTTCACATCCAATTTTTTATGGAAATATTCTTTATAAAGCACAAAAATGTCAGTATTCACCTCTGAAACTAACAAAACCTTTAAATAGACTTATTAAGAAGGGATATAGTTACGATACTGTTGTCAGGTCATTAAAGATTGCATATTTTGGCGTTAATATTGATTCACTTATAGGGTCTTTGCATCGGCACTAAACACATTTATTTAAAAACCAGTTGTTGGCATGACACGGGTTATGTTCTTCTCATATATGTTATGATGGTATGATACTAAACCCCTAACGGGAAGGATTGTGCCTGATATTCATATGATGAAGACATAATCTTTCAATCAGTTTAATTGAAGTCTGGAGCTGGCATGTCAGTTAACTGCTAGTAGTCTGTTGTTATTTATGTATTATTGTCATTTTGTTTATTTTCTTTGGTTACATCTTCTGACATCAGACTCGGACTTCTCTTGAACTGAATTTTAATGTGCGTATTGTTATGCGTTTACTTTTCTACATTGGCTAGAGGTATAGGGGGAGGGTTGAGATCTCATAAACATGTTTAACCCCGCCGCATTTTTGCGCCTGTCCCAAGTCAGGAGCCTCTAGCCTTTGTTAGTCTTGTATTATTTTTAATTTTAGTTTCTTGTGTACAATTTGGAGTTAAGTATGGCGTTCATTATCACTGAACTAGTATATATATTTGTTTAGGGGCCAGCTGAAGGACGCCTCCGGGTGCGGGAATTTCTTGCTGCATTGAAGACCTGTTGGTGGCCTTCTGCTGTTGTCTGTTCTGTGGTCGGGTTGTTGTCACTTTGACACATTCCCCATTTCCATTCTCAATTTTATCTGTAATATTTTTTTTAAAGAAAATGCAAAGAAATGAAATCATTTCAGTGGGATATAACTCTCAAAGGGGATGATGAAATCCTACGCAGCCTCATATGGTATTTTTGTGTTAGTGTTGTACTTTAACTGCAGATCATTTTTCATTCAGCAGAATAGAGATATCTGTTGTTGTTTTAGAGATAATGCAGTCTGACATTTTGAGAGCGGGGGCATGTTTTTTCTGAATGAACAACAGCTAGTCACCTGAAACTTTCAGAAATAGAAGAGTTTAACATGGTTATATGTCTGACTAATTACCAAAACAAAATTCAATGAAAAAAAAGCAATTTGAAATTTTAATGTTTTGCATTGACTTTGTGAGTTTCATAAGTTCTATTTATACAATTGATGTTGCATCATTTTTTATTTACTTAGCCAAATGGAGTCATTTGGTATCAAATTGAACGTCTAAAAGAGCTCTATTAAAAAATTGAACATTTCAAACCTCTTTTCATCAAAGTGAGAAGAATGGGGTCATTTAGTGCAGAAATTAAAAATTCTAAGATAATTAGGTTGTCGCATATGAAAGGAAAGTCAAGAAAGCGAACATTACAAATATTAAAATAATGTAAAATGTGTTAGGTGAGGTCATTGAGGGCATAAAAATAAGTTGTATTCTAAGGTAAAGTTGTTGTATATCAAATGAAAGGTCATAATGTGTACATTTCAAATATCAAATTCCTGTCCTCCAAAACTGAGTTAGATGGGGTTATCTAGTGCAAAAAATCAAACTTTCTAGAAGATGGTGTTGTCGCATATCAAATGAAAGGTCATCAAGTTTACATTACAAATATCATACTTCCGGTCTCGAACATTAAGTGCGAAAAGGGAAAAGTTTAAGAATGTATGCTTGTAGCATATTTAATGAAAAGTCTAAAGAGTTACAAACAATTGAGCTACTAGATATTGAATGATAGTTTCCTATTTTTTGATAACCCTATATTGGTAAATTAAATTTTTAAATGCACATTCTCATTTATTTTTGAATGTTTTAATGAAATTAGAAATATAAAATATGACTTGAACAAAATGTATTCTATTTTCAAGTTTTAGATATTTTCAATACTGTCCTAAATCCTTTCATAACCACATACTGATCTACGAGGCTCGGTAAAGAGACTTATATACTCATTTTCCATACATATATGAACTCCTCTGACAATCTATACATTCAATCTTTTTATTCAAGAAAAATCATAAGAATAAAAGGCATGGCTTTTTTTTAAACTTCCAGAAATTCTCCAACTGTAGAGTAGAAGGACAACATTTGTCCAATAAGTTTGTTTATCAATTTCTTCTATGTAGGTAAGTTAAATAAGCAATATAAATCAATCATATAGTAAAATGTTATTACAAATGATCTGGTGTTTTGAAAGGACATTAATAGAACGAACGTAATAGGCATCATATGTCTATTTTCATGTTAAATAATCACAAATACAAAAATGGAAGCAGTAGCAATCACATTTAGTAAAAGTAAAATATTTAAGCCACAGTTAAGTTTTCTGTCTATGTCAAGCCATGTGATAAAGCCTTCATGTATTGAGTCCCGAACTCGAGTGCAACGCTGCTTAACATTTGTTTCCTGGAAATATCCAATCGGACTAAACATTATTTTAACTAAACATGAAGGCCTGTCTTCTATACTTCGCGATTGTAAATAAATACTTATTGCAACTATTAAGATTGTAATTCCGCTTACCAAAATCTGCAAACTGATGAGAAATGTGAGGTACGAAATTGTAAATGATGAGGAAGGCATGTTTTGAGCAATCAATGTAAGAAACACAATCATTGTCAAAAACTGTGACATACAGAATCCAAGTTTTTCGCCACATTCTGTTGGAATGACGCTGACCAATAAATTAAGTGCCATTAAAACCACAAATGGAAACGCTGTTGTAATCAAATGGTAAGACGATCGTCTTTTCAAAATTAAAGTATAATGTATACATGAATAAGCAGAAGCATAATCCCGGTACTGGAACGGATAGGCTGATAAATTAAGAATTTCCCATTCTCCATTTTCAACAAAGTGTACTTCCGACGTTTCTATTCCAGATCCAAATCTGTTAAGAACAAAGCTTGTGTTGTCATGATACCAGGCCTCCATTCGGATTTTACATGTCTGTGTATCAAAAGGATATTTTGAAACATCAACTGCACATGAGGTTTGCAATTCTTTTGCTGGAAACCATGTCATGTTTCCGTTTGATTTTACAATCACATACTCTTTATTATCTCCAGTACTAATACGCATGTCCCTTACATCATTTACAATATATAGTTCGGGAACCCATACATCACTGGCTTTAACTGTCAGTCTTGATATGTTCTTATATTCGAAGTAATGGTCCCATCTGAATATTTCATCTTTCCATGTAAAGTACCAGAAATATGACGCTCTCAGTAGTTGTGATTTATCCTCAAGTCCTTGTAGCGCCATTAAATATAGTTTGACATGTACCTGTAATGGGGGATTTGAGTTGTTTGAGTCCAGAACCGGAAGCAGTTCAGGGTTGTAATGTTCAGATAAATTATGTCTTAGCAATCGCTTTCTTTCGTAGTTTCCATTACAATAACTTACAGTTAACAAAACAATAACCAAAGTTTGGGGAAACATTTCATCAATAGTTCTCAGATGTAAAATACTGAACGCACACTTCTCACAACTTATCTGTATGATATTTGATTACTATGAAATTGTTTGTCTGGCAGATGAAACGGTGTTTATCAATTCATTAACATTTTGACTGCATCAACTTCATCATTTTGTTTCTAAATCTAATTTCCCTTGAGATTTCTATGTAATGAAGGCGAATATCGGGTTCCATCATATCCAAATCACAAGATGTGTCCATTGACATGATACACCTGCGTTAAATTTCATTTATCGACAATGCGTTGGTATTTACTGAGAATAAAATATCAACGTGACAAAAAAGATTACGACATTTACATAAATACAGAAAAAGATTATCAAGTATTTATTTCATTTACATAACATGCGTTCAATTTCTGTTTATATGGTCCTCTTGTGAATTAGTTTCCCGAAAACTGTCAATTTCTTTCAGGACTACATCATTAAAAATATATGCCATCAAATGACTTTTAATTTAGTCACAATAAGAACAGGAATATCATATTTGCGATAGAAGAAACGTTGATACCAGCATTCTGTGAAGTCGGTCAATAGAATTTTTCATAAAATAAAATGGATATCAGCGACAGCATCTTCTTTTGGTATATATATATTGTTTTCAATTTAGACTTGTTTTTATTTTTTCGTTTGGGCTTGTATTATATTTGCCTTCGGGTTTATATGATCCGTTTATCCTATTTTGACTCCTCAAAATTCAAGAGTCTATCATAAATTGAGGTAAATTGTATGGCTTTCGCAATACCGTTTCGATTCCTAACATCACTGAAGAGACATTAATTGTCGAAATCCGGATATGGTGTACAAAAACCTTTGCACCTTTTGTTTGCGGTATACCATCTTTTCCGCAAGTTTATTGGCAAATATAATGCAAGCCCAAACGAAAAAATATAAACAAGTCTAAATTGAAAACAACGTTCAAACCTATGATTGCGTTGAATAAAAACCGCAATTTTTATACGTGTGCATGCAAAACAAATTTCTTGTTAGAGGGGTCTAAATACAGCACAAACATCATTTTCCAAAAGACCAAAAAAGTGAAAAAGTATATTATAACAAAACGCATTTGACTAACAGGTCGAACAACAAATGTTCTTAAACCCTGCTGACTGCCATTGGCGATTGCCCAATAAACGGATCACCGATGTAATAAATGGATCTTAATTTAAAATTTAATACTAAACAGAAAACAATAAACTTGCGGAGAAGATGATGTACCGCAAACAAAAGGTGCAAAGGTTTTTGTACACCATATCCGGATTTCGACAAATAATGTCTCGTCAGTGATGTTAGGAATCGAAACGGTATTTGGAAAGCCCAACAATTTACCTAAATTTAGGATAGACTCTTGAATTTTGAGGAGTCAAAAAAGGATGAACGGATCATATAAACCCTAAGGCAAAAATAATGCAAGCTCAAACGAAAAAATATAAACAAGTCTTAATATATATATATATATATATAAATATCAGGTTCAAGCCCCGCTCGGTGAGGAATTAAAGAAACAGATCTACTCTAACATCGTTAGGTTGATTTTCTAGGCACTTTATATATATAAATATATATATATATATATATCTGAACACGTGAAAACTTTACGACAAATTCATCCATTGGAGAACAAGTGATCATTGATGGTAAAACACGGCTGAAATCATAATTACTTAAAATATCAACACAACAATGTTAAATAGAACTGCATTTTTTTTTAATAAGATCATTATTTAATAAATAAAATGGTGTGGTACTTGTTTACAAATTAGACAATTTTTCACCGAAAACCCAATGACATAGAAGTTAGCAACTGAACTGGCTAATTTGATAAGGTCAGAATATTAATTTCCAACATATAGGCAGCCAGATTATATATTTTCACTCAGACCAGCGCCAGAATACTTATTTTCAGTCCATCCTTCTATTAAAGTGAGTTAAATAAAATTTGATATAATCAATGATTTTTTTTTCTAAGGGGCGCCCTAATTTTTTAAGTTTTGCCGGTAATACATAATATGTACTGTTTTCATCACTGATTGAAGATGAATATAATCAGAATAATGGACCCATTTGTCTAATTTATAAATGTGACCATTTTAAAATTTCTATTACATCTAGTCAAATAGTTAGTTTTCTTTACTGGTTGAATAATATACCAATATTGGACAAGTATTTATATGATGAAATAAATTGAATTTAAAAAATGGAAATGGGAAAAATATTTTGGGTTAACGTTAGTACGCCATCTGATCAACTGAAACCACAAAAGAGAATCTGATGTCAGTCTGTAGAATGTAACAAGACCGGAGTCTAAAGAATACAACAAGTTCTAACCCGTGGTGTGAATAAATAAAAGAAGATTTGATTTCCTTGTCTGAAACAATGCAAGTTTTCTTGTTTTGAACATTTCAACTTTCACTGGCGCTAGTTATTTTGTCGGTCTCGTACAGTACGTCCATCTATTTATAAATACCTTTTTCACAAAATATGTATGGTAAATTGTTTGAGAAAAATCCGGTGAAAATATGAATGATCTCGAGTGATAATATTTTTTACTTCAATCATGAATGCCGAAGTGCTATTTATCAAGGACATTTGAACTTTAAATAGACCACTCGGTACAATATACAGTACAAAGTCGAGTAAATATTGAACTATTCAAAAATAAAATACGGTAAAATAAATTAAATTTAGATAGATTTAAGAATATTTTTGTTTTTCCATAGCTGCAAAAGATGCGTGAAATGTTCATTATATTTTTTTTTTTTTTTTTTTATATGTATAGAAATCAAAATGGTCAATACGGCAATATTAATAATTTTGCAAGAAAAAAAATGTAGCCCAAAATAAAAGCTCAAAATAAGTGTGTGAAATAAGCCATCGGGAAAAAATTAAGCAGTTTAATATGGGGATAAATTTGACAAGTATGTATATTCGGATTTTCCCGCTAGGTTTACAGTATATCATGTATATTGACCGTTATTATGAAGTAATGTGATTCGTAAAACTACGCGTATTGCAGACAACCTTGTGTGCATGAATGATTTCACACCTAACTAATTAAAAAAAATTAAAAAGTTGTTATTTAGATAATATTGAAAATTGTTAAAGATACATTTGGGGTAACCTTTTTCGATTTATCTGTAAGTAGTTTTAAATGCGAATAAAACGTCCTGAGTGAAATTGCAGGTATCTAGTGCTGGTTCCGATTTTGTTCGAAGAGATGAGAGGTGAGGTATTGTTAAATAATTATATAAATTTAGCACATTCACTAAATAAGCGGGGAATACCAAAATGTTCAGCGGCAAATATTTCAAAATACTATTTTTTTTAAAATCAATTTCTATCTTAAGGTAATATATGAAATGGTGTGATAGTTGTGTCTCTTTGTCACAACCTTAATTATATTGCACACATTAAAATTGTTTTACAAATAATTTAACCTATCCCTGACTGTCAGAAATTTTGTATCGGTGACTTTTAAGTCTTAATGACTATCAATGTTTGGAAGTTGCTACACTTATTAATTAGCTATGAATATATAATGGTTGTAGCAATCATATTTTTACTGTTACAACCTTTTCAGCGTTTAAACAGTTTATTTATGACTGTTTCAACGTTTTCCGTGTTGGGACAGTTGTTAAATAACTGTTACAACTTTCAAATGATTGGAGCAGTCTTATTGTGACTGTGACAACCTTTTAGGCGTTTAATCAGTTTATTTATGACTGTTGCAACGTTTTTCGAGTTGGGACAGTTGTAAATCAACTGTTACAACTTTGAAATAGTTGTATCAGTCTTTTAATGACTGTGACAGTTATTTCTAGCGTTGTTGCAGTCGATTTATGTTATAGACAAACACTTTCAAAGTTGGGACATTTACAAAATAACTGCAGCAGTGAAATTTAACAACTGTTACAACTTTAACAAACATTATCAGTCTTAGAACGACTGTTACTGGTATAGACATTTGTTTTTTCGTCCATTAGTGTAAGCAGGAGGTTTAGCTAGCCATAAAACGAGGCTCAATCCATCATGTTTTCTTAAAATGTCCTCTACCAAGACAGGAATATTGCAGTTGTTATCAAATAGTCCGTTTCTATGTATTTTGGCGTTTGTTTTTGTTGTAGTTCAGTGTTTCTGTTGTTCCGTGGTTTTCCTCTTATAGTTGATGCGTTTTCTTCGGTGTAAAATTGTACCCTAGATTTGTTTTCGCTTAATCAATTTATGACTATTGAACAGCGGTATACTAATATTGCTTATGTAATTAGCAAAGATCTTTGAACTGATTGACCATCCGAATAAACATTTCGCTTTGTAGGCTATTTAAGTTATTGTAAGTTGATATTAAAAAAATATCCAAAGATCTTTTAAAGAACATACAATCTAAGATTCTTTCCTCTTGCGATAGTATTAAAATATTTGTCTTTTCTACACATCACACAAGTATATCTTATTTAAAAAAAAAATAAACAAAAAAAAAAACAAAAAAACATTTCTCATTTCAACCTAAAAGACAAATTCAAAGAGTTGGTCTTGCTTTGTTTCAGAAAGACGAATGGCCCACGTAGATACAATGTTCTTGGGAGGGATAAATCGTACTTTGCAAAAAATCACTCTGATTCAAACAAAAAAATTCTCTGACACTGACATTATCAATATGTTTGATTTCTTGATTGACAACATATTTATCACGTTTGGAGGACGTAGTTTTGAACAAACAATCGGTACCAACTGTGGTCCTCTTCTTGTCGACTTGTTCCTGTATTCTTATGAGGCTGACATCTTACATGAACTTTTAAGGAAGAAAACACAGAATTTAGCAGTATCCTTTAACCCCACTTTCCGCTATATAGATGATGTTCTTTCACTATATAATTTAAATTTGGTGATAATGTTGACCACATCTATCTAATCAAACTTAGGATGAATGATACAACAGATGCAGGTAAGTCTGCCTCACATATTGACTTACATTTATTTGTTGACAACGATTGTCGGTTAGAAATAAAACTTTACGACAAAAGGGATGATTTTAGCTTCCCAATTGTTAACTTCCCATTTCTATGCAGCAACATTTCAGCAGCACCTGCATACGGAAAATATATCTCCCAGTAGATACGATATTCCCGGGGTTGCTAGAGTGGTGATACTCACAAGGAAACTTTTAGCCATGAGTTCTACGTGGTGAAGTTGAAATCGTTCCTCCGTAATTTTAAGGACGTCATCACAAGTTGATGTACTGTTATGAAATATTCGTTTCACAGATAACAACGGATATGTTCCTATAGTCGTAAAGTACTACAATTCCGTCCCATTTCCCCCAATTGTTAGCTACCAAATTAAACTTATCAACGGGTTTGTACTTACACGAGCAACATGACGGTTGCCACATTCGGAGCAGGATATGTTTATTCTTCCGGAACACCTAAGAACAGTCTTTAGTTTTCTATGTTGAGTTTTGTGGACTGTTTTCGTCTTTTCTTTTTTGCCATGGCGTTGTCAGTGTATTTTCTTTTTGTGAGTTTGAATGTACCTTTGGTATCCTACCCTCTCTTTATGTATATTTCACCACTAGCACTGATTATGGAAATGTTGGGCACTCAGAAACATATTTAACCCTGCCTCATTCTGAATGTGCAATGTTTTCTGTTTGTCTCATATGCTTTTTCTTTTATTGTCTAAACGTAAACCAGGCCATTGGGTTTTTGTTTGAATAAATAAATGTTGGGATGTCTGGGAATTCTATAGCCTACTATATGTAAAGGTTTTGCATATCATTAAAGGCCGTACGGTGACCTATACAGTGAAGAACATACACACTTTTGATATCTCTCGCGGATATTGGTCTCATTGGCAATCATCCAACAACTTTTTCAAAAGGGGAATTAAAGGTAGGTTGAATTTTGTCATGATAAGGTAAAGTTTTGACATGAAATAACTTCCCCTTTATTTGAACTAAAGACAAAGTAGCCATGGATGCTTTACAATGCAGAATTTAACATAAGAAGCAATGGGGCGATGAATTAGTGGTTTTTATTCCTTATGATATATCGGTTTCACAGATGACGACGGATATGATCTATTTGTGGTAACTACAATATCGCCCCCTTCCCCCTGATGTGACCTACCGAATTACAAATATCACCGGGTCTGTACTTACCTTAGCTATACGACGGGTGCCACATGTGGAGCATAATCTGTCAACCCTTCCGGAGCACCTGATAACACCCCAAGTTTGTGTAGGTTTCATGTTGCTCAGTCTTTGGTTTTCTTTATTGTTTTGTTTTTCTGTTTGTCTTTTTGTTTAGCCATGGTGTTGTCAGTTTATTTTCGACTTATGAGTTTGAATGTTCCTTTGGTATAAATGGCCTCTCTTAACATTCTGTCCTCCAGTCGCGTATTTTGTCTACAAAAGACTCACCAGTGACACTCGAATCCAAACAGTTAAAGTGTGAAATATATGGCAAAGTAGGAGAGCATTGAGGACACAACATTCCTAAGGATTTTGCAAAATACTGGTAAGGTTATCTATTTGAGATGAGAAAATCCTACGTATTTCGAACAATTCTAACAGGTGTAAACGGTTAATTTATTAATATGACCATATCAATGATATGTAATGTCATTACAGAAGTGCTAACAACCTTTGAAGCTTCGTGTACATTTCGGTTCGGCTTGCGGTATAGTTTCATTGAAGTATCTGTTAAGTTTGGTTCGAATGAGTTAAATGCCGATCAGCATCCAGAAAGCAAAAAAAGTCTTCAAAACTACTGTTTCTTTTTATTAATGAGTACTAGTAAATGAAAATGTGAAGTATTTAAGGTCGATGAGAAAGCAACCCGAATGACCCAAAATTCAAAAGACATATTTTTAGATTAGAAAGGACATTCTAAACCATATCAATGAATCTGTGATTTCTTCAATATTCTTTTAAAGTTAATCGCTATTGGTATATTTTTGAATACTATTGATTACATTATGATTCTCACATTTGTTTGTTGTCTCGTTACAAAATCAATGTCCGAGTAGTCTATTGTTTCTATCTTAAATAAATTTGAGGTTCACAGTTATTCTTCTGACACTCCAAAAAGCTGCCTTGATACTTCAAATAATTGTAAGAAAGGATAAAAATGGTGTTTACATGTTCTTTTATAAATCTCTCCATTCGTACGACAAATAAAACGTTAAGAAATTCAACAGAAGATATGTTAAATTATCTGTCACTTTTTATTTCCCTTTGTTGAACACTTTTAAATTTTCTGATTTACCTTTCAATGTTAAATATTTGTGTATATACCTTTAATTATGTGTATGATAAAAATCTATGACAGGTCGTTTAAACTAAAATTATAACTGTTATGATAATTAAAAAAAATTGTTGTTATTAGATCAAATCTTTTCTAAAGTTAATAGAAACAAGCACATTGAAACATTGCAACGTATGAAACCATGATTCAATTTATAAAGTCAAGTTATTTTTAGATAAGGTGGTTACGCCAAATAATAGAAATTAATTGAGAATCGTAAATGACTACATTATACATGTGAAAATGTATGTAAGAATAATTAAATTGTGATAATATTTTATGACAAACGTCACATGAACGTTTGCAAAGTTTCTTTTTTTAATCTATTTGTAAGCATTTGGACCTAGGCGAATTTATATGCAAATACTACTCCGTTGATATTTTTGTAACTATCAAAGACCACCTTTTACATAAAGTAGCTGCTTAAACATTTATATTTGAACCCTAACATTATCGATTTTTTTTTATTACAGTATTTTTATATTTGTGGCAACGAAGTCAAACGTGTGTACATATTTCCCATTACTGCGAAAGCATTTGCACATGGTTCTATTCATGAATGCATTGTTTCTCTAACATTTGGTATTATTGCATGCAAAGATATGGCAACTAAAATCTTTTCATATTTCCGTATTTTGTTTAAATAAATAAAAAAGCATGCCCGAATAGTATTTTAAGTTTACTTATTAAATGTTCATAATATACCCTGACAGAGGTGATATTGGATAAAAAGTGACAAATTTGTATATAAGCATTGTTCAATCATTGTAAATACTAGTAATCAGAACAAAACTTTGATTGGTAGCATAAATGCGATAAGTTATCATGATATAAAATTATTTTGTTCCATTTTCCGTTTGTTACTTCCAACTTGATATTTCTCACTTCCAACATGACACTTCAAATTTGCCTTTGTCAGTTTCAACTTGACATTTCTTGCTTTTAACGTGGAAGTAAAAAAACTTATACCTTGAACTGAAAAAATTTAAGTAGTGTACTGGGTATAACCGCTTATATCTGTGAACTATGTACAAATTTTAATAAAAAAAAAAGAAAGAACAATGTGTATCGATCCATGTCATAAAATCACTTCTTTTCACGCAAATCTAAAAAGTAAAAGCACAGTATTGTTGTTGTCGATGTGAATCGCATCACACTTAAACATGTTGAAGTTTCAGTATTAAACAAACACTCGAATACTACTGATTCTACTGACAAAATAATAATTATTCAAAACTCTCCAGGTGCCAACAATATAATTTTGATAACTTATGTCAATATTATTCTAACCTAGATTTATATAATGGTAAATGTAAAAATATAGGTTATCTAGTAGATAGAAAACCTAAACTTGCTTTTTATCTTGATCTACGAAATTGGCATTTTTAATCATGAATTGTAAGGGAAATGAATATGTTCAAAGCAATTTGACTATTGACATAGAATAGATCGATAATGATGAAGTCAGTCAATATATGAACTTTTCAATTCAAATCCTTAGTAAATATAAGGAGATATATGTTATAGATTGCCAATTAGACATCCGTCCACCTGAGACAAAATGACGTGGATATTACTTTGATAGAACAAACCTAAAATAAAGATAGAAATAATAATAATGATACACAGGAATACATTAACTTCGTTTTAAATACGGGAAAATTAGTAGCATATACATTTATCTTTGATAGTTATATGTGTAATCTTTATAAGAACTTTAAATATGTATGTTGAAAATAGTCGACACATCATTGATTTGTATATAGATTTTTTCAATGTTATACAGGATAAATTTAAACCATCTTGAACATATGTTTTAACATGCTCTAATACTAGTAACATATACATGGTTATAATGGTTAGATTGACATACGGAGTTCACAAAAAGTGAGTAAAAGATTTTCCGTTTTACAGTTGTTAATACTTACACAATTACTTAATAACACACATGTTTCTCTGTATAACTTAGTGCATCAGTTTGGTGTGTACAGGACACTACTTATCGTGTATAGGTTTGTATCGTGTATAATAAAAAGTTGGTTTGCATTAAAAAATAATTTACAAATCGGATATAGAGTTAATGACACTCAGATTTAAGAACCCTCAGTATTCAAAATTTATAATTCTTTATGAATTCGCACGAATTTGTACTTTGTTTTCAAAGTGCATGTAGTGCGTTCAAATGGTTTTATAAAAAATGAAAACAAAACATTTAATAATTTCAGGCGTCCGACGCACTTTTTCAGGATTTGCCTTCATCAGGAACGCTCAAAGCCGAATATTTGCAAGCCGAGAATGTAAAAGAACCGAAACAGTTGAACAGCTATGTGACAAAAAAAAATACCTAAAAAATAGCAAAATCCATCTAAGGTGAACTTTGCCTGAGGGAGTTAAAACCTTAGTTTCTTTATAATTTCAAAATTTATAAATGGACAATTTTAGAAAAGTTTCTTATAAATCATTTCAGTACCGAAGTACTGACTACTGACTACTGAGCTAATGATAACCTCGGGGACTGATAGTCCACAAGCAGAAGTATCGACCCAGTGCTGTAAAAAATTAAAACAACACGTTAATACTTTAATGCGTCCGAAACGGTTTTCTAAATTTACCCTAATCATGAACGTTCAAAGCCGTATAAGTGTTTTATCGTTTGAGATAATAATAATAATAAAAATTATATTTAACTATGATTATAACAATAGTAATTGCAAAAATGATAGCTATAATAACACTAATAATAATGATTACAAATTGACAAAAGCCATCTGGCGGAAATAAGTTATATAAGGTCTAATCAACATATTTGAAGAGTATTTTTGTTGTTGTTCTTTTATGTTCTTGTAGAGGTTTGTATTTGTTAAGTTTTTGTGGTGGCGTTATATCTTCCGAAAAATGACTTTAACGTCAGTTAGATCAACCAGAGATTTATTTCATTTTTATTTGTGTCTGGTCGCCTATTTTTGATAACGTGTGGCAAGTTAGACACTAGATTTCAAATTTTAAAACATGCAAAGTACCCTTAAATTTGTAAGAATAGTACATGCCTGATATGTTTAAAAGATGTGCTAATTTGACAAACAATTAGAATCTTGGTCAGTTTAAATGTCAATTTGATGTCATAATGACGTCATAGCATGCCATAATTAACAAATTTTACGTTTTAAGTGTGTTCGAAAAAAGTAAAATAACAAAAATACCGAACTTCAAGGAAAATTCAAATCGGAAAGTCCCTTATCAAATGGAGAAATCAAAAATAATAGCCAACCACTGACTAGATAAGCAATAGGTCTGTGTGTTAGAAATTTTGGAATCAGCATTTTTTTACGACGTTATAGAAAGCACATTTAGAGATTTTTCACGATATTCACTGAAAACAGACATACAGCGCATGTGTCGACATTACAGTTCGTTATATTATGTTTGTAATCAAAAATTGCATATCTGACTTGAATATTTAGTGTGTCGAACCCTGCGGTCTATGTTTCCAACGTATAAATATGTTGTACACGTTCAAATCCAGACGATTTTGTTAACTGTCACCAAATTTTCAATTGCTTGCCTATTGTTAGTGTACATTACAACCCTTTGTTAGAAATACTCGAGAAAAAAATATATTTCACTTTTTAACAATTCTTTTCATCAACTTGAAAAATTTCTAGTTGTGTAACGACAAACATATTATCGGGGCCAAATAGGTCCTTTTCCGAATTTAACTAAATAAATGACCATTTTAAAATTAGTTTTCGAACTGAATATGAACCACAGCCTTATCGAAAAATATATTTGATCTATAGTAGCATGTTTTTAATGGACTTCATCGAGTGTTGTGTCCTTTGTAAGTTAATGGGGTTATCTTTAACTTGTTTACCAACAGAATTATATGAAAAGTTCTATATTAAAACAAATTTAATCAAAACATTGGAATGTCATAATGACATTAAAAGTTAGAAATTGTATGGGATAATAAAAACATTTTTACACACGTTTCTTGTAGGTATGGTTTCAAACAACGACGTTAACGAATAAGATTTTGAAACAGTAATTTTTATGTATTTACATTTAAATCGGAGGTCGGAGGTATGAGTTTAAATGTCTCACACATATATTTGATTATAAAGCAGTTGTTGTATTTATAATTTGTATCTACATAGTATGTCAACTATTTACATTAAGTTTAAAATGACACACTAGGTTTACCCTATATTCTATCGTCTTTCAAATCTATTCATGTATGCATTTTGCGTTTTAAAAATTCAATATAATTTAAAGAACCGTTTATGTCAAAAAAAATATTCTTTTTGAAATACATTTAATCATGTAACCAATCCCAGTAATCACAGGTTGGACTGCTCCTTTAATTTTAAATTACAATTTTAAATCCAACATTCAAATAACTTCATATAGAATTAAATTGAAAACTTGTAGGAATATGTAACCAAAGAGTTAAACAGAATCGTAATTGAATTCAAAGGCCATATAAACAACAACATAGTTTAGATTAAATTAGTATGTCCAGTTTGTCGGAAAAAGTTAAAATAGATTCAACGTTTTCGAGTATTTCTATCTAAGAAAAAGAAAGTAAAGAAATTAAGCAAACTGTATTCATTTGAATTAGAAATTGATTAGATTTTTTTAGGAATATGTTTGTTTAGGAAACCTTCCTTCCAGAATTGTTTAACTTAAAATAAAAGTAAGCCCTCTATGAAACAAGATACGTTTTTGTTTTAAGAATGAATTACAATGAAGGGAAATCATTAAGACTATCTTTACGTACTGGATTATTGCATTTTCCATTTAATATCTCAGCTATTATTGCATGATCCTATAACAGATATGCAACAAATGAAAGTTACTTATTGTCACTTATTAGGAGAGTTGTCATGCTATAAAGTGGCTTATATAACATGTATACTAATGTCGTGTTCTAGCCTTGACATTTAGACTGGATTAGAATTTTGATTGCCGGTGGATGCAAGCATACTAGGAAATACCTACGTAGTTATAACCTTCTTCAGTATTTTCGCAGTTTATGTGAATGATATTGGTCGTTTTCTCATGTGTGTTTGCTTGAAAAAAGTAAAATAACAAAAATACTGAAAAAAAAAATCCTAAACGGAAGGTCCCTAAGCAAACGGCAAAATCAATAGCTCAAACACATCAAACGAATAGAAAACAACTGTCATATTCCTGACTTGGTACAGGTATTTTCGTATGTAGAAAATTGTTGATTAAACCTGGTTTTATAGCTATCTAAACCTCTCACTTGTGTGACAGTCGCATACAATTCCATTATATTAAATTGACAACGATGTGTAAACAAAAAACAAAAAAACAGACATGATAGGTGAAAAGGTCAAAAATAGGGGTACAGCAGTCAACATTGTGTTATAATCTTAATCACTACAAAAACAAACACATATTTCAACAAAGAAAAAAAAGGCATATACGCAAAGCACATTATCAAAAACGAAAAACAAGAATACAAAAATTTAGCATAGCGCAATAACACAATGACGGGATGTACAAGTACGGAGGCACGTCAAATGGACATTACCAAAAATAGACTCAACAGTAAAGTGATAATTTACAAAGACAAATAAAAGAATAGTATTACACCTTATTAAAATTGTAAACAACGTTAGTACCTTGCATCTATACTTCAAGACAATCGTGTTTGATTTGTGAAGTTGATACGGGATATTTATCCTATCACCAAGATCTTGGTATCTTAAATCCAGATTTGATATTTACATTACCAAGTTCCTCTCACTCTCCTTATTAAAAAGTAAATACGGACTGTGTGTTAAAAATTCATATTACTTACCGAATTAAATTGTTTAAATAATCCCAAAATATTCAATTTGTTTGACACATATCTATACTTCTTTATTGAAGTTGTTAGCTTTCCTTTTGACATTTTTTGTATTTTATTTTATAACTTGGATGTTATCATTTCGACATTTTCCCTTTTGAACTTTTTTTTAACAAATGTAAAAAAAAAAATTTTTTTAATAACCACATAGTTTGTGTCCTTTCAGGAATGACAGCTGTATATCCAACTTCTGAAAGTCCAAACAGTCTGTTAGACACGAATGGTCTTGAATCAGTTCAAGATGCAAGATCAGCAGCAAATTTATCTGACAACATTATACACGTGCAAGAATTTACAGAAGGACAAAATAATCAGATAATTGGGCAGATAGAAAATGAGTCCACTGATCACTCAGAAAATAATAGTTTACATTCTGTATGTTTGATACTGTAAATGCAGATTTTTTTTCTGAAATCGCTATAATATATCTTGCATTTTTTTCCTTTCTTCACAAATCGCAATAATAAATGTAAGCACTGATTTCTGAATCTACAGTACATTAAATCATACGGCAGTAAGTACTCAAAATGTAGATGTGCTATAAATGTCAATGGACTAGCTTTAAACCTGAGACAAAAGGACGTGAATGTAAGCAGCTATTAGACACCATTCGGCCTTCAACAATGAGTTAAACGCGTCCAGTATCATTATATTTAAAGCGGTTTAACTTTCGGAACAGTTGTAGAGGGAATAGGTCTGACAATTAAACTTGTTTTCATGTAGAATTATAAACTAAATTACATAAAAACATGTTTTCACTATAAGACTTGTAAATAAATTATTTGAATTTACATAAATAAGAAGAAATAGACGATCGTTTTCGCTTATTCGCTGCAGAAACCCCAAATAAGAAGATACTCCCAGAATGGGAACATTATTTAAAACATGAACTTCTTTATTGCAGTTAAATATACATTTACCTATAATTTTTAATAATACTCCTTATTTTCTTAAATATTAATCTTTGAACACGAGCATTATAAGACATGATAATTGTCGTATTCACAGGAGATTCAAGACGAACACAATTTGCCTGACAAAGAGTCAGTTGATCCGACCTTTAATGGTTCTGAATTTAGCATAGGACACAACGGAGGTATGCAAAAACAATTAATTTTTAATATAGGTTTTCAGTCCAAAAAACATCTGCAAAACTTTAGAACAATATAAAAAAATAATATCATGAATATGGAATCATTTGAAAGATACTTATTGTTTACAAACTAAGATCTAAATGCAAAGGCATTTGTTCTTCATGTTTTAAGTTATTTCAAATTAATCTGATATTTTTTTCTAATAAGAACTATTAAATTCACATTCTGCAAACAGGGTTGGAATTTCCTTGCATTTTCCTCATCATTTTCTGAAGTAAATTGGTGTTCAGTCAACAAATTTTAAAAGACGAGAAGTTTGCAAGTTAATCGTCAGAAATAAGTTAACTAACATGAGTTTAAAAGGGAAGTATTATGATATCACAATTGATGTACGTCAGAGTACGGAATGTAGGCGTAACCCTTTATAGCTTGCTGTTCGGTGTGAGCCAAGGCTCTGTGTTGAAGACCGTACTTTGACCTATAATGGTTACTTTAACAAATTGTGACTTGGATGGTGAGTTGTCTCATTGGCACTCATACCACATCTTCTTATATGTATAACAATAATGATATATCCATATCGTGATCACCAAAATTGAACGACGAAGACAGAAATGCGGACCGCGAAAAGGACGCCCAAATGAACTGCTGCGTAAACAAAGATTATTGTTACCTGAACATTAAATCAGAATAACAGGAAACAGTATATGTACAAATATGCACCTACATGTATATATATCTTGTATTTGTATAATAGTTGATTGATTGCAGAATTAACTTTTATATTCAAGAATGAATGACCGATCTATCTCTTTACTTTTTGCGATTTACATCAATATCAGATTACTAGTATATTACATAACTTCTAGATAGGTTCCCTGCGTAAAATATCCAGTATAGTATACCTTGGGAATAAACAAAAAATATTGATTGGTATGATATATTCATGACTTTTAACTTGAACGTTTTGGTTCCCGGATTGTCGAACGTCGACGTACGGTTCCGCTTGAAAAATAGCATAAAAAACGTCTTCAGATGTTCATGGAAACATATTTCACAGTCACCCATTCAGGGGGAAATATGCTTATATGCACGAAGAAAAATATATTGTCAACTGTTTTCCTCATTCCATTACATGTATGCAAGGAAACATGTTTTTACATTTTCTAATATCAATTCTTCCCGCAAATATGTCGTTAGATCGATCTTTTGACGGCACAACAATCAAATCTACGGGCTTTCAGGACAAAGACGGTAATTTTAGGAATTGAGGGTACAACGTTAGGCATGTTGTTTGAAATTTGTTTTTCACTTCACACCCCCCTTCTTTTCCCCGAGGTCGAGATTAGGTGAACCCTTCTAACGGGCACGTAGACCTTGCAATGAACCAACATACCAAATATAGTTACCTATAACTCATAATGAGTGAAAATTTCACAAAACAAAACAACAATTCTAATAACTTTTCAAGCATTCTCTGAACCATGAAAATGAGATCAAAGAAAAAGGACATATATCAAGAGGTAACTCTGTTACATAAAGTAATTATTTACAAATCATGATGCATCAAGGTCTTCTACCCACGGAAATATACAGCATGATGCAAATTGTTTTTGTTGTCCCTAGGTTGTAATTTCTATGCCTTGTTCTGCAGGCGAAACAAAACTAAGTCTTTAAGGTAAAGTTTGCTCTAAATTATCACAAAATATTTAACATAGGGAATCAATTTTGAAAAGCATATCATAACATGCATAACTTATACATCAACTTTTGTGGTTATTTTATCTAAAAAATGTTTCCCAATTTTATAATTTAATACACATGTAGTATTTGGAAACGAACAATAATAAATTAGAAAGATAAGGTGATGTAAGCAACTGTAGGTAACATTGATTGGCTCTTGGCTCGAATTATAAAATAAATGATTATCATATATTGAACATTTGTATTTTATATATATATATATATATATATATATATATATATATATATATATATACATGATCCTCATATAATTTGACTCCTCATATGCCCTTTAATTGGAATAAAAGATTCTGTTGTTTTTTTATTTATTTGACGCATCTACTGTGATGTCTAATGGCACATATTTCAGTTAACACATTTCAAATAAATCTAATATATCTGTAAGCATGTAAATTTGTATTACAAACATGAAAGGCCAAACATTTGAATATCACAGGGAAATGTCTACAAATTCCTAAACAAAATTTTGAAACATATTTTAACATGTAGAGGTACATTTTCAAAACGGGAATAATTATCGTACCAATTTCCACCGGAAGTGATTGTGCATGTTCTTTTTGAAATGTCACGTATCCCTTTTCTGGAGGTAGGAGGTCCTACAATTACACAGATAAACTAGAACCAATTCCTATACTCTTGTGTATTCCTTTGACGTTGTGGACATGTTTTCAAGACCAGTGCCTCTCAAATGCAACTTTGTTTGACCTTTTGAGTCCCCTGGTATCTGTTCCCCTTACGTTTTATACCATAAAAACAACAAAACAACTTGTACCAATCAATCTTCGGAAAAAAAAGTAAACTTCTTTCCTGTTTTCTTCAATTCGTGACTCAAAAGGAGAAACATTTTATTCTTGCTCACTTAATCAGCTTGCTAAATTGCTCAATTTATGCAGTTAGATTTGCGAGTTTGACACAAAAACAAGGGACCATCGGCCACTTCAAAAGCCTGCCCATCTTTGAACGATTAAATGTCGTCCTTTAAGTCATACCAAACACGTTGGGCGAGTTATGATCACCTAACTTTCCAAATTTGGAAAATTGAAGTTACTTCATTCACCTGTAAAATTGCTTTTTGTAATGCAGTAATTATTAAAGAGTAAAATTAGCCAATACAGGTTGTTGTTGTCAAACTTGTCAAATAATGGCCGGAGATGACTATATAACGTCATACTCACTGACATATTTACTACAATGTATGAAAATAGGCAAGGCATAGTATAATAAACATGTTTTTTCAAAGACAAATAATACAGCAACGGTGTAACTTAGAATATTACTAAATTAAACAGTGTACATGTACATCTGTTTGTGTCAAGTTAAGAAGAGAAAAGTCATCCACAATAAATAAATCTTTTGATTTATAATCTTTTCATTAGTTCTCATTCATATCGACTAATAAATACAACATGTGAAAAAAAAACAAGACACATGAACCGAACGAAAACTGGGTCGATTCTAGGTGTTACGGAAAGTAAACATGGTAAAACGGATCCTGCTCCATGTCTTGCATCTTTCGAGTTGTTCTAGAAAGTACACATTCAAGGAAAAGAGGACGCGATTGGAATATATCCGTGGTTATTTGTGGAAAAATGATAATTTGATAACGTTGAACCAAATCTTGATGGGGCCCGAAACATTTTACGAAGAGTTTACATTAACTTTATCACTTAAAATACTTAGTTTAAAAGCGTCATTGTAAGCAGCAACCCACTTTCAGGGAAAATCATGATGTGCGAAACGCAAGCATAGAACAATAAGAACTTATAACCTTTCATTATTATGTAATTCAAATGAAGGATTGAATAGTACTCTCTTTTGTAACGGTTGTTACCTCTTGAAGGACTCTCATCCAACATCAATGTTATATTTATAATGAATATTGGCACACTTAAGACACACGATGAGTTTCTGTATAATCTAATATACGAAATTAATGAACTCTAAGGAATATCAACATGAACAATACATTATATTTAGGACAAACATTTGTAAATGATTTCAGTTATCCGATTATACTTTTGCCGTATTAAAGTTCTTGCATACAATATACACTATCATTTTGTGTTTCTGCATCACAGTCAGTGAATGAAAGGAGATACTATACATCAATGTAATGACATTAATTGTTACCTCACTAGGTTACTTATCGACATCACACGTTGTTCAGTGTATCATCTCTCGTCATATGGGGAACATATTTCGTCTTATTGATTCTATATGTTTTAAACACATTTTATTGTTCGGATTGTAATGCTTCGTGCAACGATATCTGGAAAACATTTTTATTTAAATAAAGGGTGTAGCAGCCAGAGATAGACTGTAAATAAACCTGCTGAGTCCCCACGCGCATATGTATAATGTATGTCTTCGTAAATCTGCATAAATACGATCTTCATTATCAAGTTCCTTTGACCTTTCCTAGACATCATTTAAAGTATTGTCCGTATAATGAATATCAGTACAGTTACCTGCTTAATTCAATCATAATTCAGTTAGGACATATGACATATTTTTAACACAAAAGTTTCAAATTTTCAGAACGAAACAGTTGTAAAATAACTCAAGATGTAAAATTGGACACAGAGTTAGCAGACCTCACAATCGAGAAGTTATCAACAAACGAAGAAATCAATCTTAGATTCGGAAAGACAGTAAATCCTTCTCCTGAACCCTCAGAAAATGATCTTTTACAAGCTGTATGTTTTATATATTATTCCCTGTATACAAATAACACTTTTGTTTAATAAAAATAAAACGTAAAGTGTACAAGTGACCATGCCCGTAATTCCAAACATCATATACGAGATATAGATACCGAAAGAATACATAAAAACATTTACGTAAACTTGGTTCACAGCATTTGTAAATATTCTATTTGATTTTGGGTTCATATGTTTTCATTAATTTGAAGAAATCAGCAATCAGAACCTCACAATTTGGGACACCATATCGAGCAATGACGGACCTTTTGAAATTCGACATATACTTTGTCATTATTTCTATTTTGTATCTTGCAAAATATCTTTTCAAAAATGTATAAAACCATGTTTAATCCACCATTTTCTACATAAGAAAATGCCTGTCCCAAGTCAGGAATATGACAGTTGTTATCCATTCGTTTGATGTGTTTCAGGTTTTGATTTTGCCATTTGTTAAGGGACTTTCTGTTTTGAATTTTCCTCGGAGTTCGGTATTTTTGTGATTTTACTTTTTGCTTATTATTGTCAAATCGTAATGTTCAAACATTAATGAATATAATTATAGTATGGACAGGACATTCAGAATGACCCTTGTGTGAATGGACAGTTGTCAGTGTACTTAACCTTCTGTGGTAATGAAGTTCGCAGGGCATACGATGGAGGTATGAATTATTTTAGAAAGAAAAATATAGATATTATAATTTAATGACAATAAAAAACACATGCAAACAAACATAGAATCATAGAACATAGTATATATGTGGAATAATTTGGACTATCAATCACAGTTTGTGGTCTTTACTAAGCATCATATTTTTGATGAAAATACGCTGAATTTGCTCTTGTGTTATTTTAGTTTGTAGAATATTAAAAATGAATTCATTTTGCATTTTATCTGATTTGCAAATATATTTAGTAAATTCATGTATGATAACAGCAACAATAAAACTACCCAAAAGCATATTCCGTAAAAAATTATTGAACTTGCTATCTGTTTCTGAAAAATCACTATACTGAAGTCCCTGTAAGTGTAATAATTCATAAGACGCAAGTAGTTAATCAGTTAAAAGCTTGAATATCAGTTTACGTCAGTAGACAAGAGAAACAATCTAGGGAAAACATTAGATTAACGTCATAGAAGACAACAATAATGACATGATGCATTTTTTATTGAACAATACAGATATATATAATGTTATCCTACATAAACTGTGACGTAAACCATAACTTCAAAATTACTATTGACATAAAGTCATGACAATATGATATGAATGTGAACTCTGCTTAGTACTAGACCGACATTTCGAGCTGGATTTGGCAATTGCTAGGTTACGAGGTCACTGTTCACAGGAAGATTTTACTATACTCGGACGCCTTATGATATTCAGGCTCCAATAGACAGACTCGCCTAGCCTTTGCTCTCACTCCGTAAGGTCACATTCGTAGCAGAGAAGCAGTAGACATACATATTTAATGTTTTCAATTGACCCGATCATTATCTTCTAATCTCGAGGTGAGCCTGTTACCCCGAGATAAACAAAAAAGGACGACTGTTATTGTCAATTGGAAGGTTTTACGCTTCTCGGACACGTGACGGTATTCATGCCCCAAAAGAAAGAGTCACCTAGCACGTGCTCTCTCCTTAAGGCAACATTTTAACAGAGAAGCAGTAAAAATACATGTTTAATGTCTTCAGTTGACCCGATCGGGATCTCACCCGTTTTTTGCTAATCTCGTTGTGAGCCTGCTATCATGAGATAAAAATGCCGGCTGTAAAATCGTATGTATACATGTATACCTTTTATATCTAGGGAAATGAAAAAAATGTTATACGATAAACCAAAATGTTCTATGTTCATGGATTGATTGATTGTTTGATTGATTGATTTGTTGATTGATTGATTGATTGATTGCTACTTGTTTGCTTAATATTATGTTCCAATATGCACATAGATAAACGAATGGATATAGTATTGACATCAAAAACTATACATTTAAACTTTGCACCCCAATGTATATGGAAACAGGAACGTCACTTTGTAGTTAAATGTTCTTTGTTACTGAGTAATGTACAATATTATGTATGAAAGCTGCATAGCAAATGGTCTAAGAGAAGTAACACTTATCATTTTTCATTGTAATGAAGCATTGAAAATTGTTTAAACCTTCTAAAACCGCCGGATATGTAGTCAGATCGATTATTCAGTATAATATAGTCCACTGTACATTATAACAACAATCCTACCAGGAATGAAATTTGTATGTCACACAGTCTTATGGGAATGGCGTTTACAAGACTTTCTTGTGTAATTACTGTGTCAAATAGTAAAAACTGGATTAAGTGTCACCACTCTTATAGAAATTGTCAAATCAAATGACGATACAATATTGTGAACAACACATTATGGAGAACATCCAACCAAGTATAAAAGGTTTATGTCAAACAGAAGTTGCGTTCAGACGGTCTCATTTAACAATAATCTAAAGATGGTCAAAGTCCTATAGCTTCCCTAAATATCCAATGGTCTCAAAGGAGTGCCATTTACAAGATGTCAGGATAGTTCAAAAGTCAAAGTATAATAACTCGTAAAATTTTTGAATCAACAATACGATACAATGTAGTGTGTGATCAACCAATAAAATCACGCGTGAAAAGCTAATTTTGTCTGGCATTTACTATGAAAAATTATTATGATTTTTTATGTCTTCACTAAGTTTTTCTAAAATGTGACAGCTTTCTGTCGAATTATGTAAGAAGGGCTGCGCTCAGAGAGTTTCGTTGTGTTACAAAAGTAACAAAAAGGTTTAAATTCGAATAACAGCAGCCAAGATTGATTAATCAGACCGACGGTATAGTATACTCAACAGAAGTACCTAATATGTTTTTGAGATTTTTTTAAACTGACTTGTTTGCGTTTAGGATAAAGGACGGACGGACAGACTTACGGAGTGCCGTACATTTTTATTTAAACAATAAATGTATTCATTCAACTAGCTTATACAAATCATCACCGTGTAACAAAACTAACAAGATTGCTAAACTGTAGCGCAATGTCCAAAACGCTGTCTTCATGAGAGATACAATTCGGATTTCATTATATAGTGTATTGTTGATTTTTTGTTTTAGTTGATGCTTTTTGGTTTTTTTTTTTGCAATTTCAATCAAAGAGTCTAATATGAGTTGCGTTCACAAAGTGTAAATGCGGTAGGATAGTCAGAAGAATTAAAAGTCAAATAACTTCGGAGAAAATTATGAATTAGATGTTAATGTATTTTATATTGTACTCCATTTTTTTAAATGGTACCCACCTTCTTTTTGAACTGCTTTATTATGACAATTGGATAGAATAACTTGAATATTAGGAATGTATAATGGAAATTAAAAGTTGACTACAAAGACATTCAGAGATTAAAGAAACCACATCTACACTTTTTTCCGAATCATTTTATACAGATACAAATTTGACAAAAGCGCACATCTCAGTGCTAGAATCTATGACAAACGAGACGAAATCAATGTTCTGTTATTTAGAAATTGCTTGTACCAGATCAACTAGGAATATAACAGTTGTTGTCCATTCGCTCTGTTGGTTAATAAAAAAAGCGTTTAATTTTGTCAGGTTTTGTGGACTTCTCTCTTTTTTAATTTACCTTGGAGTTTGATATGTTTGTTAATACTTGTTTACATTATTTCATAGAAAAAATTAAAGTAGGACTTCGAGTTGTGAAACCTCATAGCTGGACCCCAAATAGTGAAAACAAGTATGGAGACGGTCGAGTAATTGGAACTATCGTAAATATAACTGATACAGGCCACATTATAGTTCAGTGGGACACATGTCTAGAAATCAACGAAGATTTTGAAATAGGAAATAATAACCAGTATGCATTACAGTTATACGATAATGCTCAAACAGGTATTAATTAATCATTTAATTCCAAATATAAATTCAACCGCCGTCAATCGAAATTCCCCTTCTAGATTTACCACTTTTTACAATTGTGTCAAAGGTGGCAATGCTGCTGCAACCAGATTTGTAAATAAAAATGCACGTGGATATCCACAAATATTCCCGTGCAATGCCAGAAAATGACTAACCTGATCTAGATGATCTTCTGATAATACTGTTAGGTCAACAGTGAACGGGAGAGCTTATTCGCTTTTCTTTTCCTGTGACATTACATGAAAAACTGAAAGCCTCATTTATCTGGTTACTTGACCAAATCCAAAGTGTGGTATACAATATGTTGGACAAACAGAACTGGAATTTTTTAGACGAACACAAGAACATCTTTACCGCTTCCGAAAACCTAGGAATTTCAAAAGTATAATTTACCAACATTTAGGTAAACACAACCACTCGAAACGATCCAGAAACAACAAGGGCAGTAGTTTAAACAATTTGAAGATTCCAGTAAAATTATCGAACTGTCTTGGATTAAACGACTACCGACAGCATATCTCCTTGGTCTAAATGACAATATGCTTGGACAAGGGAACATATCTTAAACTTCTTCTATTGATATCATGAATATTGTTGATAAAAGACAACGCAATAATAGATCCCATGACAAACGTATCAATCGAAATCAATGAATTAAACATCGTTTACATTGTACACTTGATGATCTCCTATCTATATATAAAAACAATGGTAGGCATCAATTATTATGTGAACTGGGTCAAATACCAATTTGTAAATTACATGATATTTTCAAAGAGTGTGACACAATTTGGTTTTTTATCTATGAATATTCGCCTATAATTACAGCTTTTTGCAACCATAGGCTGTTCCCGCGTATCAATAAACCTGAAGATCATAAACGACACTTTCCGAAAATTAAATATATTAACGGAGGTATTAATTTTATCAACTTATCGAGTATATTTAATGACTCTACCATTCAAAACTTTATACCTTCCTATTTTGATAACACAGAACCATCTATTATTTCGTACACATACAAAAAAAAACCCAGCAGAAGTTTAATTTTTAATTGTACGTCAGTAACATTAGACGTCAATGTAGAAAATAATACTCCTCTAACTGTCAATCGTCGAAATTTAGATATGACCCCTATGGCCATGTTACTACAGAGAGGTTAAAACTTTTTGAAAAAAGGACCAAAATTTCGCCCTCCATCTAAAAAAGATTTTGGAAACAGTGTCGTCATGTCATAAAAGACTTTCTTTCGTCGTATTGTAAAATTTGTTTTAAACCGGAAAAATCTGATAAAAAATATCTTGATTCTTTTTTAAATAAATGTATGAATGTTGTGGATATTAGAATCTCACATATGGAAAATAATTTAAAAATAAATACAAGAGTACATAAAACGCCTATTTCTAGAATACGAAAAAACCTTCCAGAACTTTCAAAGCGGTTTGTGTTTGTACCGGCCGACAAAGCAGCCAGCAATGTGGTGGTGGTATGCCGTAAATACTTCACTGACGTTCTTAAAAGTGAAGTTTTAGATGCATCTACATTCAAGTCCATGCGTTCCACAGAGAGTCATATAGTAAACAAACATATCATATCTACATCACAGCTTAAGGCCTCTTCTGAACATTTGAAGGTCCCTACTATGTACTACACAAAAACCAATAAGATATCGTTTCATCTCGGCTTCTAGTAAGTGTTCTACAACTAATTTTTCAGTGCATTTAACTAGTTCTTTAACTACTATCAAAGAACTCATCATTAACTTTTGTAAAAAAAATATATTAAAATAGGGGAACTAACTTTCTTTGGAGTTTAAAACATTCTTTGGATGTTTTAGACAAGATACATGCTTTTGATGGTCCTTTTGATTCTGTTGACAGTTTTGACTTTTCAACTCTTTACACTACACTTCCACACAATCTTATCAAACACAAGTTTTCCTATTTATTTAAATGGTCGATTGGTAAATCTGAATGCAAATATATTTATTGCAACTCATTTAAAGCCTTCTTCTCTAATGAGAAAGGTAAATATGCTAGATATACTTACTGGAGGTGTGATTATATGATGGAAACTGTTAGTTTTCTCCTTGATAATATTTATGTACGTTTCGGCAACACATGTATCGACAGGTTGTAGGTATTCCTGTGGGCACTAATTGCGTTCCTTTAATAGCAGACTTGTTCTTTTACTATTATGAATCACAGTGTAAGACCAAACTCAGTAAAGGCCCGTCTAAATTGCATTTGATTGATAAATTCAACAACACTTACTGTTATTTTGATGATATTTTTTCGTTAAATAATCAAGAATTTTCTAAATATACTGCCGAAATTTACCCAAAGGAACCTACTTTAAATAAATCAAGTATAAACGGTAATAACTGTCCTTTCCTAGATTTAGATATTTCAGTTTTACATGGGAAACTCCATACTAAAATTTACGACAAAAGGGACGATTTTTCTTCCTTTTTTGGATGGTTATGTTCCTTTGGCACCATCTTATGGTTGTTATATATCACAACTCGTTCGTTGTGCCTGTGTCTGTTGTGATGTTTTGGATTTTAATGAAAGTAATCCATGTATTAATGGAAAATTATTAAGTCAGGGCTTAAATTTACAAATTACGTAAAACCTTTACTAAATTGTTCCATAGATATAAAGATTTGGTTTTGAAGTTTGGTTGTCAAACGGGATAGCATATCATCATTTTTACGGAGATGTTGTTTACCGTGCCCGGAAATTTAGAAACTATCCTGGTAAACTTATCGACCCTTTAAATAAACTTATCATAAAAGTTTACCAATTCAACACTGTAATTAGATCTTTGAATATTGTTTTATTGGTACTACTGTTGATGTTGTTATCAGTAAATTAAAAGCAAACAATATAATTTATAATTGTTATATACATATGTATATTCATGGCTCTACAATATGTCGATACCTGTAACTTAGCATTGCACAAGGTTATGTTTTTCTCTGACTGTTTATGACGTCTTTACACTAAATCCATTGGATGTTGGATGTGCACTGATTGGTAATTTAGTCTTAGATGCATGATTTTCTTTTATTAGTTGTTATTGGCTTTGAACTAGCTGTCAGTAACTGCGAGTACTCTCAGAGCCTTTTTCAACTGATTTTTATAGTTTGTTCTTATGTTGTACTGTTACACCACTGTCCCAAGTTATGGGGAGGGTTGGGCGCTCGCTAACATGTTTAACCCCGCCACATTTTATATGTGCCTGTCCAAAGTCAGGAGCCTGTACTTGAGTGGTTGTTGCTTGTTGCTGTTGATCATATGCGTTGTTTGTTTATTGTTTGTACAGTTCTTATATTGTTTTGTTGCACCACTGTCCCAGAATTAGGGGGAGGGTTGGGCGCCCACTAACATGTTTAACCCAGCCACCTTCAGTATGTGCCTGTCCCAAGTCAGGAGCCTCTAATTCAGTGGTTGTCGTTTGTTGCTGTGTTACATATTTGTTTTTCGTTCATAATTCTGCGCATAAATTAGGCCGTTAGTTTTCTCGTTTGAATTGCTTTACATTTGTCATTTCTGCGCCTTTTATAGCTGACTATGCGGTATGGGCTTTTCTCATTGACGAAGGCCGTACGGTGACCTAAAAATGTTAATTTCTGTGTCATTCAGACTGACTTGCAGCATCTTACTATTGTACTAGTTGTAAATTTGTTGTCTTTCTGAATATCCATAAATCAATTACCACTCAAACTTAAACCAGTACAATCCAAGCAATACAGAACTTCAATTTAGTTGATGATCAACAATAACGAAAACGCAAAGAGTCACACTTCATACATCATGTATATGCAACTCGGCCACTATATCAAATAAATATTAACCGTTGCGAATTTGATAAAAATAATTAGTTTTCCTATTAGACCAGTGGTTGATAAGTGAACAAAACACTTTTTTGATTCCAAAATTCTCCCTGTATGTTTTACGGATTTGCCCTGTACATGTCGTACTAAAAGCAGCTCAGTTTTACCAGTTTTCGTACTTAACAAAAATCTATATTCTATGTTTGCTAGAACCTAGACCATGATATGCTAGCAGCGTACACTACTCAATTTACCTTTGTGAGAGACGACCTTCCATTTAAGAAAAGCATAATTTACCAAGCTTTCCATATTCAAACTGTACAATCAAGCCTCGCGATAAATCATGGGTGCCCAGTATTAAATCTTATTGAGCATTCTATTGTAGTTCAGATAAAGACTATTGTGACAAGTTGGTAGCATCACATGCTTATGCTTGATTCTAACATACTTTATCATAAGAACAGCAATATGTAAACTGCCTACACTTCAGTTAAAAAAGTATGTAATAGATATCAGGGATTTGATATTTTACCTTTAATTTTACTGCCTAATATTCTAATATTTGTTAAGATTTGTTGACATGACTTCATACTCTAAAATATAAGGCAATAATGTCACGTATCAGTGCAGCAACATTGCGTGTGCATGACATCCGCATCAAAATAATGACCAAAGAATAGTAACATTTTTTTATTTTTTTAATACTAACTTCATAAGCTCGAATACTTGCTCGATCTAGCGGGTTTGCTTAATATTTCTGCTGATCAATTCAGTGTCAAAAAAAAAAATGCCATTATTATATATTTACATGTCAATACAAACCAAACTAGAAACAGTGTTAGACTCCAATACAAATTTGTACAATTAACAGAAACTTGGTTGGGTGATTCTTTCCAAATAAAACTTCAATCTGTCTGCGGATTTCAAAATGTATTTTTTTTTCTTCAATGTTTTATTTCACTCTAGGCGTCAAACACAATTATGTTCAGTGCGATGGATGCGACGAGTACCCTTTACGAGGGATAAGATGGAAGTGTATGACATGTTGGAACTATGACCTTTGTACCGTTTGCTACATGAACGATAAACATGATATGAGTCATATATTCAAAAGAATGATCAGTACAAGTTCAAAAGGGTGAGTTAATTCACAAAAGAAAAATATATTAATTGACAATTAAATATTAAAATGCAGGTCTGTTAATTTGCTAAAGAAAACGAAACATACAAAACCAAGTAGACACATGATATAACTGGTCCCCGGAAATATACTCATGTATAAAATAAATATGCACACGGTCTATTGCAATTGCATTCGGAAAGGCGTCAAAAGAACGATCATGACGAACTCCACCAAATAATTGGGGATGATATCATGTGTTCCAGAAAGGTTAACAAATCCTTAAATTAAATTTGAAATAAGACGTCCAGAAATATTTATACCTGTTCCTCGTTCGAGCTTCAGCTATAAGCAAAACGCATTAAGAAAATGTCACACATTATTGTCAATATAATGAAATCCTATGCAACTGTCGTTCAAGTGAGTGGTTTAACAAGCTACAAAACAACGTTTAATCCATCATTTTCTTTACAAGAAAATGTCTATACAATGTCCGAAATATGACAGTTTGTTTTTAATTCGTTCGATAAGTTTTTTTCCCCATTTAATAAGGGACTTTCCGTTTTGATTTTTTTTCGAGTTCGGTATTTTTGTTTTTTTTTTTAGTTTTTTTTTTATATTTGCCCTACATAAATGCTTAAAAATGTCGTGTAGGTCATGTATGACCTAAGAGTTCCAAATCCAGATAGTCAATTGAAACGTATTTTGTAGGTTTGGTTTTTATTCTGGATCAGCCTGTTGGTATTATTGACTTCAGATTCTCCTTACACCGGAAATGTTCTTTATATTCACTTGATACGTTTTGTACCCCTCTAAATATTTTTAGTCTTTGTCTTCTATTACGCGATATAGAGTTTCAACTATCGATTGAAACTTACCTGCGTTTTTGTTGTATAAATATCGTAGGAAATGAATTGAAAACGGGGAATATGCCAAAGAGACAACATACAGCTAAAATCCACCAATGGGTCTTCATCGCAGCTTGAAAATTCCGCACCCGGGACCGGCTTCAGCTAGGACTTACACAATTGCATAATGGTTGATCGAAATGGACGCCACACTAAACTTTATATCATACTTATAGGTTTTTTGCTTGGATTGGACGTTTTGGTGTAAAATTCCAACCGGTTCCTTTGACGCAGAAGTGCGTTCTATATTCAATTTAACCTTGAATGTCTAACTGGAAGTGTTTAACGACCTTGACTGGATGTACATCCCTCGCACGGTCGGTACCTTGAATGTCAGCCTCACAATGACATAAAATTTACGTGAGCATTGTTAGTATAAATGTCCTCAGTATACAATTACAACGGGAGTGTGTTCTACATTCAGTATAAACGTTTTGCGTACATGCATTTGGCTGTTAAATAATGTAGATAATATCTGAGATGACATGATTTGATGTTCCGCAGGTTGAGTCAAATGCACCCGTTGAGTTGATTTTGCGATTCGAGTAATAGTTTCCTCGGTAAAGCCATAAACGAAAAGGTTACAAATATTTGTAAAAGTTTGTTTATATTAGTTTTGTATTAGGTTTCTCCCGTAGATTGAAACAGCTCTGGTTACACTATTGTTTTACAGCGCCTTTGTTATTTATATTTTCACTATCGCCTTGTACCTTAAACTATGCGCTTTATTTACTGTATACGTTTCGTTAATGTGTGTCTATAAAGAGATTATGCGAGTTTCGACAGCCATTTTAAAGGCAAATATTTTTTTTTTCTTCTTGATATGTGTTTTTTTTTTCTTTCTTATATCCACCATATTTTGTTAAACTGAATGTTTATTTGTCCTGCAAATAGATTTCCAATTGATGTATACCTTATGTTTGTTATAAGGGAATTCGAGGCATAGAAAGTGGACTAATACAAGTATACTTTTTTTCATCATTAGCATCGATTTGGAATTTAATGGGCTCTGTATCCATTTCAAGCGGTAATGTTCTCTTATATTCTAATAATATATGATGTGTGTTGTCCTGTTTATAACTTTGAAACGATACATGGTTTTTTTTTTACTAGGGAGCTCGAGATCGGTAAAGTTGATTGATCTGCATCTGGTAGCGTTTTTTCTCCCTATATGTGACATATTTGGTATTAATATCCGTCGCATTCCTTGTACCAGAAGTATGCCTTATATTCACTAGGTACGCTTCTTTACTCTGCTTGCAGGCGTCATAATGTTTTATAGTGTTTGCCTGTAATAATAGATTCGTGGTGTAGACAACGGATTAAAACGCAACTGGAACTTTAATTTTTTTAGGTCTTAATTGATACGACTAACTCCGACGTATCGCTGAATACCGGAAGTGTGTCATTAATTCAACTTTTGCTTGAGATACTCTGTCTAATATGATGATTATTAATGGATTCGAGGTCCCAACCGTCGATTGCAGCGTTTTCGACATTATTGCTCTCCATTGTGCAATGATTTGCGGTATTTTTAATACCTGATATTTTCTAATTAAAATTTATTGGGTTCTTCAGCCGTACAACTAACTCCTTATGAATGTTGTATTTTGCAAAGGAAAACGGTAAGTTTATTACAAGGAAGTAAATACAAAAAATCTAATGAAATCTTCCATTTTTTCTTAGTATTAAACATATCGAAACCAGCCTGGTAGATTTCAAATGATTTTATTGTTAATGTTTTACATTTTAACGTTGGTGGTTTTTTGAACACACAAATTCCTATTCGTAAAAAAGTTAATGTGTGTGTATTAGATTATAGTTTCATTAAAACAACTTTCAAATATTTCCCAAACGAATATCTTTTTTTTTCAAAAAAGGTTATATCGGACTTTCTGGTTATTCAAGATATATTCTTTCCTGACATCGGACCATCAAATGATTAATATATTTATATTTAATGAAAGTAGATCATCATGTAATATTGTAATAAAACATTTCACATTTCATCCTAGTGTACAAATGGCTCCACGAGAAAATCAGGGCTTTACATTTGTCTACGGTATTCTGCCAAACTCAATTGTCAAACTGCGAGGTAAACCTACAGAAGGTAAATATAGTTATTGTGTATGTGAATAGGGCTGTTCCGTCAATCAGTCAGTTCGTCTGTCTGTTTGCCTATTTCCGTCACTCTTTTTATGGTATCACAGTCTGACATCATCCCTGGTCACAAGCTCGACAGTGGCGATTTGTAACGTGTGATCATTTTTTTAATTTGTCAAACAACTCACCCGCTGCTTTCCAATTCCTTGAATTTATTTTTATATTGAGAACTAGAATTTTCCGTCAGTCATTTTCAGAGTACTACTAAGCAAGATGTGTTCGTATTATTAAGCACTTTTGTATAAATCTGTATAAATCTGTTTAAACTTGTAAACGCTGTTTCGACCTATCAGACAACCAGTTTCTTTTATCAAATACTTTGAACTACGAACCATTGCATACTTACCACAACAAAGAGTGCATTATTATCAATTAAGAAAACTATGAGAAAAAAATTAAAATTTTATCTCGATGTTATACTATTGTTTTAATAAGATGCAGAAATTTTAAAAAAGTTGTGCTTTTTTAACATGTTTAAGGTAGAGTGCTACAATTCCTAGAAAATACGTCTGAAACATTTAGGTCAGATGCAAAAAGTAAAATGGAATGACGATTTGAAAGGAAGATACTGTGTTGGTAGGAATGGCCAGTGTGACTTAAAATTTATAGATGCAGCAAAAGGTCCCGTGTATTACGAAGATCATTTGCCTATTGTGACATTTGGTAAGTAGTAAATTTGGTAAATTATTTGTATCGACATCGTTCTAACGTATGCCTCAACAGAGGAGAAAAACAAAATTATAATATATTTTCATATTGACGTAAAAAAAATCAACAAAACAAAATGAACACTGTTTGAAAAGTCAACATTTGTAAAGTAACTTTCTAAAACATGCTGGAAACTTTGAAAAATGCTTTTATTGTATCATTTGTTTTTTTTTTTTTTTTTTTGTTTTTTTTTTGCATTTTACATACTATATTTTCCTGTAACTTAATAATTGTTTTGTATCCTACTTTGTTATGTTTTCCACTAAAAATTTACCATTGAGGTGTATTTTCCGGAATTTGCCGAGTAATGCCATGCGAAAACGTTACGGAAAGGCATGTGATAATAGCCGGAAGTATGTGATAAATTTTTCATATCAGCCCGCTAAACTCCATTTCGGAAAAAACGGAATTCATGTAAATTTAATGCTATTATCATAGTGTACAAAATATAAGTTATTTACTCAAAGTATATGATAAAATCATTTAGGATACGAAAATAGTCAAATTAATAATGACATATAGTTGTTAAAACAATCATTACGAGTTAGATTAGAAAATAAAGGGTGCGGTTCATTTTTTATAATGAATCGTCAATGCTAGGTGTGTACCTGATACTTCATGACATTCGGTCTTGTTGTTTAGTTGTTGTTTTTTGTTGTTTTTTTTTCATTTCAATTTGTTGTGAATTGTTTATTGATGTTTTGATTTATTCTAATTTTTTGTCATTTATAAACATAACTTGTATTTCTTTCCGATTGATTTATTGTCACTGATGTGACAACCTTCTTGACTGTTTCCATTCGAAGATTTCTAATACAAAAAATGGACGACTGTATTAAATCGAGAACTATACATTGTTATAATGTAAAAATCGTTCTAGATTAAATAGATTTCAGTTTCCATTCGAAGATTTCTAATACAAAAATGGACGACTGTATTAGATCGAGAATTATAATGTAAAAATCGTTCTACACTATTTCAATTCGAACATGTTTGATCTATTAGCTGTGTCCACTTGATATAAATAGTTTTTACTTTCATATGTCAGGAATGTGTAAGATATTCATCCAATTCTGACTTCACCGTAGAGCAGACAACTAATGTCAACTCCCAATAAGAGTTGACTTTGCATATATATTTGAACATTTCGAATAAGTTTGTCAGGTTTACATCAGCTATTTTAAGTTTGAATGAACAAATCAGGTCTTCGATCTAAAGTATTCGTCAATGTAGATGATTCAAAAATTGTTGTGTTATTTATGGTGCAGAAAATGTACAGAAAGGAGCCAGAGTTGTTAGAGGACCTACCTGGATTGTCAATAACGACGACGATGGTGGACATGGATATGTAGGGACAGTAACAAACGTAAGTTTTATTCATTAATGTTTAAACCAATACGTATTTCGTTGTCAATGTAAACTGTCATGTTTCATAGTTGTGTCCTTCATATTCATATTTTATTCATCGAAAAAGCTGTTCATTTACGGGTTGTCTCAATATGATTTCTATATGTAGTTTAGTTCGTTATTATATATACTGATATGTGCAACGAGGCTCGGGGCAACTAAATAAAAACGGAAAAAAAGTAATGCATTGCCGTAACGATATCATTCACGCATACAAAATGAAAATGCGGAATTGTCCTGTTCTGTAACGATTAAAATGTGTACTGCAAGGGTTAGTTCTGAATGAACAGTCCCTTATTTCCTATATAGTTATCCTTGCACGTTCGGCATGTTGCGCAATGAATCAGACTCCAGGATTCTTGCAACTCATTTGTGCATTCACTGTAAATGTTTTTCCAGATTTAAATGTCACAGAGACCCCTTCGTCAATATATTTGCATGTTCAACAGCGATGATATCTGCATCTTTGTATTTTCTCCTTTAGATTCGAATCGAATTCTAGTCAGTAGCCTTTTCAAATGTTGTTGTTGTGTACGGGTGTTTCATAGTGTGGATTCCAAGATCGGTACTTAAAATTTTATAGATTGATGCAAAATTAGGAGATATTTCATAGCAGCGATTAAAATAGTGTTGTTCCGAGGATTATGTGTAATCACATTTCCATTTGGAATGTTTTCCTTTGGACGTCGGAACTCTATGGTTAGAATGGTGACTGCTTTGAGAAGTGCTGCATCAATAAGATTTTCCGGGTAATCTTGTTTGAGGAGATTATACTTTAATTGAGCTAGTCTTTTTTTCGCATGGTGCTTTCTTGGTTACTTTAGTGCATACGCGTCTTACAAGATTTAAATAATATTTTTTTTTGTATGGATCGATGACATGATCAGAAATTCAAATATTGGTGGGTGTTTGTATCTTTACAGTAAAAGTCTGTAATAATATGTTCCCCCTCTTACATTATTAGGATATCGAGAAAAGGGAGTTGTTTTTCGTCACTTTCTATGGTGAATTTGGTTGATTCATATAATTACATCTCCCAGTTGAAACATCATTCCAGATCCTTTGTTCTAATTGTTGCTGCTAATAAAGAAACTATTGAATAAATGTGTGATGTGTGACTTTGGTCAAGTTAAGGTCACACCATTAATACAATTACGGACAACATTATGATTTGTTGACTGTTATTGAAAACACGTGTCATTGATTCACTGGTATGCATTAAGTGTGGTAGTAATGAACCTGACCTCATTCCGCGATTGCTTATTCAACCGGACGCTATTTGTCAACGGTTTTAAAACTTTACTAGCCATTTCTATCACCACTAGCAAATATGATCTGTTTTCTTTTTCTTAGTACATTAGAATAACCCTTGCTTTGGAAAGGGGTTTGTGTTCCTTGAACTTGAATGTTTGGTCTAATGTTATAAACTGTTGTTTCGTAATTTCACTTGATTGCTTAAGTTTTGTCAGTTATATTTTTATTTTTGTAAAGTTTTTGATTGCTTTTAATACTAATTAGTGATTGTCCCTTTCATTTCATCTCCCCTTTTTAAAGAAAAATGTCACACAAATAGCTGACTGAAAGAAAAAGTAAATGATTTGGCACAAGATGATTTAAATCTCAATTAGTTATAACCTATGAAATATAAAGTTAGTTGTTCGTTTAAGGTTGGAGATATTCAAACACATGGTAGTATATCTTCACGTGAGAGAACATTAGAACACATAACCGAAAGCCAAATAATAAAATCGGATGTGATAAGGAACACATCCAAACATGTTGTAACAGTACAATGGGATAATGGAAAAACAGAAGAGTATAAATTGCCAAATGAATATCTACGAATATTGGACAATGGACCATCAGGTATTGAATTAATTTAAAAATAGCTTAGCACTATTTATTAATTAATTTAGCTTTTTGCAATAGAATTGTGTGTACATTTATTAATTGCAGGTTTCTTTTTAAGTATGCTTCGGACGAGAACATTTCATCTTTTACCCAATTGGAATGTCATATCATATTATCATGATAATTTACGAATTTAATCTAGAACTATCAAAAATATGCAAAATGAGACATTCGAACTACAAAAATAAATACAAGCATAATGCATGTCATATTCAGTGCGTTTTGGTTTTGTTGTTTTTTTATATTTTATCAAAGACAGTTATCTCTTATCAACGCTATACGATTTTAAAGGAGGTTACGAAGGGTTGAAATTGGCACTAATATTTTAATATTGTTTTTTATCTGGCCAAAATAGCACACATTTTACCTAAAACTGAAATTTCAACTACATCAGGCAAAGTTTGCCTTAGATGGATTTGGCTTTTTTATTAGGTTACTTTCGGTCATATAGCTCTTAAATTGTTTTGGTTCTTATAAACCCTTGGCTTTCAAATGTTTGGCTTTGAGCGTTCCTGATGAAGGTAAATCCAGAAAAAGCTCTTCGGACGCATGATATTTGTATAACGTGTTATTTCAATTTTTTACATAAAACTGGTTGTGATATAACTTTTAAAACTAACTAATTTTTGGGACATCACAGTATAAATTACAAATTAATGGCCTCTAAATATGCATCATTTGTGGGTGAAAGTCAGTACTAGTGTTTTGGTGTAATGTTACCATAATTCATAACAGTATGAGCATAGCTAACTTTGGCCGCAACTCCTGATCAAGGAAATAGTTTTGTATAGGCAATCAATTTGAAAACTAGATACTGAGGTATTTTGATTGTTGGTTGCGGCCAACGATTTACTGAAGCCTTATTGGTCGAGAGATGAATAGGAACCAGACAGGCTGATCTGTGCAACGTTTAACATGATTTTGTTAATATTCAAGAAAATTAGCGGCAACGAAAATAAATAAATATTTCGTATATAAACTACTTGATACGGAAATTATTGTAATGACAGTTCTCTTAAATTGTTTGATTGTGGGTTGCTTAACGTCCAGTTGTAAATATTTCATGTATGTTTGGATTGAGAACAAATTGACAATAAATACATAAGGTGGGTCCTGTAATAGAAGTTGTATGAGGGGAATAGGTCGGGGAAAATTAACTGCCACTGGAAAATAGGCGTTAATTGAATAGGGATGGAAACTTAGCCTTGAAACAGGCCACCGTTGGACCCCTAAAAGAGTTCTTGCAATGGTTCTATATACGAGGCATTCGATGGAAATGTTTGAGTTGTGAAGATCTTGATTACACGAGGCATGGGATTTAAGGTCCCCATTCTGACTGGTTGATTCTGCGTACTTGTACATCCCACATAGCCAAACGGACGCCAAACGGACGCCCAAATCTGGCAAGGGCGTTAACTGCTGGTCGAAAAAAAAAATAGTAACAATATTTATATTCCCCAGTCTCCAAAGGGTTGTGAGTTCTCCTGGATCTGCGTCAAAAATAAGGGGCGATCTTAGAAGCTTCGGAAGTGTAAGCAGATTGTACTTTACATTTGTCATCTTCATCAATTATACAGACACTCTTTACAGTATTCACAATCACTGATTGACCTAGTAGTGGTTTCATAAACTAAAAAGACCATGCAGACATAGATACAAGTACGTGTGTCAAGGGCAACACATTTTGATAAACCATTCTAAATAAAAATAAACAGGGTGTTTGTAAATGACATTATCGAGATGCTTAATTTTGTCTGCTAACAAAGACGTGTACGCGCTAAGGGACATGTTTGGCCTTGACATGGATGTTCTATAAAAATATACAGTAAATTGGAACTAACTGTGGTTATTTCCGTGTCAGATCGATTTTCTGAATTGTTTTTGTCTGGCTTTAGATACCTAAACTGTTTTACTAATTATGAAAAGAAGCCATGATTATCTTGTTACTGAATTATAAACTTATATATATTTTAATATATAAATTTTAAAAATATATAAATGATATATTAATGTTATGTTAATACACATTTTGGTATTAAAATATTAAAATTAAAAAATATGTACAATGCAATAAATCACACTATTTCTCTAGATGAATATGATAAATTCTAATGCAATTATTTTGTATCATTGGTTCAGATTGGATGACAGTAAGCGTAAAATTCTCTATCTCCTTGTCTGTAACTAAGGAAGCCGACATTTTGAATTGCAGAATGTATTGACGTACAATTTTTACAATAATAAGCAAAACAACTCACATGTTGCACCTAGAAATCTTCTTTTTATTAAATTCAACTACATTCTGAAGCGGCCAAGAAGCCAGAAAACGCCCGGTGTTTACGTTTGACGCCGGAAGCATACCTATGAAGTCACCTAGTTTAGGTCCCAAAGAAGATAACATCTTTTCGCGGAATTTTCTTTAATGAGAATTTTACACTGAAATAATGATTGAAATTGAATTATGTACTTGTTTTGCATTAGAATAGAGATAATTGTATTGTATTTGAAGCCTTGCGGACGTCCATCGGTAGTTTAACTGTCGCAAATACCCGTTTACCTGTCTCCGTTACGCGTCGCAAGGTGAACTAAATTTGCGACAGTAAAACTACCGATGGACGTCCGCAAAGCTTCAAATACAATACAGTTATCTCTGAAATAGCTTCATCGGGCTTGCAACTATTCAGGTGAATTCAAATGCAGATAAGCAACTAGGCAGCTTATTTTACAATCATGTTACTAAAATCTCATTTTGATGCGGTAAAATTGTATGTGCTTCAAGATTTCTGTTTGATCTATGAAACATTGTGTTGAAGTAAGGTATGTTTCAAACGAATATTTGCAAATATCAAAGTTATATTGGACGACGCCTCAACATTGACTAAATCATTAGCTTTCCTGTACCTTTCTAAAATCGTTTTTCAACAACAGATCCTATCATTGAATATTCTTACAAAGACCTTGAAAGATCTGTCAGGATATGTTGAAATAAGGAAGATTTAAAAATCAATTGTATGACAAATGTATGCAACATGGTCTACCATACAATTCACGAATTGTGAAGTGTGTGTCTTACTACATTTTATAGAATGTGAGTTTTACATCAAGAACTATAAAAAGTCGAGATAGATGGTCTTGCAATCGTAGCTTCTTTTTTCCGAAACGGTTTTAGAGTAATGAAATTACTTGACAACCGTTAGTGTATTGGTCTTGACTTATATTTAGATACATTGTAATATATTTCGACAGGAGTTGAACATGTACATTATTTGTGTGATTGTTGCCCAACTAGAGATAACTGTATACGAGGCATTCGATGGAAATGTTTGAGTTGTAAAGATTTTGATTTGTGTAATATGTGTTACATGTCTGATGAACACGACCTCAGTCATAAATTTCAAAGAATTGTTGTTCCGAACGTAAGGTAAGAAACATGTATTAACTTGAATCTGTTAGTTTTCTCTTCTTATATTAGTTTCTGTAAATCACGTGAATAAGGAAAAACAATTCGCCGTGTTCACATACTTCGTTCACCCATACATTTTTTTCTGAATTGTAAATAATGAACTTATATTAATGGAAACTTTTTTTTTATAAATGAATTTATGGTTTCCAAGTATGAAGTTAAGAGTAAATGACATTTCGCACTTTGGAATATTTTAATTAGGCTCTCGGACATAAAGTGCAATTATGATTTACAAAATAATTTTTATTATATTAAGAGAAGATATGGAGATGTCAAGAAAAAGTTCAAGATCATGTCTCAGGCAATCGTTCGGAATATTTGGAGATGCAAAGGTTGTTGAAGTAACTGAATATAGCGGTAAAAGAATTTATATCATAACATCGATGAATTGTAAATGTAGTTCAAAAAAATACTGTGCTTCAGCCTTTTTATAGCACACATTTTGTCTGTTTGTACTTTACGTGTATAATAACTAAATTGCAGTGAACTTCAAAAGACAGATTACATATCATTTGATTATAGAATGTGTCTCGTTTATTAAGTGTAACGAAAGACGATGTATTCTTAATGTTTTTGAATTAAAGAAAAAAAAATGAAATATTGACTAAATAGTTTAGGAACAGACACACTATAACAAAATCTACAGTCTTAAGTTACACAAGTTAAGCTCAAAAATATATAATTAATGAAAGAGAGGATCTTAATAAACAACTATTGTGCAGCATTTATGTTCAGAACTATTTCTTATTAATATCATGCAAGTATTCATTCATGAACCATGTGTTGTTACTATTATATTGACATGTTTTATTACAGAGGGTTACGAAGGTACCGTTTTAGCCATTTGCGACTGTAAGATAGACACAGGTCGTAGCGAAGTTGAAGTCTTGTGGCGAGGAAACTCGAAAAGTTCAAATCGGATTTTGCAATTAGAATATTGTTATGGAAGTGATTTCATATATTACCATAACCATCTGCCGGTTATAGGAAGAGGTATGGATTTCATAATTATTTAATTAAACAATAAATTGATATAGTTAAACATTAAATCGAACTGAATTTTACTTTTAACACATGTTATTAAGATCCCAACTTACTAAATAATAGAATCATTTTCCCAATGCTATCTTTGGATATACATGGCAGGAAAGGCATGTATTGCAGGATATACTTATCGTTTTTTTTTATTGTTATGTTTTTGTTTTTATCCAACCAAATTTTCTGGGCAATATGTTCTACGTATACATTTGTATATATTGTTTTTAAATAGCAACAGCATCTTATGTACTGTGTTACTGTTAACAAAATCCACAGACACACAACCCGTGACTTTTTTTGTGCTTAAAGGCAAAACAAAAGTCAAAATTTGTAATCTAGTCTATCATGGATAGCCAGAAATATTACATATGCTGTAGCATTCTTCTTTTTTCATTGGCTATTACGATCACTTGATTCAAAGGGTATTTAATGGCACTGTTAATATATGAAATATATAAATGAAAGATTTTCACCAAGTCAATTCGTTATATATGGACCTATTATAGTTTATTGACATCTCCATATATAACGTATTAACATCGTCAAAAGTCCATACTTACTACATGTTATTTTTTTCTTTTTTTTTTTCTTTTCTTAGTTTTTATTTAAATAAAAGTTAATTACAAGGTTAGATCGTATGAAAAATCTTAAGATAGAATTTTGTAAAAACGAAATTTCGGTTATCATGGTTATAATTGAAGGCAAGGGGTGATTAGTCTTCAATCTGCATATTTAAATATATTTCCAATTCATTGCTATTATTACATGAAGATACAGCCAATAATAAATTCGATACAGTACAAGATCACCTATATATTATACATAAGTGAGATGATCGTCTTACACACATCGAACTTATTGTTTTACCACATTTTGAAAACGGACTAACACTGATGAAGGTCATTTGATGTTTCGAAATCTTTAAAAACGAAATCATTTCATCTTGTCCTTAAATTGTTTTGTTTTATTTATCGTTGCAAAAAATCTGAAGACCTATGCACACATATATTAATATATATATGGCCTTCAAAATATCGTTTTGATTCCTAAAAGAGGGACGAAAGATACCAGAGGGATAGTCAAACTCATAGATCGAAAACAAACTGACAACGCCATGGCCAAAAATAAAAAGACAAATAGACAAATAATAGTACAGATGACACAACATAGAAAACTAAAGACTAAGCAACACGAACCCCACCAAAAACTGGGGGTGATCTCAGGTGCTCCGGAAGGGTAAGCAGATCCTGCTCCACATGTGGCACCCATCGTGTTGCTTATGTTATTACAAATCCGGTAAATAGTCTAATTCGGTAGGTCACATTCGTGAAAAGGTAAGAGTATTGTAGTTACGACATAAGGAACATTCCATAACGGTCAAGCAACTCGTGATGGCGTCCGTAAAATTTACAAAGGGATGATTTCAACTTCACCATTTGGAACTCTTGATTTTATAGCTTCCTTGTGAGCAGCAATCCTCTATCAAGGAAATCATGATACGAAATACATAACATCACTGAAGAGACATTAATTGTCAAAATCCGGAAATGGTGTACAATTTTTTGCACTTCATGTTTGCGGTATACCATCTTTTCCGCAAGTTTATTGTTTTCTGTTTGGTATTAAATTAATAATTAAGATCCATTTTGTTGTTACATCTGGAGATCCGTTTATTTGGCAATCGTCATGGCAGTCGGTAGTGTTTAGGAACATCCGGTGTTCGACCTGCTAGTCAAATGCGTTTTGTTAAAATATACCTTTTCACTTTTTTGGTCTTTTGGAAATGTTGTTTATGCTGTATTTAGACCAATAAATTTATTTTGCATATATATTCATATTATTTCCCAGAACGACACAAGCCTCTTTAATAACGTCGCCAATAACGACGCTTATTCAGTTATCATGAAGAGTCCCATTGGAAGGATGAAATCGATTAAATTGTTAACTTGTTCAATTATCTTACTATTTATTTTATGAATATATATACATATATATATATGCGTGTGTGTATAGGTCATCTTGACTTAGAAATATACAATGTGTGTGCGTTTGTGTGTTTGGATTGCCAATCATATAGAAAATTTCAAAGATTAAAATCGTATAAATATTCACGTTGTAGACTCTCAAGGATACTTTGAAGTAAATTGTAATGTAGGAAATGGATCTACAAAAAAGGTACTCTTCCCGACAATTTGTTATCATGTAGACACATTTGCTCAGATAAAACGACACAATTAAAAAACTCAAACATTATTGGACTCAAAATTAAAATATACAAGTAATTAATTATATTATTGTGTTTTTGTTTTTCACATCACAGTTGATATTTCCTACTAATAACAAATAACTGATATTTTCATTTATTGATACATAGTACTTGATATACATAATATTTATGTCTGATTTAGTCAAGTATAACTATAATATGTTAAATGAAAAATAACCAGACTGATTTGTTAAACAACAAGCCAGAATAAAAAAAATTGAAATACAAGCGACATGCATGCATCTCAAAACTCAGCACCTCAATCTATGGTAATGAACGGTAAAGCAAGCTAAGTCATATAAGATTACAGAACGGGTCACACATCGTCTTGTTTGAATGCTTAAAGACTCCATAAAAAGAAAAAGGACACTTTATAAATATAAGAAGATGTGTTATGAGGACGAGGCATTGGCTCTCACCGAACAGCAAGCTATAATGGACCCTTAAAATAACTAGTGTAAAACCATTCAAACAGGAAAAAACCAACGGTTGAATTTATATAAAAAACGTCACTGAACTTCAGGTTCTGACTTAGGACTTGTGCAAACAAATGAAGCTGGTTTACACGATTTGATAGGCGTCAACATTCACCTTTAACCTGAAATAATATTGACACTATAAAATATCAATTAAAATGACTTAACTCAATCAAGTGATATATTAACAAAAACAAGTGAACATACACTGAACGAATAAATTTGATCTATGACACGATGTAAATAAAAAACCGATTAACATGATTTAAGAAAGAGAGCTATTCGCAATTTTGATCTTATCTTCGTTTGTATTGATATAAAGAGGACGTTGAAAATAACTCGTTTTTATATAGGAAGCCAAAACGGCACAAGAATCATAATCGTACAAAATATATTCGGTTCGTTCGGAAATTCAACGACACATCTTTCGAAAAAAGCTAAGGTTCTGATCAACATTCTTTCTACAGTTAAAAATTGCCTTTAGATTTATTGTGATAAGTTATATCGATTTGGCGGTGCACCTCATATACAAATGTATCCAAATGGAATCGAGTTAAAGGATACCATCTATAATGTCTTCTCCATAACTTAATCCTTCACTCAATATTGACACAAATAGACTTCCAACATGAGCCTACAACAAACTTGAAGTTTACCCCCCCCCCCCTCCCTTCTTCCTCCCCTCCCCCATTTTAAAGTTCCTGTCAATTTCTAATTTGTTAGCAGTTTCAAACTCTCTGTTCTGTCGTATTGCGTCTACATATTTCAATTAAAACGTTATTTACGTTACGCTCCCAAATGGTCAAATAATAAGTTGATTTCATTAACATGGATATGATCCCTGCATGAATACTATCCCAGCAGTAGTTATGAAAAAGAACCACTGAAATTGAAACGACACATGTTTTAAGGTAACAGTGAGAAATCTTGTGGCTGGTACGATGTGGATGTGTCCCAATTTACTATTGACACATTATTCCGGTCTAGGTTAATAGATTTAAATATTGCTTATGGGTTTCTAACCCTTTTCCACGCCAGAGGTTGTGGTTGTTTTTTTTTCATTTTTCATGCAAATCATTGACTTTATAATCACATGCAGTAACTACTTTTCATTAGCTCGCTTTCTTGTATTTACGATAGGCCACAACCAGTACGACTATGCAAAGTTTTTGGGCATTTTACCAAGGGGACTAGTTCTTTCATAACTTGCTTTCATCGGTTTGGATTTATTCCCATTACTCTATTATCTGTATATTATATTCGAACTTCATCAGTTTATAACCATCAAGTCTTTCATTTGTTGCATAACCCACCATTTGTCAACATAATCATGATGAGTGTATGCATGCTAAAACGATGAGTGTATGCATGCTAAAACGATGAGTGTCTTTGATCAGACTTAACATGTGTGCCACGTGTTTGCCTTACAGCCCATATTGGCTGCCATGTTTATCTTTACCAATAACGAGCACATTACTCGATCGAACGAACGACCTTACAATTGCTCATTCAGAACATACAAACAGAAGTAAGCATATTTTTTTTCGGAATATTAAAGAACTGCGTCCATATCGCAAAACATTATTCTTACTCTAACATTACGTCGCTTAAATTTCAAAGGAGCCTGCTCTTGCCCGTGTTGACATGTGTTGTCATGAAATATAATTTGCTTTAAAATTTCTGATTATAAATTTTGATTTATTACTCTGCATGCTTTTATTTTGAGTTGTAATAATGTGTGTGCTGTTGTGACTGGTATCGGCAGCATAATTAATGATTTTTACAGAACGATAACAATATATTGTATTACAAAACAAAATATGCCTGTTTTCCACTAAATAAACAGTAAGAACTTTATTGTAAAACATGTCTCAATGAATATTTTGAATAAAAGAAAACTATATGTATATTCACAAGAATTTTAAATGATTGAATATAAACTAAGCTTAGACCATTGCAGTATCAGTAGACGATATGATTATTAATATTTAGAAACTACCGATGGAAGTACATTAATAACAGCTTTCATAAAATACGATGAAACTAATTCAGTGTATAAATATTGTTAATGTAAATATAATTACTAACTGTGTAAATGGGTAATACCAATATGTCTTACTTTTGAATTTTACTTATTGCTTCATTAGATTCAGGTCGACATTTGCCGTACTATTCAGCTAGAAAAGAAACTGACATTTAAGCCAAGTCTGTATCTGATATTTGCTAATCATCCTTGTGTAGACAAAAAAGGGGAAAAAGATGACAAAATGACACTGATGGAAGAAGTTATTGATTTTGCAAGTTGGTATATTTCAAGTTTTTATCTTAAAAACGTTTAAACTAATAACAAAAAAAAACCTAAACCTTCAATGCCGAAGGTCCTTGAAACTCAAAATTTCTCTCTGAATGTATACTCTGCAATGGATAAAGCCTTATATGATCTTCCAAAGTCTTGCTTTGTAAGCGTATGTTGTATATGGCTCAATTTAGTGTATCCTTAAAACCAGTCAAAAATGTAGTAGACGCGGATTGATGTATTTTCAGCAGTAACTCTGAAGAAAAAAATAGCCATGACTATAATACGCTTATTTGAAAATTGACAAATTACATATATCGAAAGTTCCGAAATTCTCAGATAATTTGTTTTAAATACCAAAATGAAGAAGTTATTGAAATAATTATCAATGTTTCACCTTTAAAATGTTAAAATCATAGTTTGTATTAAAAATGTGACGTTTGGAATTACCAAATCCGTTTCTCGAAGTCACACTGCTCTACGGTTATTCAGATATTATAGGCTTTTTATAACGTATTTCGTATGTTAGCGTTCGGATAGAAGAATCCAATTGTGCAAGAATAATGTATTGTCTGCTAATCTAACCCTTCAATAACATTTCAAATCCGTATTAATAATGGCTGACTGACAGTTAACAAATCAATCCCTGTTGTCCAATACCGATTTTCTTACACGGGAACTGATGCTATTAAAATAGTATCATGAAAGTTTTATCATAGACCTATGGATCGAATAGTTAACACACAGAGCTTTCTTTAAAACCTGAAGACTTCATCAACGAATCGATTTATAAGGGTACAGTTTAAGATTAGTACCGTTTATTATCTTTATCCAAGAAAACATTTAAAAACCTCTGTAATGTTTTAAGTAGCAAGATCGACTGTGTTTGTATTATTCATTATAAACATTAATGAAAACGGTATTTCTACTTACATGTACGCTTTTTCATAAATCGTATTAGAGTAAGATAGTTTTACGAAGAGAGGTAACCAAAAATAGTTTGTTTTACAACAGGGCGGATATGTTCTTGTATATCTCACATGTCTTTCAATGCACATAATATCGTGAAAATATATTAAAGGTGTTGAATAAACACCAAATATGGTCGATAAAATATAAAATAAAGAAAGTCTATTTCATTGTATTTAAACAAAAAAAGAAAAACAGCAACTGTATCACATTAACTGCAAAATCCGTTGTATTATACTTTATTCGTAAGTATGTATTTAGACATTATTCATACCCTCTCTTGCCTGTTTTAATTTCTAGTGTACTTTTAAACCCTTCTACAGGCTATCTTGCAATAACAGCATGTGAATTCAATTACATTTCGTGATAATAAACACATTACCACCGTATCTGTTTGGGAATTTGTAATTATATACATAAAATTACAAATTTTCTATTTAAAATTTACAGAAAAGACCAAACTGCCATGCCATGTTGTAGGACAAAATGTTTTGTTTCACAGCGGCTCCACAAATACAGTTTGTATACACTATAAAACAGATAAAGATACTGTCGAGGTATTTCAGTTTTTATATGCTTAACATGTTTGAAACTAGCCTGTTTACACTTGAGGCAAACATATATCCTACTGCCTGTCGATACTTTTATTGTTGGCATTGTGCAAGTCATGTCTTCTTTGACTGTCCATGATGTTACAATACTAAATCCCTTGAATGTGTTTTAGTTGATTAAAGTCTCTGATGCATGATGTTTTATTATTAATTGTTTTTGGCTTTTAACTAGCTGTCATTAACTGCGAGTACTCTCAACTCGTACTTTCTTTCTTTTTTCGTTACTTTGACCTGTTGATATTATTTGTTATGCTTTTTTGTTATTTAATGTTTACTTATTAAGGGTTATATCTCGTCTGTATACCAACTTTGATAAGTGTTTGGTATGACTATAAATGTTCACTTCTTCGTACTATGAACAACAAAATTATTCATTTTGTAAAAAAGATTTCCGTTCTATATTTAAACTATAGTTTATCATCTCACATTGGTATACTACTGTTGCCTTTATGTATTCACAATTATTTTATTGATTTTGTATTTACATTGTATCCTAGATCGAATTTATTTGTCAGTGTATGTTAATTTGTGTTAATATGTCTTTTGATTGAGTTAAGCCATTTCAATTGATATGTTATAGTGTTTCTTTCTATGTTGTTATGTTACACTATTTTTTCAGATAAGGGTGAAGGTTTGTATCTATTAAAACGTTTAAACCCGCTGCATTTGTTTGCACCTGTCCTAAGTCAAGGATCTGATGTTCAGTAGTTATCGTTTGTTGATGTGGTTCATAAGTGTTTCTCGTTTCTCGTTTTTTTATATAGAATAGACCGTTGGTTTTCTCGTTTGAATAGTTTTACACTAGTAATTTTTGGATCCCTTTATAGCTTGCTGTTCGGTAAGAGCCAAGGCTCCGTGTCGAAGACCGTAATTTGAACTATAATGGTTTACTTTTACAAATTGTGACTTGGATGGAGAGTTGTCTCATTGGCACTCATATCACATCTTCTTATATCTATATAATAAATAATATAATAAATGATTTATAAATTTTTCAATTGTATGTCAATTCATAATGTACTGCTGCATTTAATAATCAGTAATATCATTTGATTGACAATGATGTCAGACTCATCACGGGCGATCGAATCAAAACACTTGGCAGGTAAATCAAAGATCAAGGAAAACCAAAAATGGTTTGTCATATCGGGCTATACTTATACATACATCATAGTTCGTTAGTACTACAAAATGAATGCATGTTTATTAAGTTCTGAAAATTAACACTGAAAATGTTTTGTTCATCAGAATGTTTTTTCTGGATCTGCCTTCATCGAAAATTAAATCCAACATTTGAAAGCCAGGAGGATTTAATAATTGCAACATAAAAAGAATAACTAAATTTATCTTCGACTTTCCCTTAGGTCGTTGGGACTCTAGATTCTTCATGATTTCTGAATGTATCAACTCGAAATTTACGAAATCTTATGTTGTAAATAATTCCTGTATCAAAGTAAAGACTACAGAGCTGAGGACAAACTCGGGAACTAACAGTCCAACAACAATGGTATCGACCCTGCACTAGTAAATAAACTCTGAAAGAACAGTTATACATTTTGTGCTTCCGAACAACTTTGTTTGTTCATTTACTTGTACAAAGATCGTTCTTACCAATACCTTTAAACGTTTTGACGAAAAATGACTAAAATTGGACCTATTAAGTTATTTCACATCATATAAAAAATCATTTGTTAACAAGATACTTATATAATCAAATGTTTCAGGAACTTGTTAAGAAAGGCTTCCGCAAGTTTCAAAGAGGAGATAGTAATGAGAAAGATGAGGACGATATTCACTACTTCATTCGCATGGCAGAATGTACGTTACTTAAACATAGTCGACAATAACCCTGCGAATCATTAGAGGAATTAAGTTGATCATTAACACATACCAGTCTGTCAATATCATAATTTTTATATAGAATTAAACTACAATAATTGTAGCGTTGAAAGTTACATTAATCTTTTCTTCTAATTACAAAACAGCGTTCATAATTCAGTATCATATTAATTTTTTTAAGTTAAGAATGTAAACATTATTTTGTGTACATATTAAGGCTTGTTGATTTGAATTCCAACCAAGGAACAAGAGTTAAAACTGATTGGATAGTACTCAAAATATTGATTAAGGAAAGGATGACATGTCTACCTGTGGACTGTATTCTTATTAACTTTCATATTTAAAACTGGTTCAGTGTGTCAGTTGGGTTGGTTTTACATTTAACAGAGAACAGTTTTGTTTACCTGGTATTCTTAGGTCGTGTGTCCAATCCCGACCAGTATGACATTTCAGAAATATTTCATTTTGTTATAAAACAACTACCTTATTATATGGCATTATTTACAATTTCATGGATTTGTGATTAAAAAGCACAGAGTACGAACGGTATTCATTCTGATATGAAACAAGATTAAACTTCTCCAAATGTTAATCACTTTTAAAACAAAACAGCAGAGGAATAATTTCTCGTTGACATTATGTAAAAGACGATAAAGCACTTACGACATCGATATCGGAGCAAGTTCATGTTTGCATTTTAACATGACTCCAAAACGTAAATAAGTTTGACGTCCAAAGATATATATTACGATATCGACGATTATAAATAGCATATTCCTTTGCGTACTTGTATTAACCTTTCATTTGTTTTCTTGACATGGACTACAATCGTCATGTTTAGCATTCGATAAAAGGAATATTATAAGCTGATATCTGTATTTTGGGCAACTGTAAAAGCTTCAATAGAAGGTTGTTTCCAAAATGATAAACATTCCTCGCAGTGTGAATTAGCGAAATGTTTCTTGACTTATTAACAACTAAAGTTCTTTGTTGTGGGTACATTAATATTGTGTTCTAAAGAAATATTTTGATATTAGTGCAGTTTTAATATTTTATGGCGTTTTCAAAGTGATGCAATTTTCTGTTAATATTATTCAATAACCCTCATTATTTGTTTTTGATTTTGAATTTTTGTATTCTGTTCTATAAGATTTATACAATTTTAAGAAAAAGGAAAAAAAAAACAATTATAATACACGATCAATAAAAGTACGATAATGATGATTATGATAATAAATGTTTTACGTCCAGCGGAAAATTAAATGTATTTTCAGGATTAGAAGATGTAAATTTAATATGTATAGAAAACCTACTTTGTTCTGAACCGACACGTTGTGCCCGATTTTTAACTTATTTGTTTACAAGGTGTCAGTCTGCCAAAAAATATGTCGCAATATCCGCAAACCTTACTCTTTGAACCGACCCGTATTTGCGGACTCCGTTATGCGGCGTTATAAGCGGAATATCAGCATGCACGTTCATGCATACCAATTCCATAGTATGAATATTGAATTATGTTTTTCAATATGGGTTTTTTTTAGACAGGTGAACACATTGTGTATGCGTATTGCAGTTGCATACACGTTGCCATTCAATAACCATGTATACGCGGATGACATTGCTGAAGAATTTTACTGTGGATTCATTACTATTTGTTGGATACCAATTTTCGTGGTTTTCGTGGGTAAAGGTCAACCACGAATTTAAATGTTCAACGAATCACAAATTTTCTATCAGGTTGTATGCAGACTTTGGCAATACCACGAAATCACATATCCACGAAAAATCAAGTTTTCGGCAATCCATGAAATCTGATACCCACGAAAATAAAGGAATTCACAGTATAGGGAAAAATTGAATGTCAAAGTTATACCCAGAGATGACGGGGGTTCTGTAAATCAACTTTGGCGTATTTATCTTCTGGGTAAAGACCATGATTTTTTTTTAATTTGAAGAGGCCAATGTACAATATCTTGAACCTGGTTTCTACTCAATACATGAAACTCTACGGAAACGCATTTTCAACGTAATAATCAAAGCGATATACTGTAACTGTAAGGGACAGTATATTACATAAGAATAGCAGATCATATAGCACAGTTGCAATCATTTATAAACGATCACCCTCTGTCATGTATTTGTGTGTCAGGTATTATTTGTAAACAGGCTACGTTGAAATACCGGAAGTAACTTGCACGAGGGGCACAGGTGTAGATTATTTTTACGCGAAGCCCCTAAAATGGGTTATCAACATTGGTGTGAATGTATTGCTAGTTTACTTCCGCTCGTTGTCCATATGCAAGAACCAGCATAACGTATATGAAAATTGTAATTATATTACCATACAATGATACAAAAGAGGCTAGTACTACCAAACTTGTAATTGCTTACATAAATCATATACTTATTTTGTGTTTCGGCAGTTTTTGTATTATATACTTAAGATAAGATAAATTATGAATTGGTGTAGCATAATAGCCCCTGCCATCATCAGCATTTACCTATTACATAATCTTAATGTTGTCGATATTACTAAATCTGCTATATTGTTTATGCTTTTTGAGGTCTTTCCTTTCACTATAAGGAAAAACCTTACTGTTTTTCTTCTTCTGATTATCATTAGGTCTTTCCACTTTTCCGTGGAAAGACCTATTGATTTTGTTTTGATTATTATTATATTTTGTTTTTCTTCCGCCACTTTTTATTATTACGAGAAGATTTTGTTTCGCAAGATGTCGCTTAAATATTTAATATATGATATCGAATAGTTTATACGCTTTTAAAACTGACACCGTTTAACCGAACACTTTTCCTTGTAAGAGTTATCTCCAATCACTGTTTTCACTGTTATTGCTACTCCTTCGCAACCGTGAAGGAAACTGACACATTTCTCGTGATATCCTCACGTTGTCAAAAACAAATTTGATCAAAACGGTCCGGAGGCTCTATATGAAAGTTATATCCCCTTATGATTAAAAATAATTGATTGATGTATTTGTAACTGGTAAACCATGAGTGATAGATACTTAGGGTCTTGATTTGATGTCCAGGGCCCACCAAGAAGAAAAGCAGAACAAGGTTAAAGGTCAGGGGCATACATATAAGAAGATGTGGTATGAGTGCCAATGAGACAACTCGCCATCCATGTTTTGAATTTTGATTTTGGTTTATTTTACCTTCTCATCAGAAACCGTAAAAGATATTGACAAAATATTTTTACTAAATTGTTATTTACGATATATCGCAACACATATACTTTGGTTGAAAGGTAACGTTGACATTAAATAGGAGTTTTCTCCCCTTTTATTTTTAGAATTTGCTGTATGGTGATATAACTCATTACCCGTATATAGGAGGGAACTAGGGTCTTTTGATTTACGATCCTTACTTTATGACCTAAAAAGTTAGGTCAAGGTTAAAGGCAAATTTGACGTTCAAGATTTTGACCTTTGTTATAAATTCATACTTATACATGAGAAAGCTATTATGTCTTTTGCATGAGGTTGGTAGATATATAACCATGAAAGGTCATCTGGAAATGACCTTTTATAAACCAGGAGTAGCCGTTTCCTACACTGATTTCAATTAAAAATACCATGAACCATGAATTTTTTTAAACCGGAAGTGAATATTTATCTCCCTTATTTCAAGTTAAAGTATATAGAAACCATATTTTTTGGAATCTTTTTAACTAAAGTTATCATATTAGACTGGAAGTAGCAAATTATATCCCTTATTTCAGACTATATTAAATGGAAACCATATTTTTTTTTAATCAGTATGAATAAATTTATAATAAGATACCAATAATTACTTTGAGTAAACTGCAAGTAGCTTCTCATTAATTATTTAGAAATTTAATGTGGAAAGACCTTCAACCGTTCTCTGAACAAATGGTTTTTAATTATTATTATTCTATAATAATTACTATTCCGCCAAACTTTTATTAAATTTCTCAAATATTATGCGACATGTTGAAATTAGGTATCAAGTATCGGTTGACCAAAAGCTATCTTGTGTTTAGAGCACCACACCGTAACATTTTCTTTATAGCGGTTATCTCAAATAACACCGAAAACCTTGTTATCATACAAACACCGTAGCCATAATAGGTAGAAAAAACCGAAGCGTGGAATTTGTGTAGGGTCAGACCCTGGTACTTTGTTACATTTGGATCGAAAAGTTTCAACGATTCATTGGTAGGATTATGCCCCTTTGAAAATTAACCAATGTCGGTTGGCCAGTAAAACTCAGAAACGGTATGTCGTATTGAACTATTTGGTGAGAGCACATTATCTATATAGCGGAAAGTAAAGTTAAAGAATACTGCTTACTTCTTTTCATTCTTTACAAGAAGTTTCTGTATGAATTCAGCTTCATATAAATAAAGGAACAAGTCGACAAGAAGAGGTGCACAGTTTGTCTAATGGGTATGACGATTGTTTGTTGAAAACACAAGTCCGCCAAACGTAGCAAATATGTTGTCAATGAGGAAATCAACCATCTTGAAAGTGTCAGGTTCAAAGAATTTTTTTACAGAGTAGGAATTATCCGTTCCTAAGACAAGATACTTGTACCTACGTTGGCCATTCTGAAACAAAGCAGGACTAACTCTTTCAATTTGTCTGCTTGTTTCAAATAGGAAATGCTTGTGTAAAGTGTGGCAAAGTCAAATGTTTTAATAAGATTGTAAGATGAAAGAGTTTTAGATTGTATATACTCTAAAAGATCTTTGGAATTTTGTAGTATCCAAATCTGATTCAGGCCACCTCTACAATATGTAGTTTCACAAAAACTTTGAAACCGGCTTTGATTGCAGATAACATTAATATTAATTATTTAGAGAGAGAGTATTCGTGGAGCACTTGAAAAACCCTGCAATATAACGTTGTGTGTAAGGACACTTATGTACTTCAGGCATCCAATACAGTGAGGGAAAATTCAGTTCTTCGTGTTTGGTTAAAATTCCAAAGAAATTTAGTACTGACCTATGCTTATCTAGGATTGCATCTAAAGTAAGTGTCGTGGGAGTATATGTTGAGTTTCCAAGTGAATTGTCAATACCAAATTAACTTATCAAGCAATTTATATAATTTGATTTACACACAAAAACGATGATATTTGTAGCTTTATCTGATGGGGACAACATCATATTTGTCATGAAGGTGGAACCAGTGTTTTACAACATTTGGGTCTTTCAAGATTGATGTAGAATTAGTTTTCATACAACAATTCAGTTTCTTAATGTTGATTTGTATTAACGACCTCACAGCCCCAATTCATTTGGAAAGAGTTTCCACGTCTTCCCTCTCGGGCCTAACCAATCGCCTGACACAACCCTCGATTGAATAGTACAGAATTTAAGTGCAAAAGTCTGAAAGACTGAAAATAATTCTAAAATGTATTGTTCAGTCTTTCAAGAGCTGTTTAGACTAAAATCTCCATTTCAGATCAAAATTCGTTTACTGGTAACTGTAACTGATAACTCGTAAATGATAATCAAAATGATTTCGTAGTATTGACTATAATCTTCGGCAATTTTATAGTGTTGAGATCTATATTATATGATGTGTAGTTTAATTTGAAGATAATATGAGTGCTTATTTTAAATCAGGACATTCAGGCCAATGTCAGTTGTATTTTTTGTATTATCCATTGCATACAATGATTTGCTAATAAGTGGCCTTCGAGTTTCGAGTGTTTATCAATAAATTTGATAAAATATGTGCATAATAAAATACTTCAAACACACAAAAGAAATGGTTATAACTACAAGTCATCGTATGTTAAAGAACGTAACGTTGACATCCAATTTGATGTAAACATTGTTTATAAATATTGCTAATTAGCAATCAAAAATACTTCGAAGAGTCGATTAATGGGGTGTTAATATTATAAAAAAAGTGAGCTTTTACAATCTTTAGCAATTTTTCCTGTCATATCTGTCTACAATCTTAATTTTAATACGACATTGGTCAGTACGCTTTTTACCCTATATTCTAATAAATAGATGTCACAGGAGAAGCTGTATTGCCAGTCATCATATCATTTAGAAATGGTGGAATGACAACGGATGTGATGGAAAGTGCAGCTATTTCACAAATACCTATAATAAGATTAAAGGTAAAATATATTTTAATTAGTTGGAACTTTAAGGTTTATATGTATGCATACCCTATTACTGAGGGTCGAACTCAAAGATGTATTTATGCTTTGCTCTTTAATAGGTCACTAGTACCATATTTGGATGTATGCATGTTCAAGTATGTCGAAATAATCTTGCCATCAGTCAAAGTTGACATAAGATAAATTGTACAAACGCATTGGATTTTAAAAGTAAAGAAAGCATTGATAAAAAAAAAGGAAACAAAACAAAAAATTATTAAATAACAAAATGAATTGATAAGGCTCTACCACGGCCCCTATTGCACACCTTAATTTCAAACTAGGACTTATTGACTATTTATCGCATCGAATCGTCACTAAAACAATTACAAGATAAGGAATATATTTCTTTGTTGAAAATTTAACAAATTTAATGACGTCAAAAAAGCGCACATTTAATTTTCTGCGACAGTTCAATGAAAATAAACTAGAATACATTAACATGAATAGAATGTCATGAAATAGATTGTTTCAAGAGGTGACTGGTTTGTGGTCTTTCTGTCGTCACGTACAGTCCACAATATAATTGATTAGTTGTTTGTTGCTTAACATCCAGTGGCATATACTTCATGCATGTTCTGGAAAAAATCAAATTAACTATAAGTACAATTAGTAGGTATTAATAGTGGCCGTTCGGGATCAAGGTCCGGAAATTTGGAATACCACTGGAAAATGATGGATATTGGATAGGGACATTTTTGGTCTTGCAGTAGGTCATCAATGGTCCCCTAACAAAGTTTTTGCATGTGTTTTTTACGTGGAAAGAGCATGGCAGTCTCTTTACAAGAGTCATCAGATTGAACGTCCCCATTCTGACAGGATGTTGCTGCGATTTGTATATATCGCACAGCCAACCACACTTTCTACGTCGGCTAAGGTTTTGCTGCCAGTCGAAAGAAGACCAGAGTGAACATATATTCCGACTTCTCAATCAACTGAACTAACACTTCAAATATAATTTTAAGTATGCTTGCATACATTTAAGTCACTATAAAAGTCCTGTTTTGTCATCCAAGCAAGCGGACAAAATAGATAATGTTATATAAACAACACTCGTCATTTAAATGTCACATGTCAATCAGTTTTGAAATAATTATCTCATTAAATCTGCTACACAGATTCATCAGACCAAAAGATGGATTAATTAGCATTAATACTGACAGCATTTTATTCACGCGTTGTTAAGTCTTTTTCCTGCTTATTGTGTATTTGTGTTTACAATCAAACCTAGCTTGACTTTTAATCTATTATAACATTAGTGAACCGACAAAAAGTATTTCTGATTGATTTTATCATTTGATTTAAGACACATGCTCCAATTCTTAATCATTTATGAATATATTTCATAGGCCGTCGGAAAATCGCCAATTCAAAACGGCACGATATTAAATACAGAAAAACTGGAAATAGCAACAATGATCAGCAGGACACGATCTACACATTTTTAGCATTGCCGAAATCGTCAGTTAGCGTCTTATATGAGCTATTGCCCTCTAATAATGATGTTTTCCCATTTCTGCATATTTGGTCAATACTTTAGTAGGTACAGCAACATTGTAAACATTTAAAATTATCAGTACGACAAAATTTGCAAATTTAATGGGGGTTATTCCATTTCAATGAAGATTTTGTTTCTTCAAAATTTTGGCATATTATGCAAAAACTAATATATTAAATACAATACATATAATGAAAAACCGGAAAACAGAAACCACGATCAACAATACATGATCTACACATTTATCAACATTGCAGAAATAGCCTGCCAGCTCCTTATTGTGACCCTCAATGACCCTCCATGACATTTCCAGGATTATGGCGGTAAAATTCATAATGAGAAAACGTCGATGTAAAATCAAACTTATAACTTCCCCTAAACAGATTGCAGCGGGAACACATTGTTTTGGAGTAAATCTCATTGTTTCATGTTGTAAGGGAAACTATGAATATGAATGGACATATAACGGTATATGTAAATCAATGATTATACCTGGCCATTAGTACTCCAATAGTGTCTCATCCCATGTTTATTTCAAGTTTTTTTTATATATATATTTATGACAGACTTAGAACTACATAAACACTATTTATGTGTAGTTGAAATTTTTGTTTACATCCCTGTCATCTACATGCTCTTATATTATTGATCATGCTGTTTGACTTTTCATTTTACTCTGCATTAACAGATCTTTGATTCAATTACTTTTTCAAGATACATGTTCAATATTTTTTCGCGATACGATAATAGATGACATTAAAAAGCTTATTAAATAAAAGCTCCTTGGTGGTTTATTACATATCTTGGTATTCATTTTCTTAGCATTATTCTGAGTAGTCTCAGCATTGATGTATTTATCCTTGCAAGAGAAAGAAAAATATTTAAGTCTTTACAATTTTGATTGCAGATTCCGGTACATCGTTGCTATGGCAACCGAATTATAGTTATACCAGTTTAAGATATGAACATGATTAAAGCTACAATTACATTTTTATTAATTACAAAGACTTAACCTCCTTCCCCCCCCCCCAAAAAAAAAGTCAAACAATATGACATAGCAACTATAATACGTGAAAAATTGAAAACAAGAGGAAATTTTCAATAAATTCGATGCTTACAAAAATGACCATCATACTGCTATCTTGAAGACTCTAGAAATATAACTTGTCAGGGTGTTATGTATCTATCATAGTGTGTATATGTATACCCTGGTACCGTCATAAGCCTCAAAATCTCATTGCTGGTCACATATTAGTTAGTTACTTTTTATGATATTTTTTTCCCATTTTTGCATATTTGGTATGCTTTTAGTTGTATATAAAGCATCATTGTGAACATCGAACAAAATCAGGAAGACACGATCTGCATATATATTACAACAAAGCCTAAATTGGCAGTCGATTCCTTATATGACCATCGCTCAAAAATATCTACAGGGAGAGGGTTTTGTATAACTCGTTGTCTGCTGTTTTTTTTTTTGGGGGACCTACCGACCACGCCTAGGTCAGAGACCACATTGCAGGTTATATAAACCGTAAAGTGGCGGCGTCGGCGAGGGCGTAAACTATATGTAAAGCTTTAAATGTCAGGGGATAGAGAACCTAAATAACTCATACCTTGTATACATATGTGTTGTGTAACCAACTCTCCGTTTGTCCAGTTTCATAGTTCAAATACTGCTAAAAAACCTGTATAGTATGTTTTGTCAGGTGAGTGTCTCACCTTTTATAAGGTATAGTGGGTTCTTATAGTCGGTTGCCACACAATTGATCAAGGTAAAGGGAGTGTTGAACGCCCACAGACGTGTTTAATACTACCGCTATTTGTATGTGCTTGTACACATTATGGAAATCAGGAGTGTGTAATTCAATAGGTGTCGGTAGTTGCTGTATGTAAAGTCTTTTTTTTTCGTTTATTGTTTGATCAGACCAGACCGTAAGTTTATTTCATTTGAATTGTTTCACCATTTGTCTTGTCAGGGCTTTTAATAGCTGACAATATATTTTAAAGCTACTGATCTTATTTAAACGGTAATTTTTTTTTAACGAGAAAAAAAAAGTTCAATTTTGAAATATCGAACATAGATTGAACATCTATGTTTGGTACATATAAAAACAAAAAACAAAAAAAAGCAACAATTTGATTAACGGCATGATATGATTCATGTTGGGTCAAGGCAAAAAATGTTAACTTTATTTATGTTTTGAATTGCCTATTTCTTCACAATGACTTACAGAACATCCACGATTTAAATCACCGACAAAGAACGCAGTAATTTAATTTTTCATGTTAAAGATTCCCCGTACAATACGGTATACGTATCCCGGGGTAATGTGTAAACGAGAAATTTATAAATTTGTGACCACGGTATCTTAAAACGACAATCATGAAATATCATGGTTTTTCGTATCATTTGCATATAAATTTTGCGATGTGATTGTTATTCATCAGCAAAAATTCGTTAAAAAGAGGCATTTTATGCTTGGTCCCCTAAATAATAGAGAGAATCTGAAAAGAAAAAAAAAAAAGAAAAAAACCAATTTGAGATCAGCAAAATAAAAACCCTATTCATGAAATATATATTTTAATGATTACGAATGATCGGTTGTTGAAAAATGTAAATAGATTAAAATGAGCGACATATTTTCTTTAGAGCCCATAGTTTTGTTTTATCAGTTCCTTAACGTAAACGTAATGTACATGATTTTGACGACACGGACGCATTTGTCATAATGCCAATATGGTACAATAACAACGATACCGTAAAAGGTACTACAATGTACCACCACTGGGTCGATGACTCTGCTTGTAGACAGTAAGTCCATGAGATAATCATCAGCCAAATAGTGTGTTCTTCGATATTGGCATTGATTAAAGGCAACAGTAGCATACCCCTGTTCAAACGTCATAAATTGGTTAAGAGAAAACAAATCCGGTTTACAAACTAAAACTGAGAGAAACACATCAACTATAAGAGGAAAACAACGGAACAACAGAAACACGGATATTCGTGGTTCTAAAAATTCCACTCATTTTGATTTTAATGAATGTTTTTGTCTCACGCATAGCACTGATTTCTTTCCTGGTGTTGCTTTAGTTCCTTTATTATCTCTTTAACAATTGTTTCGGATTTGTATATTTTCTCATCAAGCATCACTGAAAGGACATTATTCCTTAATACACAAATATTGTGCCGTAAAATCAGCATCGTTAATCTTATTTCACATACTCAATAACAGAAACACAGCTTAGATGTCAGCATTTTGACACCTAATAAAAGAGGTTACTGGTGTGTATCGATGACAGAACATAAAACGGATATAAAAAATCCATGGAGTGTAAAGAAATCAAGGCAAAGGGACTACGAATTAGGAAAATATGACGGAAAGGATGATCCAGATGAAATAGCTCTGATTTCCGAGATACAGGTGGACTTTAGGGATAATTTAGATGCTCTTGTGTGCTGTTTAATTATTGGGGGTAAGTTTTTATTGTTTTTTTGTAGATACAATTCGTCAATAAAACATTTGTTTTTCAAATAGGAGCTATTTTGGATCATTGACCTTCTAAAGGAGTCCCCCTCCTTTTTATACTCGGTTCGAGAAGCATTGTTTTCTCATCTAGATGAATAAATTTAATTTGCGGGATTTCTTTTCTCGTATAGTAATATTGTATTGAATTTAAAATCTGGCTGAATATATGAGTTACTTATAATTTCGTGATTATTTTACAGTAACACATTTGTTCAATTCATGAAGCCTTCAAGGATTACAGTGAAGATGATTGTATATATAAAAAAGAAAATGTGGAATGATTGCCAATGATACAACTCTCCACAAGAGACCAAATGACACACACATTAACAACTATAGGTCACAGTACGGCCTTCAACAATGAACAAAGCCCATACCGCATAGTCAGCTATAAAAGGCCTCGAAATGACAAATGTAAATCAATTCAAACGAGAAAACTAACGGCCTAATTTATGTACAAAAAAACAAAACGAAAAACAAATATGTAACATATCAACAAACGACAAGCACTAAATTACAGGCTCCTGACTTGGGACAGGCACATACATACAGAATGTAGTGGGGTTAAACATGTTAGCGGGATCCCAACCCTCCCCCTAACCTGGGACAGAGGTGTAACAGTACAACATAAGAACGAACTATTAAAACCAGTTGAAAAAGGCTTAACTCATCAGATGGATACAAATAGAAATACTACACAGAGTGGACGTGGCCGGGTACTTGAATATCCCAACAACAAAAAGACAGTACGTAAAGATCTGAGAGTACGCGCAGTTACTGACAGCTAGTTCCAAGCGACTAACAACTAATAAAAATATCATGCATCTAAGACTAAATTATCAATCAATACACATCCAACAACCAATGTATTTAGTGTCAAGACGGCACAAACAGTCAGAGAAAATAATGACTTTGTGCAATGCCAAGATACAGGTATCGACAGATTACAGATCCATGAATGTGTATATGTATATAACAATAATATTAAGTTTGCTTTTAATTTACTGATAACAAAATCAATATTGAAACCCAATAAAAACAATATTCAATGATCTAATTACAGTGTTGAATTTGTAACCTTTAAAAATAAGTTTATGTAAAGGATCGATAAGTTTACCAGGATCGTTTATAAATTTCAGGGCACGGTAAACAACATTTCCGTAAAAACTGAGGATGACTTATCCCGTTTGAAATAAGTTTTTTACAGATACAACCAAATTGCAAAACCAAATCTTTGTATCTATGGAAGAATTTAGTTAAAAGTAAAATTACAAAAATACTGAACTCCGAAGAAAAATCAAAACGGAAAGTCCCTAATCAAATGGCAAAATCAAAACCTCATGATCAAACACATCAAACGAATGGATAACAACTGTCATATTCCTGACTTGGTACAGGCATTTTCTATGTAGAACATGGTGGATTGAACCCGGCTCCACAGCCAGCCAAACCTCTCACTTGTATGACAGTCGTATCAAATTCCATTATATTGACAACGATGCGTGAACAAAACAAACAGACATAGTAGGTAAAAATGTCAAAAATAGGGGTACAGCAGTCAACATTGTGTTATAATCTAAATCACTAAAAAACAAACAAATATGTAACACAGAAGCATAAAATGGTATATAGACCAAGCATATAAACAAAAATTTAGACAAGAATACACAAACTTAACATAGTACAATAACACAATGATGGGATGTATAAGTACAGAGCCACGTCATATATATATCAAAGAAACATAAAAAGGCATATAGACAAAGCATATAGCAAAAATGAAAGACAAGCATATAAACATGTTTTTTTACAATAGCACAGAGCCACGCTATATGTATCGAAGTAACACAAAAAGGCATATAGACAAAGCACATTAGCAAAAATGAAAGACAAGAATACGAGAATATCATTAACAATAACACTATGACTGGGTGTACAAGTACCACAAGTATCTTAATCACAATAAAGGTTTAAAGTAATTTTTGGTAACGAAATCCCTGGCTTAATAATTTACCAGTAATACATAGATTACGTTCGTTAAAATCAAAAACGTCACAGCAGACACGGGCATAGCGAACAAGTTGTGAAATATAAACATCGTAAGATGGTCCAAAAGGATCATCACCATTTAAAAGGGAAAATTAACAATAGGGAACGAAAAATCGTCCCTTTTGTCGTAAATTTTAGTGTGGAGTTTCCCGTGTTAAACCGAAATATCTTAATCTAGGAAAGGGCAGTTATTACCGTATAAATTTGATTTATTTAAAGTAAGTTCCTTTCGGTAAATTTCGGCAGTATATTTAGAAACTTCTTCATTATTTAACGAAAATATATCAGCAAGATAACGGTAAGTGTTGTTGTATTTATCAATTAAATGCAATTTAGAAGGGTCTTTACTGAGTTTGGTCATAAACTGTGATTTATAACAGTACAAAACAAGTCTGCTATTAAAAGGGCACAATTAGTGCCCATTGGAATACCTACAACCTGTCGATAAACTTTTTTCCCGAAACGTACATAAATATTATCAAGGAGAAAATTAACAGCTTCAATCATCTCATCACACCTCCAGTGATTATATCTAGCATATTTATCTTTCTCATTAGAGAAGAAGGTTTAAATGAGTTGCAGCAAATACATTTGCATTCAGATTTACCAAACGACCATTTAATTAAATAAAAAAACTTTTGTGGAAGTGTAGTGTAAAGTGTAGAAAAGTCAAAACTGTCAACAGAATGAAAAGGACCATCAAAAGCACGTAATTTATCTAAAACATCCAAAGAATTTTTTATACTCCAAACAAAGTTAATTCCACTATTTTCGTATATTTTATTGCAATAGTTTATGATAAGCTCTTTGATAGTAGTTAAGGAACTTGTTAAAAGCACTGAAAGATTAGTCGTAGAACACTTACTAGAGGCCGAGATGAAACGATATTTTACTGGTTTTTTTGTGTAGTTAGGTAACCAATATATAATTGGGACCTTCAAATGTTCAGAAGAAGCCTTAAGCTGTGATGTGGTTATTATATGTTTCTTTACTATATGACTCTCTATCTGTGGAACGCACAGACTTGAATGTTGATGAATTCAAAATTTCATTCTTAAGAACGTCCGTGTAGTTTTTACGGCTTTCTTGCTAATACTGTTTCCGTCTTTTAGTATAGCGCATGCTAATAATTAGTTATCAAGGGAACTGCCATTTTGCTGTTCGGCCTATAGAAATACAACAACGTGTAATCAGTGACTGGTTTTGATTGTGTTGTCATTGGCACGATAAACATGCTGAAGACTGCATTTTGAAGGTCTTGAAGGTCTTATTCCATCAGTGTTTGATTGCTAGCTTTATTTTTCTCTTCCAAATCGATATATGGGATTTAAACATTTGTTAACTTTTGTCAACTTACTTTGTTAATACCTTTTTTCAAGGCCCGTAGGTGGCCTTGATGTTACCTGCGATTTATTTCACCCACAAAGTATGTTCAGACAGGGTCTTACCTAAATAAAATTGAATGCGAACAATCTGTGAAATAAATTTAAGCAATAACATTATCAAATTTCCAAATGTTTTGACCAATATGACGTGCACTTTTGCAATGGGTTGTTTTGCAGAATAACATGAATAAATTTTTGTAAAAAAACAATATATAGCTAAAGAAGTATAAAGCAGAATGAAAATGTTTAGTGTGCGGTATATAAGTGCATAAATATAGATCTATAGTCTGCGACAGATGGCTGAAGAGGCTGGCATCACCTGCAATGTTTTGACATCTAAACATGCACAATGCTACCCAAGGTTGCATATTGAATGTACAGGACGAATCATCCAAACAAATTGCTTAAGGTGTAATACCACCATTGATTTTCCCCTATTAGTCTTTGTTAAATTTGCACTTTTCAAAAAATTGTGCAGAATTTATCTTTGTTTCAAATAAAGAAATACTTGGCATGAGTAAAGTTTGATCCTGTCCAGTACTATAGAAAAAAATTCACATAACATTTCATTGCATATAAGAAAATAACCATCTCTGGAAGTTAACCAATCAAATTTTCCCCCTTTTTTAACCTGTGTACAAGCTTTAGTAACCATGTAACCTCAAGTTTCCAAAATATTCTATAGAAACCCCAAATAAAAAAATAATGGTGCTGTGAAATACCCAAGATATATGTTTATGACCCAGAAATGTTTTACTGCAATGAAATGTAGGATCAATTACCTACAACTGTCAAATTCAGGGGAATATTTTTTTTCGACCTATTTTCGTATGCAACCGGATGTGACGTACTATGATTTGGTGGTATTACACCTAAAGAAGACTTTTTTGTTAAATAAACTGAATGTGACTTTTTTCCTTTGTAATACTGGTTATTTCAAGCATTCCTGTCAAGTTTTGTCATAATCAGTTCAATAGTTTGAGAAAAATCTAGTATAATGTAAGACGACATCTACAGCGATTCGAGCTAAATTTCTTCGAAAAACCCAAACCAAGCCGCATCATGATAGAATATAGTGTGGACCAATAAATGATCAAATATTTATCTCATCTGCCTACAAACAGTTGAATATGATACAAAAGATGACTTTAGGATGATAAATACTACTAATGGACCTCTTTGTCCTCCTTATAAGGTCTCTTTTGGTCCATTTATACCTCTCATTTACTCAAAATTTCTACTTTATAGGCCAATAAATAAAAATTTTGGGGTAACTTTCACTCATTTATGATAGAAATGTTATAATAAATGATTAATTGACGTATTCAAGCTGAATGAACTATCCGTATAAAAGTTTACTGTCTCCAAGGAGGTTTCAATAAGTCCTTACGTAAAACTTAAATTTACGCCGCGTTCCAGAGAGGGACATAAAAAGCTTCTCTTTTGGTGAATAATTTGTTGTTACTGCTTTAAAAATAATTTCATTTACTTAAAACTATATATTTATTAAAGTATTTCTTAGGAAAAATTTTCTAGTATAGCAGAATATAAGAAAAAAGGAGAAAAAGCTCCCCAAAACTCTAAGTATGGCTTATTCTGTCAACTAATATTCATGGTAAAGTCCTATTTCAAGGAAATTTTCTCATAAAATGTGTTTTTGAGACTCAATCCACTCAGAATATTTCATTATTAGTAATATTTCACTTAAATAGCAAGAAATGTTAACACATGAGAGTACTCGCAAGGTCAAAGGTGCATGTACAGCTTCCCATATTAGGTGTAATACCACCATTGATGTTCCCCTATTAGTCTTTGTTAAATTTGCACTTTTCAAAAAATTGTGCAGAATTTATCTTTGTTTCAAATAAAGAAATGCTTGGCATGAGTAAAGTTTGATCCTGTCCAGTACTATAGAAAAAATTTCACATAACATTTCATTGCATATAAGAAAATAACCATCACTGGAAGTTAACCAATCAAATTTTCCCCCTTTTTTAACATGTGTACAAGCTTTAGTAACCATGTAACCTCAAGTTTCCAAAATATTCTATAGAAACCCCAAATAAAAAAATAATGGTGCTGTGAAATACCCAAGATATATGTTTATGACCCAGAAATGTTTTACTGCAATGAAATGTAGGATCAATTACCTACAACTGTCAAATTCAGGGGAATATTTTTTTTCGACCTATTTTCGTATGCAACCGGATGTGACGTACTATGATTTGGTGGTATTACACCTAAACGAATTTTAAATATATATAAATGTACTTCCAAATGATCATGTTCAAGGAATAATTTTCTATTCATATAAATTTGTTCAAACATGTTAAATAACGTATACGGGACAATGACACGACGACAGTACAAAATATCCCGATTCAGTTTTACACTTAAGAAACATTTATAACAATACATGAGGTAGCGTTCGACTAAACAAATATATGCAGATAAACAAGGAATTGCAACCTGATATATATCTTCCTTTTAATGTTTGAGCGTTCCTGGTGAAGGTAAATCCAGAAAAGTGGTTCAGATGCACGAAATCTTTCAAGTGTTATATATATTGTCGTAAATAATTTCATAAACAGTGTTTAATGGACAAACTGAAGATGCAGACACAGATCTTTTTATTATCATTCGAACGGTTCAAGAGATTTTAAAATGTTTCATCTGCTATTTACAGTGTCGATGGAAGGAGAGTCGTCCGAAAAGAAAATATATGTATGTAATATCGTTCAGCAGAATGACATTTTATATATAAGTATGAAGTAGAAAAAAATCTTTTATCTGGAATTAGAAATTCCACATGTTTAAAGATGTCAGTTCAGTCATTATAAGTTAGTACATTATACTATCCATACACACAGAGTTCGGAGAATTTGGACAACAGAAAGCAGACACATCAGTTTTGTATATCGAAATAAGAAGATGTGGTATGAGTGCCAATGAGACAACACTCCATTCAAGTCACAATTTGTAAAAAGCAAACAAAAATAGGTCAAAGTACGGCCTTCAACATGGAGCCTTGGCTCACACCGAACAGTATGACGTCATATCTACATCAATATAAATATGACATTGCATCGATAATTAAAAAAACTCTCTTTAGTGTTTTAACCAGTACTGCGCGGTAAATTATTCTTACATATTTTGTACTTTTAACATATAGTTACACTGAATAAGACATTCCATGAAAAAAATCAAAACAAAGTGAATTAAGATGTAATAAAAAATATAGCTTTGGTTCCTTACATTTTTAGATATCAATATGTATTATGTCTACATGTATATACACGTTAGTGTGTGTTTGTGTGTTTGAATGAGATATATATAAACTAATATTACAGTAAAATAAAGTAGTAAATGAAATTTCAGGGAACATTTACTGATGTTTATCCAAACGCCTTGTCGATGTACCTCTTGAAGGAAGGAAAGTGGAGAATCCCAAAAGAGCATATCAAAAAATCGTTTAGTCATAGATCAATTGAATTTATTTATGAACAGGTAATACTTTATAAAAGGCAATGTTGGGTGTAATCAATGAGACAGCGATTAAACATAGAAACATTACAAAATCACATCGTCATTTCTACATACAGATTTATAAACTAGACTATTTATAAAAAAAAGTTTAGTAATTTTGCCGTCGGCACTTTTATGCTGACATAATATGATTGATACGGTAAATCTTACAGAAAGAGCGCCTGGGTCACTGGTTTGAATTTATTACGAATCTATTACTAGTACCAATATTTATGTCTGAAACATGTGAAATGGTCATTTCGGTCTGATTAAGTCATTACTGACGAAATTTTATGCAAGAGAAATTCATTTCGACTTTTTTAGCGTTTCTGTCGTCGTTCCAATCAAAAGTGATTGTAGTAATTTAAATCTCATTAAGACATTTCAAGATAAATAAGATGGATTGTCCTAGCTTTCGATTAAGATCATTTCAGACAATCTCAGTCATCATCAAACGAAGGATAAAAAATAATGTTAATATTCGTCAGACCTTGTTCAGTCGTGTTCTGTATGCATGCATTGTATAGTCTTCTGTGTACCATTATAACTTCAGTGGTATATCAGCATAAAGTATTTAACATCTCTTTGCCACATTTATTCCTCATTTCCGTTCTCAATTGTATAACATATCCATTCTTTAATAACTAGATGTTTAATTTACATATAAATACGTAAATAAAACATCTATTTATCAGTCAATAATCTTTTTAACGAGTGCGTTGGATTGTTATGAAAAACGATATTGTAAACAATGAACATACAATTATATATAATATTTTGTATAATAGGTGTACAAAATAACACAAATATTAAAAAAATGAATGTATATATTTTCAAATATTTCGGATAACAGATATTCTTCGTCGATATAAAATGAATCATAGCAATCTATTCAGATTTAGAGGGGCACTAGCTGTCAAATTCATGTTCACCGATTTGACTCAAATTCTCATATTCGACTTATAACATACTAAAACGTATATCCAAATAAAAAAAAGTCTAAAATAAACAATTTACGACGCATAAACTCGAAATTATTTTATCATTTCGTGTGTATTGTAGTCTTGACGCCATCTAATTAACAATCGAGGTGACCTTCCGAAGACTGCCGATGTTTATATAACCCGTTGTAAACAATAACATAGATATAAATAGATAGCAAACTCGTGTAAATGGATTTTTCTAGGTCAGTTTGATTTCTTAATTTAAGTTAAAACAATATGGTAATAAACGTTTTCACTTGAATAAGAATGAGTTTTGTAGATCGAATCAGTAAATCAAATGGTTTACCCTTGTTTAACTTTCAATGTTGATATTATTTTCCTTTCACTAGTTAAACACGTCTAGCTCATGTGTAACCCATCTCTAGCTAAGAGGTTCAATTGAAGTTTACATGAATACGGATTTAATGAGGTCGAATAATTCATAAGCAAATGTTTTTTTCTTCTTTATTTTGACAAAACTGAACCAAACTGACTGCTTAAAGCGAATTTTTATTTCACTATTTCACTTTCATTAATGATTGATCCAAAACAAAATCATATTCAATTTTTTTTTATTTTATCTCGTCGCTAGTGCCCCTTTATTTTAAACAATTTTTACCGTTATTTAATTAAAACCGAACCATGCTTGTATAATTCTAATCATAATTTAAAACTTTGCATACCAAAATAATACCAATGTTCGCTATGACATGATGACTAGGGACAATTCTAAAATTTTACGGTTGACAAAAGTAACGTTAATTCATCAAAGACTGCGTATATAAACATCCCCAATAAATAGCTCTGTACGATTTTACTGGAATAATTCTAAAATTTCAAAATTGACAGGAATTAAATATCAAGATAAGGCTGTATGAACCTTCTTGTCAAAGTATTAAAAAGAAATATATGTTTCCATTTTACACAACATATATTACCAGTCAAGAGAGTCATACTAGTGACATGTTATTTGTTAATGGAACAACCTTCGGATAGTCTTGGGGATCGGAACGGGAAGACGAAATAATGTCTCACGTTTTGCGAGTGTCGCTTATCATGTTAACCTTGAATATATTTATATCATGTAAGTTATTTGATATACGTTCTTGTCCTTTTCCTGAAAAGGTTCATCGGAAGATACCAAGACCTTGTTGATAAATATTTCGTTTCAACTTCACAAATAATTCACGATGGTCTTGAAGTATAAATTATAGGTACTCACGTTGTTTATCATCTTAAAAACGTGCTATAGTATTCTTTTATTTGTCTTTTTAATTTATTACTTTTAACTGTTTAGTCTATTTTAGGCAGTATCGATTTCATGAGGCTCGGTACTTGTAGTTGTACATCCCGTCATTGTGTTGTTGTGCTATGGTATTTTTTTGTATTTTGTCTTTCATTTTTGCTAATGTGTTTTTTCTATATGCCTTTTTATTTGTCGTTGTTGACATATTTGCTTGTTTTTGTAGTGATTTATTTTACGTTGCTCTCTACTTGTACATCTCGTCATTGTGTAATTGTACTACGGTAAATTTTTGTATTCTTGTCTTTCGTTTTTGCTAATGTGCTTTGTCCATACGCCGTTTTGTTTGTCTTTGTTGACATATCTGCTTGTTTTTGTAGTGATTAAGGTTATTACACAAGGTCGACTTCTGTACCCCTATTTTTGACATTTTTATCTATTATGTCTGTTTGTTTTGTTCACACATCGTTGTCAATATAATGGAATTTTATGCGACTGTCATACAAGTGAGAGATTAAGCTTGCTATAAAACCAGGTTTAATCCTACATTTTCTACATAAAAAAATGCCTCTACCAAGTCAGGTATAGGACAGTTGTTGTCCATTCGTTTGATGTGTTTCAGCTTTTGATTTTGCCATTTGCTTAGGGACTTTCCGTTTAGAACTTTCCTCGGAGTTATTTTTGTTATTTTACTTTTTGCGTTCTATATGAGGGAAGGTTATTCATTTTTAGTTTTTAGTAGGCCAGGATAGTTTTTTTAAATTCTGCTGCTCACTCCAACCGCCCATCCCTCATATAAAAAATTTTCAATCCCATAAAAGTGTCAATCTGTGTCGGTTGACAGTTCATATTATATCTTTTATTAAATGTAAATACCTTTCATCAATCAACTGTTGAAATAAAGCAAAACTCTTTTATTAAATGTAAATGCCTTTCATCAATCAACTGTTGAAATAAAGCAAAAAAAAAAAGAAATGTATATCAGTTACAAAATAAAACAGATTTTTAAACCAGATTGTCCTTGCAAAATAATGGGCTTTGTGCAATTATTAAACATATTTAGAAATGGTTGTACTGATTATTTTTTGGGGCATTTGTATATCTACATTAAATTGATGTAACATCTGTTTTGCAAAATAATTAAGATCTAATCATTATAAACATGATAAAAATAAAAATGTATCTATTGCTGAATAGGAATCAAGCAATTTTTTGAAAGAAAAAAAAATAATGCATGTCCAATGGGAAACACGAAAAGGTGTTTAAGAAATGTTTCCGATAATTTATTCTCATTATCTCTTTACAGACGCAAAATAAATTAATCAGAAAAGAATAAGGAATCACAACTGTGGTTTTGTAGATTTACACGTATAAATCCTGTTAAAACACTCATTATATACTGACTTGTATAACCAATGACATATTAGAAATTATATCGAAGTATCAAATATTAAATGTGTATACGTTATTTAATCAAATATTAAATAAAAGACCGCGAAAAACTCAAATCGACGTTTGCAGATTTTATTAAACACAGATGCAATGCTTGAAAAACGTCTGTTTTGCATCCGAATACTTAAAATTGAACACAATCTGACAAAATATGAACAGTAATGTTTTTTTTTTAATTATCTTAGACGCCCGTTATAAAAACTCGTCTTGTTTATGTTAACTTATCTTAATATGTCTTAAATGGAAATTATTGCACTCATACTGAACGTTTATCTCATTGTGGACAATTCAGTCTTGATCAGAGCAAAACAGACAATTTTAGACTAAAATACGACTTCTAATGTGTGTACATTACTAGTCAAGTAAACATCTAGCAAATAAAGATAAAACCTTCTAACTAAAATAAATATATTTTTACAGTTATCGTAAAAAAATTAAATTATCAACATTAATACTTCTCAAAATATGTGGGACTAGTTGCACATGGGCATGACATAACGCAAAGGAATAATCATGTTCCGTAAAATTTTTAGGAAATATGGAAAGAAAATAAGTATCTTTCCACTATGCACGCCCTGCTGTTACCATTACCCACCTTAATTTAAAAAGGAAATATATGAAGTCTGAACACGAGACAAGTGTGTCTGAAGACAACACAGACCGTCTGTAAGTTTGACAACTCGAAGGTTGTGTGGATACAGATCGGACCGTCTGATGGAGACAACTGTTCTTTTGAATAAAAACTTATCAGTTCGAAAGAGCTTTCAACAATGAACATAACCAATACGGTACCATACACAATAGCGATCAGTTCTATTCTCTTCAGAAGGTAGAATGCACTACCTGAAGAATTTTCTAGAACGGTTTGACTCCTTATGACAATTTTCTGGAAGAAACTTGTTTTGTAGAAATTTGTCAGAGGAATTGATCATATTTTATAAGAATGAAATGTGTCTATAGAGTTCGAATCCTATCATAGACAAAACAAACATTACTCGAGTTAACCAGAGCAGACACGTAAAAATATGGGATAAATAGAAAATTCACAGTGGTGGCCTTATCAATGCTAATACAATGAGCAAAAACACATTTTGCATTTGAAATGTTAAGTATTTACATCGATGATTATGTCTCTTATACAAACATGAAAATAAATGGTTTTATTGCAAAGGAAAAGCAAGTATCAAAAATCTTTCATATACTTAGTAAACATTTTTTTTAAATAGGATATGACTTCCGAAATCAAAAATGGTCTTTGGTCTAATTTAACAGTTATGACCAGTATGGCGTACAAAACTCCTGAATTTCGAGGTATGTATTGATTTATTAAATGAAAATAACATGTCATAATTGTGATATGCAAAATCGCCTTTCTGGATTTACCTTCATCAGGAATCTCAAACCCAAAAATATGAAAACCAATGATGTGACAGAGCCTAAATACGTGAATAGCTGTATGACCAACATGGACTTTAAAATATTTTCAAAATCAATTCGACAAATGTATAAGGGTGCTGGAACCTTACATTTTAATAACTTATATACATACCATTTGCATATTTAAGAATGTACTGACTACTAAGCTGTCAAAAGTGACGTGCTTAAGTAGTGTAAGTTTGCGATTAAGGCTTATACATGTTATAAAGGATGTAGGATCTCCTTAGATCCAGCAGTAAGAATTAAGATACTATGAAGTCAGGAACGATATTATTTCTGCTATTGCCATTTCATTAAAAAATGATCGCACAATATTCAAAATAATGGCAATCAAACGTAGGGAGAAAACATAATTTTATAGAAAAAAATACAAAGTTAAACGCTTAAAATATTTATGGACTACTCAATAGTCATTTGATGATTCATGTGATTGGTTAATATTGTTTTGCCTTTTCTGATGATACCAGATATTGTCACTTATGACATTCCGTGAAATATCTTAACCTGGGAATTAAGAGAATATGTGATAATAAACTGTAAATTAAGGTTTTCGGGGACATTTTAGTCAAAACCAAAATTTCCATGGGAAACGTGTCTTCATTTAAAACATGTAAAAACTCACATTTTAAATTTCATACCTTATTTATTCATTACTTCTATGTAACCTTTACCGAAATCTTTAATCTCATATTTTTTATCTTCCCTCCAAATAAATATATAATATCATTTTGTTTTTTAATTTAAACTCATTTACAAATTGGCCACTTAAGAAATGATAATATTAAATTAATACATACAGTAATCGTGATAATATAAATCATAAATATACTAACTTGCAAGAAGAGATTAACAGAAAAGAAGAAATAGAGAATCAAAAACGAGTACGTTAAATAAAAAACGATGGAATACTATTTGTGTGTGTATAAAAGAATATTACAAACGATTTTGAGGATAGTAATGAACTAATAATGTTATGTGTTTACGAATCTTTTTTATGTAGGCTAAAAGAACACAACGTATGCGTCTTGCATTTAAAATATGGTGTCAATGTCTTACTTTAACAATGTGTTCATATATGAAAAAAATAAGAAGATCTGGTATGATTGTCAATTATGCAATCTCCTACAGAGGACAAATGAAAAAGAAATTAGCAACTTAAGGTCCCCGTCGGCCTTTTATGTTTTCCTTTCTTTTAATTAACATTATTGATACCATTCCTTATGACTTAAACTATCTATCTAGCTGCCTAACTTGTAAAGGGAACATGGCAGTGTAAAGTAATATTCCAATTACACAAATGTAACCTCAAAATTCCTTTTGACCTTTTATTCAATAAATTTCATTTTTGTAATGTTTTTTTTTTTAAATGATTCATCATAGAAGAAAAAGAGGAAGAAGAAAACTCGGGAAGCAATGCAGATGAAGATAACAGAAGACGTAGTCGTTTTGTTGAGACTGAACAGAAGATACAAGGTAAATGTGTAATTAAGTATTACATTCAAATTTCAAATGTCAGCAACGGCTAAGTGATGTTTTGCAGAGACATGAACATTTGTAAATGCACGAACTTTAAATAGCCGATTTTGATTAAATACCTTGTGTAGTAATATTGTCTATAAAAAATGCTTTGGGGGAGTCATATAAATTCAAAGCTTACATGAATTGACATCTTGACATTAACCCGGTTTAACAAAAGTAAAAAGTTTTCACATCAAGAGTCATGTTTGATTTTCTACACTTTTGTTTTTAGTATATTCATGTAGGCTAGCCAAATATATTCAATTGAACACAATTGATTTTTTAGTCTTGGAATACATAGTTTATTTACTTGAAATTAATTTCAGCCAGCTTTCAGTAACTGCTACTACGCTTAAGTGAGCACCTCTTGATTTTGTCTTGTTTTATCTGTTGCATTTGAGTGTGCTTTTTGCCATTCTAATGAGTCATATTGTTCCTTTCTGATTTTAAAGATGTGCTTTTATATTGAGCTATTACATGTACATGTCCCTGGTTAAATGGTTGGGAGGAGTGAACCATAACATGTCTTTTCCCGCCATTATCAGTATTTAATTGTCCAAAATCTGAAATCTGTTTTTATCAGTGGATCTAGTTGGGTACCTTATGTCATATATATCGTCGTGTGAGTCTTATAGTGTAATGTGTCCGCGTTTTACATAAATTTGATAGCTATTTATTTGATATGCATGGACAATGGTCTATTTATGGTATTTTTGCTGTCAACTATTTTTTATTCAAACTATCTTCATAATACTATGCTTAAAATGTTCGCATGGTTTGAACTAAATATATGTCGGGTAATTCTTACCAAAATATGCAGTCCCGAATTGAGGGTATTACACAAAAAAATATTACCTATCTCCTATAAAAGTATAGGGACTCTTCTCAAAAACAAAATTATTTGTCGTAAAGTATTCCATCTCAATTAAAGAAGGTGCTTTATTTATTTAAGGTGCATGTCTTTTCAAATGACAATGTGACAAAGAGTTACTTGCCATGTCCCGAAATTTAATTCCTACATAAAATTTTATATCGCTATCAAATATCTATGACATACTATTTTAAACCTCATGCTCAATTTCCCAACACTTGGGGAAAAAATTGGATTTACATCATTAACACACTCATACGACGATATCGTTTTTCGTTTATTGATTGGTAACATTAAGACTCAACATGCACTTGTCAGTAGATGTATTGTTTTTAAATAGTAAAATTATTCGAAACACAGGAATTGTTTGTGCTTTCAATCCTATTCTATTTGGTATTTTGTCCGCCAATGATGAGTCATATGTCTATTAAAGGCGCGTTTGGAGTACAAATTCCAAGCCTGAAATTTTTGTTGAAAGTACTTAACATAAACCAGGTTGTTAATTTTTCTCTTTTGAATTGTTTTAAGTTTGTCAAGTCTTGTCTTTGTATAACTTTCTGTATTGAATATGAATTAATTGTTCATTGTTGAAATCCGTACCATGGACTACAGTTGTTTTCATTCAAGAACTTAAGTCTACGGTGGGAAGTCGTATTCACATACAGTATCTAACACATGACGGCGGCAAAATCGGTTTGTTAATAAATCAAACGACTAGTATAAAAAGTGATTAGGCCGCGACTACATTTTGCCACCTATTTGAGCCACAGTCATATCATATCCGTTAACCGTCTATTATGGAGACCATTAAACTTATGTTGTGTCGTTTACATTATATACTTCCTCATAGCTACTTTAAAGCATTTTTCATCTACCGAACGTATCTCTTATAATAGAGTTTGTTTATAGAGTGAACACAATCGACCCCATCGAATTAATTGAAATATGTAAACGCCGTACGACATGAGGTAAACTAATACCAAGAAAAGACAAAAATACGTGTATTGAAGTTTCGTTGTTTTTATGGTTCAATTCGAATATGACAATTTTGCTAAGTCTTGAAGGCCCCTCATAATAAGACAACATTTAGATTTTTTTTCTGTTTTGTTTCAGGTTTTTTCCGTGATTTTTTTTTTTTTTTTTTTTTGTTGAAGCCATTTTGTGTTTTTTGTTTTTCTTGTGCCTTTAGATTATTTTTTACCTAAGATGAGGCATACAAAATATATACAACAATAATTCAAAATATTACCCTCTCGTTTACATCATATGAATCTATCGCGATAATATATTACAAAGCTGACATGGTTCCTCTTATCAGTTCATATAGAAAATCATACCTTTATAAGGGACTACTCCTGTATAATAATGTTGTCTTTGTGTGGTGATTAATGGTATCTTACTTGAATTATAATCAACTATGGAAAGTATGTAACTGAACTTAGAATAAAACAAAGATGATTAAGATTGACTATGGTTGAATCTACATCATTTCAGATGCATGCCTTCTTTAACGACAATAAAAAATATTAAAAAGGGCATGGCTAGTTAAACAGGGCTGAACAAGATTTGAAATTAATTTCGAAGACCACAAGGGAATCATGTCGTCTGACGTTAAACTAGTTTCAAAAGATTAGTTTATATATTCATTTTATCAAGCTTGTTTTAATCACTTCATTTCAAGCATTGTTGAAACCATTTTGTCCTAACAATCTAAATGCCGGTTACTAGTGAATGTTATTTCTATGTCTGCACTTGTAACTTACTATTTTTACGGACCTACTTTGTATCGCCTGATCTAAAAGAAAATATTGTATGCAATAATACGAAGAACTAGATATATCAAACTACTCTGAGCTTCAATGATCTCACCTAACTTTAACCGAATATTTCTTTATATAGGAATTACAAGAATTGCTAACATAGTTTTCTATATGTTTATACTTCGTTTCAAATACTAAATAATGCGTAGACATTAGTCAATTAGGTTAATTCTGTAATTTCAATTGATTTATGAACGCTTTGAAAGGTAATATGTTTTTGAAAAAAAGTCGTTGAATGCTTATACAAATGCATAACCTAGTTATTTTTTTATTGCTATAGTTTTTATGCACTACTGAATGAATAGATTTGATTATTTCCTTCACGTTTACGCTACATTGAAAACCCGTTAATGTCCAATGTATACCTTACGATTATCATTTCATTTTATTGTGTGAAAGTATCATTGTCTTTTTCATTATTTTTTTTATTTCTGAGAGTCCATAATTGTATCCTTTATATTTGATTATTAACAATAACAGAAGCAGCTCCTACCCCACGCGATTTTGCACTCTTTACAGACTAGACACACAGTGTACGTCTGTACAATATTTCGCAATTTATTTTTCGTGAGGCCAACAAGAATTATTAAAAAAACAAACTTTGTTTAAAAGAAGGACGAAAGATACCAGAAAGACATTCAAACTCATAAATCGAAAAAAAAAAAAACCCTGACAACACCATAGATAAAAAAGAAAAAGACAAAAAGACTAACAATAGTACACAAAACACAACATAGAAAAGTAAAGACTAAGCAACACGAGCCCCACCAAAAACTGGGGGTGATACCAGGTGCTCCGGAAGGGTAAGCAGATCCTGGTCCACATGTAGCACCCGTCTTGTCGCTCATGTTAGTTCAAACCCGGTAACAATTAATCAGTATCAGCTCATAGAACTTGCCAGATGATACCCATGTTTGCATGGTTAAGAGTCTAGTAATTATATATTTGATACAGTTTACATTATTTCACAAACAAGTTATACTGCCAATGCAGTTCCTTTTTATTGCAGCTTCTTTAGAAACTATGGTCATGCTATATTTTTTTTATTTTTCACAGGACGCAATATAGTACTAACAGTTTCAGTTTCTGAATTGTATGGCCTTATATTAATTGCATTGCTGCAAAAAGAATATTGGTCAGGTGCAACACAGCTGATAGAAACAGGATGTGTAAGTTATAAATGCAAACAAAGTCAGCAGCAGCTAACGGTATCATCCTGTCATCATGTCATTGTTAAAATCTATAGACGCATCCTTCCTTTAAAGACATGTGATTAACTTGATAAAGATACACGACTAAGGGTAAAGGCATTATTAAAGTTGTTAGGTTTTCTATAACTTTGCAAAACAGAAAAAAAAATCTAATCTGTTGATTACTGTTAACCAACGCAAAAATACATGGTTCTGAATAAAGACTGTTGAAGGTTATTGCTGGTATTCAACTAAAACTCAATAGAATCATTAATGTATACGCATGTTTATAGTTATCAAACTTGTTTTAATTTCTTGACATACTATATTTAACGTACACCACGTCTTCATAGATAGTTCAGTTGAGGATTAATTTATTAGTTTGACTAAAAGAGCAATCTTACAGTAAGATAAACAAGAAACTACATTTAATTTCAGAATTGTATTAATACTTTCGTTCTTTTGTTTTCTTCTTTTTATGCAAATTAAGTAATCATTAGGTCGAGTCGACTCATTTGCTATCTTCCGTTTGATACTTGTACATATTTTTAAAGTTATCCATCAAAACGAGATGAATACTTAACATCATCTTGACATATCTTGTTGCATTAGGTAAATCTTTTTAGGAAAAATGCAGCAAGTTGTATTGCTTTATCCAACACTATTGTCAAACGATGACAAGACCATCTTGATATATCTTGATATAGAACTGAGATCATTTTTAAGAATATTCAACACATTATCTTTCTTTCACTTAAATTATATTGACAGTTATTTCTTCACTTACAGGTGTTACTGATAATAATTGTCTGTTGTGAATAAAACAACAAACGAGCCGATTTAACAAATGGTTCCGAGTGGTAAAAGTACAATCATTCGTCAAAAGATCCACTATCACCACCACGGGTTGGCCGTTATGGAATACACATGAGTGCGGTCAAAATTTAAAAAAAAAGTTTAATTTATTACAATGCTCTTATAATTACCTTTTGATTTTAGTTCTGCTCCTTGCTAAAATAATTAATGATCAAGTTCGCTGTTTATCGTTTAGAAAAATTGTTTCAAAATGAAGGCGAAAGATGCCAAATAAACATTCACATTCATAACTCGAAAATAATCTAACAATGCCGTGGCAAAAAATAAAAAAAAAGATCAAAAGACAAACAAGAGCATACAAAAATCAAAAAAAGAAAACTTTACTGGTCAGTAGTCTGAGATCTAACTGGAGGAGATAACTAAAGCTATATATGTTCGCCTTATAAACACCCATGAATATTTTGGCGGTGAAATTTATTGACAGGTTGTTGGCATTCTTATGAACATTTATAATTAAACATCTTAAATGGGTCTGTTATTGCCGATTCATTCTTATATTCATATATAATAAACGTCTTTCAAGAGCTGTTCAGAAAGGAAAAAAGGTGGCAAACATTATCCTTTTGATTAAGGTTTTGCTTTAAAGATGATGTTCTCTCGCTACATTATTGAACATTGGATGACTATGAACTTTTATTAAATAAAGTAAAGTTTAGTCTGCCTCATAATATCACTTAAATCTAAGATTTGGTCATGAGAATTAGTTGGAAATAAACAATTCCAGCTGCGGATGCGAATGGTGTTTATATTTCAAAATGGATTCAATCATCAAATAGGACCTATTTCTATCCTGTTTTATTGATAGACACAGGCTGCTTACTATGGAGCTATTGAAACAGACTTTAGAAAAATAATAAGAAGCATTAACCACACTAACATTCTTTGTTTTTATTTAACTATTGATGTCAGTGGCAGCTTTTAAGTATATGTTTTGGGGAAATATTTTTAATGAAATTTTTATATTCAATATATATTATAATGGATCATACCTTTTCTTCAATTCAGATCCGGATTCATCATATCCTCATTGGATGTGTTGTACTGGACGATTCAATCAACAACTGGAGAACATCTCCGTTCCTTAAAGAAAAATTACAACGACTTAAAAAGTAATTTAAATGTTTTATGTTCAGCAATATTAGTTCATATTGATAATTATAAACTGTTTATTTTTCACAGCAATTAGTTTTAGTTTGGTTTTAAAATATAGTTAACCATATGCATGTTTTCTTTTAATAAAGAAAAAAGGTATTTATAGGCAGTGATTGTAAAAATTATTCAGCCTTCACGATAAATGATTTGGCAAACGTTAAAAAAATAAGGCAATTTATAAATAAAAAAGAAACATTTAAAGCCTGTGTATACACTACGTGAACATGAATATGTGAAAAAAACATAATGGATTATGCAAAGAAAGTAAAAATTTGGCCACAGAAATTAGACTTTATAATATAATTTCACAAAACCAATCTCTACGATTTAAAATATGCATACGATTTGTATCTGGTCTATTCTGGAAACATTTTGATGAAAATGTATTTTTTATTAAAAAAAAAGCTGTATATTGGTGAGATAAACATCATAACCAACCGAACACTTGGTTGACATTTGCATGTGGCATTGGCGTCTTAAGGATGTTCGCTACTCTGTTTCAAAATAACAAGCTTTTTAAAAGACTGTTATAAACTGACAGTATATAAATAAAAAAATAAAAAAGCAGAAATAAATAAAGGGTCCGTGTGCTTCTTTTCGAGATATAAGCCATTGAAAACTTGGCGGGAAATAATTCTCTCTAGACTTTTCATATATTTAACATTGGCACCCTTTTTCTTTAAAAAATTATGAAAAAATAACAAGGATTTTATAGCATTTTCAAATATGACTATTTAAACTATATATAATAAAATTATGAAAAGAAAAATAGGGGTTAACGGGCAAAATTTTATTGGCACTAACATGGATAAAACTAGAGGATTCCGAATATCTGACAAAAAGTCAAAACAAGAGTAGCGAACATCCTTAAGGAAACGGAATCACCATTCAAAAGTCAAAATCCATTAAATCAACGATTTACATAAGAAAAGAGCGCAATGAAAACATCAATAATATTTTTACGATGCGTAAGATCTTGTAAGATTTGTATTTTTGACAGCAACACATTTTGAATTCGGCAAATGTTCATAATAAAATTAAGAATAAAAATAGGGAATGTGTCAAAGAGACAACAACATGACCAAAGAGCAGGAAACAGCCGAAGGCCCGCAACGGGTCTTCAACACAGCGAGAAAATCCCGCACCCGGAGGCGGGCTTCAGCTGCCCCCATAAACAAAAAATGTGTACAAGTTCAGTGAAAATGGACGCCATACTTACTCCAAAACATTTAAATGAACTAAAATAAAAAATCATACAAGACTATAAAGGCCAGAGGCTCCTGACTTTGGACAGGTGCAAAAATGCAGCGGGATTAAACATGTTTAGTGAGATCTCAACCCTCCCCTATACCTCCAGCCAATGTAGAAAAAAACAAACACACAGTAATGCGCACAGTAAAACTCAGTTTAAAAGAAGTCTGTTAATGTTTGTTATGACTGCTGAAATGAATTTTAAAGACCGACATTGTTCAACTTTTATTGTAGATTATAATGTGTCCTTAAATTTTTGTATTATGATATTCCCCAGTTGGTTTGGTTACACATCTAGCTCATTTCAGATATATCAGCTGTTAAAAGTTTGTATCGATTTAGCATTTCCAAATATTTTTGCTTTGAACATCACAGACGGGAGATTTGTTTTATTTGTTTTTCAAAATGCTGAACTGGTTTAGTAAAATTAGTACCATTATTGTCATATAAAAGACTTTCCGAAAACAATTCCAGTTTTCTGTAAGCATTACATAATTTTGTAGCGCATTTACCCAGAGAGCTATTAAGATAACAAGCTGCATCGGCGATGCTGACAAAAAAAGGAAGGAGACCTCTACAAAACGAAAAGAAATCAAACGGCAGGATGATGCACATGAACAAGAATTGGGTGAATATATTAATCATGCTGGAAGGCTATTGTTGAATCATGGGTATATAGAGGATGCCATAAAAACTCAAAATAAGACTTATCTTGACAACACCTCAGTGAAAGACATCTTAAATGAAATGTGGTACGGTACAGAGAAGTTAGATTCCCGAACGGTAATTTAAAGATATATTCATTTTTTACACATTAATCGTTTTTAAGGAAATTTATCTGAAACTCAAAGATTTGAAAGCCACGTGTGAACCCTTTGATACTGTCACGAAAAGGTTTCTCGCACAAACTATTTATGAGTTCAGAAAATGTCTTGTGCGTGGAATAGACAAAACACTAAAACGTAGAAGTTTTTGTTTGTCACAATGCACATTAAATGTGATTTCGATTGAAAAAATTAATTGAAAATATTGTTTATTTGTTTCCATAAAAATCGCATCTATACAAGTGTTTCCTTTGAGTCTGGGTGCCATTGTCATTCAAAGAAATTTATGCTAAACAAACCTAAAATTTCCTTTCATACTTTTAAACAATGCCTTATTGATTTCGTAACTTAAACCAGTCTTACCAGTTTAAATCTAATCCAAAGAGTTTCTAGTTGATCATAGAAGAACTTTAGAACAATTTTAAAACACCTTGTTATTTGGAAAACGAAATGGGTTTGCCAACAAACTGACGCTGTGCTGATCTAAATTAAAAGTCCACAATTCAACTGGAGTAACGTTGGTCAGGTTTTACAAGGCCCAAAAGGAATCAATTAAACCAATAGTTTCAAACGGTGAAGTTGAAATCATCCCTTTCTAAATTTTACAGACGCCATCACAAGTTGGTTGACTGTTAGGGAATATTCGTTTTACAGATGACAACGGTATGTTCCCATTGTCGTAACTACGATCCCGACCCCTTTCCCGATTGTGACATGGTTTGTACTAACATAAGCAACATGACGGGTGCCACATGTGGAGCAGGATCTTCCGACCCTTCCCGAGCACCTTAGACGAGAAATGTCTGTACAAAGTCAGGAATATTGCAGTTGTTTTCCCTTTGATCCGTTGGTAGATATAGTCTATTATCTGACATACTGAGTGAAATCATAAGTGTTCTGATGTGACGAATCTAATTGATGTATTTGTCAGATATTTTATTTAAAGTTTGAAAATAGATTTTCCGATAGTAAATACATGATCTTAACAACTCTTTAAAGTCTGAACAATAGATGTTTAAGGTAGATGGGGTGTCTTAGTTATAATCCATAGAATTTTTTAATAATTTGCCTAAATGTAGTTTATATCATGCTTTTTAAAAAAAAATAATAAAAAGAATGGGTCACGGGGATTATTTTCACGCTACAGGTTGCGCAAAATTGACAGATTTTGTATAGATTATGCATGGAAAACCCAATTTTCTGCCATAAAACGAAAACTACACCATAGAATTTTGAGATAAAATATGAGAAGATAGCTCTAATAGCATGCTTTCAGATAAGAAAAAGAAAAAATGGGGTCACGGGACCCGTTTTCTTGCTACATAATAAAATAAGTAAATTCCTAACACATTCTATTGTAAAAGTAACTTTATCTGAATTATCTGCCCTTACATTTGAGTTGCCTCCCCTTATGTGGCAAAGTTGGAAAAAATAGAATCAAACAAAAGTATTCTGTTTTTTTGTAAAATACAACCATAAATATGATATAATATGTCATTTTCTCTATTCAAATGAAAATTCTTACACATGAATTACCTACTACTCTCAAAATTTGCACCTTTTATTAAAGATCTAGACCGATTGATTTCTGGTATTTCAAAATCCAAGATGGAGGAAGACACCCTATCTACCTTAAGTCATTTTCAGTCTTTAAGTCAATTTTCATACTAATATTTTATTGTGATAAATTCAATACTATTCAGACCATTTACTTGTAGTCAGTTTGGATCCATTTAGTCTATGTGCAAAATGTTCAGTAGTTATTGTATTTTGCTAGTGTTTACAAATATTACTGAATTTAAATTTCATGGAATTTTTGGGAAAATATTGACCCTTCGTGAACCTATCCTTTAAATTACTTAGCTTTCCCTTTTAAGATTTTGTAAAACTGGCAATTTTGTTAATAAGTTAGCAAAATTTGTTTTTTCTGAAAAAAAAAATGAGAACTTTGTATAAGCGAAGACTGATTAAATGTCAGCAGTATTCTTTCATTTAAAATTTTAGTGAAAGTCAAACAAGTTATTGCATTTCTATAGATAATAAAAACGTTAAATATTTTTTTTTCAAGTGTTTTGTGAGACTGTCACTGATTTTTTTTTCTCACCTCGCGTCAACAGTAACAATACTATTTTGCTTGTTAACTACTTAAATAGTCTTTGTGGTAACCAAGGAGGAGCACAATTTTTTAGGATTAATCGAGATTTATTTTCGAATCCAGAACGGTAACATATATTTTTTTTCACTATTCGGAAAAAGCGTGACATAAGGCTGTTAATGTTGAAAAATGAGAAAAAAAAGACATTATAAGAACCTCTTGATTTCCACATTTTAAATTTTAAGTATGTAATTTGTAATTTTGAGCATGGCTTACAAAATCAACTAGCAATCTTTTGTTGATTTATTTTCCTATTATGTTTACTTATCGAAGCGTCAAATTGGATCCAATCTTATAAATTTATGACAAAGAATATATCTACTCCAAAATCTTTGCTTACATTTTTAACAATGTGCAAAAAAACTTAATCGAAAAATAGTTACGCCGGATTTGAATCCTTATCTTTCGCATTATGTGGCTTTCTTCCCAGTCGAAACTTATTTCGAATTTAAAAATAGAGGATTTGCCATGCTCATACAAACGATCGTATAAACATCTCTTATGAACAATTTTTAACCGAGGCGTACGGTTGATTAAAGCATGCCTGGATCTACCATCGTTAAATTGAGAACATATTGATCAGAATAATATACAAAAACAGATACCCCATGTACCACTCATTTATACAGTGAAATAGGTTTGTAATTTCAAATATGTCATGGAGTTTTGAAGTTCAAATGGAACCATATAAAATATGCACATTTTAAAATGCAAAAAAAGAAGAATCATCGAACAAACAGCAAATCGGACCAAAAACAACGGGAAAAAAAGCAAAAGTGTCGAACGAAAAGAAAAATAATCGGACAGAAAGCAAACCGGACCGAAAGCAAAAGTGTCGGACAAAAAGCAAAGGTATCAGACAAAACGCAAAACGGACCGAAAGCAACGGACAAAAAGCAAAAGTGTCGGACAAAAAGCTAAATTATCGAAAAAATGCAACACTGGACAAAAAGCAAATTCCGGTTCAAAAGCACCTTATCAAACTTTCTAAAATTGTCCGTTTATAAATTTTAGATATAAAAAAAGTTTTCAACTCCCTCAGGCCAAATTGACCTTAAATAGATTTGACTATTTTAGGTACTTTTTTGTAATATAGGTCTGCAGCTGTTTCGGTTCTTTTTTTTTTTTTTTAACATTCATAAATTCTTTATTGCACTCTTTGCTGTTTTAACAAAATACTTGATGTACAGCATTCCATCAAGTATCCCTGTTTCGGTTCTTATACATCCTTGGCTATCAAATATTTGGCTTTGAGAATTCCTGATGAAGGTAAATCCAGAAAAGCGCTTCGGACGCATGCAATTAATAACATGTTGTTTTTTTTTTCTTTCTTTTTTTACAAAAATGATACCTTTGCGAATCATAAGTCCTTCTTGGCTTTAGTGTACATAATAATGAACAGCAAATCTCTGGACTTAATTTGTTTGTTTTGAATACCTAATCTTCACAATATTCCGTACAAAAACAATTCATTGCCGGCTCATCTGCATGTTCTACAAAAGAATTGTCCATTAGATTGACGAAAATGCTGGACACAGTCAAATAATGTAAATAGATACTCTGTGAAACTCTTTACTTGCGTAGTGGTATTAACCATATTTAAAAAAAAAAACTCTTAAGATCTTCTGGATAATATTAAATCTCGATCTTTCTCTGAAATTAATTTTATCAAAATAATATAAAAATGGTAGAATACGCTATAAAATTTCTGGCTTTGGGATACCATACAACATATTTTGTATAAAGTGAACAAAACGGTAAAACATGCTAGACCGAGGAACAAGTGATCAGTATGCTTGAGGTTCTTACTGAAAATATATTTGTTGAATTTGGAAGTAGACTTTTTCAACAAATTGTCAGAACTTGTATGGGAACGAACTGTGCGCCTCTCCTTGTCAACCGGTTCTTATTTTCCTATGAGTCGGATTTATTGTGCTATAGTAATTTGTTGTGTTCTTGTCTATCATTTTTTTTCTTATTTGCCTTGTCTTTATAGTCTATTCATGCTACTTTGTTTTTCTTATTAAACCTAGTTTTTAGTTTTTATAGCACAATGTTAGCTGTTGTACCCAAATGTTTGACATTTTACCTATTATGGCTGTCATACAAGTGAGGGGATAAGCTAGCTATAAAACCAGGTTTAATCAACTATTTCCTACATAGGGAAATGCCTGTACCAAGTCAGGAATATGACAGTTGTTTTTTCGTTCGTTTGATGTGTCTGAACTTTTGATTTTGCCTTTTTTTCTGGACTTTCCATTTTGAATTTTCCTTGGAGTTCGGTATTGTTTTATTAAATTTTTCGTATTATCAAGTGCTACGGTACAATAAACAGATCGTACTCAACATATTTTATCCGCCGTCTTGATCCAGCAAGAATAAATCCTATGATAAGGCGCTTCGGTAATTTTACAATCGTATTGTTACAAGTTAATCATACAAGTTTGAAGGTCAAATTGTCGCTTTTAAATGGTGATCAGTGATGGAGCGCTTTTTCTTTGTTTTTTTGCATGCGTACTTTTAGGCATGAATTGTTTTACGTCAAGTGTACACATTATTTCAGTATCTATAGTGAATAAATTAAACTAATTTAAACAAGATCTGCAAACATGATAATGTAACTGTTTCTCATTTAAAAATATGTTTACAATTTTGAAGGAAAACAGTTATATGAATGGGAATATGACAGTTGTTATCCATTCGTTTGATGTGTTTAAGCTTTTGACTTTGACATTTGCTTAGGGACTTTCCGTTTAAAATTTTCCTCGGAGTTCTGTTTTGTTGTTAGTTTAAATTTTTATAAATATAATCAGACTAAATGTGTTTTGAAAGTTAAGTATATATCAAAGATTACAAATATTTCTAATCTTTTACTAATTATTCACTTTTTTTTTTTATAGATTTTAACTTTCATTGCTCTTGCTGCAGTGCACATTATTATGTTGCCTTTATTATTGATCAACATGGAGACTCGTCCGTTGCTTTGGTAAGTATTTGTTTTTTTTGTATATAAGTTGTTGTGTCTTTATTTTTCTTTCTTTTTTTTATTAAATATAAAGATGTGGTACGATGGTCAATAACTATCCACCCTAGACCAAATAACAAAAAACGATGTCAACTATTGATCAACTATTGGTCATCGGACTGCTTTCGACAATGATCAGAACCTTCCCCGTATATTAAGGTATAAAAGCTCCCGACATGATAAAATATTTAACAACCCAAAAGAGATAATCATCGACCGAGAATTATCATATAAATGCGCATGATGCAATGCATTTAAAACTGATATGAAAGACATCAACCAATTACAACAATTTAAATACAAGTTCCTCACTTACGCAGGGCACACACTACATTTTTGTGTAAATCAGGCGGGATCAAATATGTTAACCAACGAAAAATCGTCACATCAGCTGAAACAGCACAACATAAGAGAAAACGAATAAGGAGTTTTTAGATGTGTGAAACTAAACTATGTAAATATAAGACAGAACAGTATATATATTGTTATTTATAAAAAAAAAACATATTGCGTGTGAGTTCCATAAGGTTGAGATTATCTATTATTCATCGCAAAAATGTCATCAAGGAAACAGTAAGTATCAAATTTTATTTATAATGTAAAATACTAAAAACAGATCTTTAAGAATTTAAACACTGTGATTCATAACAATACAGGAGCCAGCGTGCCATTAAAAGGATTCATGCTCATAGAAATACTTACAGCCTGTCGATAAACTTCATTGCAAAACGGTAAACTAGTGTCGATCAGAAAATATGTGCAGCATTAATCCGGAAATTATATTTAGCATAATAACCTTATTTGATACAGAAAAAAAGCTTTATATGAGATGCAGAACAAATACTTGTAATCAGATTTGTCCAAAGATAGTTCATTGCAAAACGATCAACTAGTGTCGATCAGAAAATATGTGCAGCATTAATCCGGAAACACTAAATAGCTCAGTCTTGTTGGTGTCGTCTCTCATAAAGCTTCGCAAATTTTGTTTTTTACTTTATCAGTCAGTCTGGGTCTAATACCTATCCCTCGCTTGGATCGTGTTTCAGTAATTCAACTAGAGGACCAGTTTACCCCAAACACAATATATGTTCTTTGGTATGTTCAACTATATGTTTGTACATTTGGGACTTTTTCTCGTGCTGCATATTCCTATAACGTATTCGATACCCTTGGGGACAAGGCATTGATTGAAGCAAATTTGTCCGTATAGATGAAACCAGCTTCAGGCTTAGTATCAGAATGAGTAAAGTGAGTCTCCAATATTGTCGCAATCTGTAATTTCTGACAATTGTTGAGATTACCGTTATCACTCGGTGCAGCGAGAGAGGACTGCTTATTATGCCCCAAAAAATCCATCAGGTCAAATTATACAGACTGGGAAGATATGAAAAGCGTACAAAACAGACGACAATCATCCTCTTAGTGTTTTCCTTTAAATCCCGTGCCAGTTCTGGTTTTTGTCGGACGAAATCTGCCTTGTTCTTCCTGATTGGCTTATAAAATGAACATTCATCTGTATCCAACCATTTGAGCGGCACTAGGATGTGCAACACTTTTTGTATCTAGTGTAAAACGGTCATCGGCCTTTTCCATAAATGGATTGCCATATCTTTCATTACAGTATACAGCTTCGGTACTTATCGAGGAAAGTTTGTTTTGTGTATGTTCTGTCTGCTCATGATGGCATTTACTTTCATTGACATCTTAGGCTTCAGATGTCGATTCATAATGAGTAACCAAGTGACTGACTTCAGGTCTGGATACCATCGTCGTAGAGCAGATGGGTCTTCCGTCACATAAATGGCACCACCATCACCTTTATCAACAGTATTCGCTTGGACATGTGCTTGGTAAATAGCAAACGCTTAAAAAATTCACGGTTAAATTTGTGATCAACAAATTTTCCGTTATGTAATTCTGCAGCCAGCTGAGGCTGTGTATGGTCAATTAACATCATGTCTCTTAGATGAATGGGAACCCATCGTGCATAATTTACATTTTTTGTTGGCAAAAAAGATTGTAACAACTCGCATACTGATGGTATAGATAAAAGTTTGAATCTCGAAATGATCGGACAATGGACAAAATTGTTAATTCTATAACCAACACCAGATTCCAGAATTGAAATTGTAGACTTCCAGTTTTGCGTCGTTCACATCAGTCTGCGATACTTATCAAATCCTGTGTGTGTTCACTGGTGTCTGAGTCTTACCAATAAAACCTGTAGGCTTCTTTAAGTAGCTTCTCGAGTGTGCTAACTGTAACCTGATGCTGTGTCCCAGTGACACTTGAAGTTGAAAAAATGGGTTTTGTTGTCTCCGAGCAAGCGATCCCTGCTCAACAAAGGCTCCTGTCCATCCACTATTTTGGAGGAGGTTGACAATGGACTTTAATGCTGCCATTGCCATATGCAGACCAAAAAACACAATGACAAACTTGTTTCCGCAATACCTTTCGGACCAAGGTCCCTGTATCCTTTTGGCTAATGCGTAGATTGGCTGATCAGCAGCAACAGCAGGAGTCTGAAATAGATTCAGTTTTGCAACCGTGTCTTTAATCTAATGTATGACATGCCGTATTGTCGCTGCTGAACGGGTTTGGTCATGGATGAGAGTAAACAGCGATGTTGTACTTCTATCAAATACTGGACCTCTTTTATTGGAGGCATGGTGCGCCGATCATGTAATGTTATCGACTTCATCAGATGCCTCTATTCGGCTAATTTTCTCAGTCCATTCATGCTCAACTGTTAAAATAATTATGCATTCAAATGGTAAATTGACCTCGGATGGAGTTGGATTTCATTTCGTGAAGAAAGCAGGTACATAATTTATTTTAGTCTGTGATGCGTGATTTTTTTTATTATTAATCATTTTTGGCTTTTAACTAGCTTTCAGTAACTGGATTTTACCTGTAGGTACAATTTCTTATGCATATTTGATATTCAAGGTTTACATATTTTGTGTTATATCTCGTCTAACTATTTTTAATATGTACCACCTTTGATAAGTATTTAGTATGACATTTTTACTTTTGTACTCGTACTATGAAAAACATATTAATTTATTTTGTACAAAAATATTATATTTAAATTTACGTTATTATATTTGACGTTATTTTGTCACAGGTTAGAGTTGTCTGAGTGACATTGTTGTTCAACCCCCTTTTTGTTTTTATTAATATGTTATTTATATTGTGTCATAGATCCAATTTATTTATCAGTGTATTTTTACTTGTTTTCGTTAATACATGTATGTCTTTTTGATCGAGATAAGCCATTTCAATTGATATTTTATAGTGTGTCTTTCTACGTGTAATGTTACACTACTGTTTCAGGTTAAGGTGAAGGTTGGCGCTTGTTAAAACGTTTGTTTGCACCTGTTTTAAGCCCGGAGACTGTGGTTGACGTTTGTTGATGCGGTTCATAAGTGTTTCTCGTTTGTAGTTTTTTATATAGGTTAGACCGTTGGTTTTCCTGTTTGAATTGTTATACACTAGTCATTTCTGGGCCCTTTATAGCTTGCTTTTCGGTGTAAGCCAAGGATCCGTGTTGAAGGCCGTACTATGACCTACAATTGTTTTACTTTTTTACACATTGTGACATGGATGGATAGTTGTCTCATTGGCACTCATACCACAACTTCTTATTTCTACATATTGGTGAAAGAATCAGGATGTTATCTTGATGTCTCTAATGTGAATGGATCACGCTGTTTCCCTGCATTCTCAGCTGATGAAAGCTGGACGAGTGAAATGTTTGTTCAATGGAAAGAAGTTGTTGCTGTCGTTGCAGTCGGAATAAGGTCTATGTTGTACGTAGCAGCTGTGGTAAACAACCTTTTTCTCATGACTTTCGGACAACAAATCCGTCCTCCATTTATTTACTTACTGCTGCATCTCCTAGTCATGTCAAATTGGCTGACACTTCAAGCACCCGATCATATGGAATACTTAGGCCTTGTTTTTTGCAGCATTTCTACAAGGAATATTCTTCGAGTTTGGCATAGACATACATTCCGGAAAAACACAGCGAATTGGTTTTAGCGGTCTTTTAAATGCCTGTGAATTGCTTCTGTCTGCGTACTTAGCATATTAATCATATGGTAGAAGCTGAGCCATTGATTGCTTAGTCATGCACACAAACCGAAAAAGTGTGGACGGAATTACACTTTCAAAACATCATTCACGAAATGTTCCTGTCAAATCAGGATTGGCGGTCATCTTGAAAATGGCAACCATTTAGAAAAAAAAAGATGACTAACGGGTTATTTCAAATAAGTTTCTTAATGGGGATCAATGCAAACTTAAATGCTTGTACAATAAACTGAACGATTTTTCTAAATATTGACGAATTCTGCAGCTACAATCACCAGTGCATTTGTAAAAAGTACCGACATCCAAGTAAATTAAAAAAGGGGAAGCTACTGTTATTTCGTTTAAAGCCATATAAGATGAAATTGTTTTTCAATTATTTCAGGTTTTACAAGAAGTATAAGCTGCCTTTCATGAAAGTATTCACAAATATGGTAAGACAGTTTATATTTTCAATTATAAATCAAATCTCACCATCCTCATATATTTGATATATCAGGATTTTGATCTAGGAAATTTAAGACTTGTTATGTTTAATTGACACTACCATAGACAACCATGTGATGTTTCAATTTTTTTTTATTAATAATGGATTATTATGGCTATAAAAAGTCAAACGTACTATTAATGAAAGAAAACTATATTTCTCTTTTAATGTGATTATAAGCCAGGTATGGATTTGAATATTCAACATGCAAAGTTATAAGACTAAGAACATATACCTAGCAGTCTGTTTATTTAACAGCTTGGCTTCTTAGCTCTTCTTACTGCATATGCATACATGCTGTTGTTTGACTATAGTGATGAAGGAATTACAAACACGGACTGTTTCATAATTGTATGGATGGCAAGCTTTTTTGTGGATGAAAACAAGCAGGTAAATATCATAAGTCTATTTTATCATGTTTACATTTCACCTGAGATACATAACTTTCCTTTGTTTGATTAGTCAAACGTTGTAGGAAAGCAAAACAAAAACAAAACATGATATACAGTTCAGTGTCGCAGGGTTAGATCTTGGAGTTAGTGTTCACTGATTTCTGAAGTTTTTATTTGTTAATTTGTTAATTAAAAATGTAATTAAATTACATCTTCTTCTACTTATATAGTCAAATATATATCTATATGAAACTTGACATCATTGGAAATATGTCAAAATATATTGATGTTTTTCATGCCAAAATAAGTTCGACAATTTTTTACCATAGACAGATAACGTACGAAAGACTTTATTTATGAGAAAGAAAAAAAAACGTACAGTATGCTATAAAAAGGCCATACCGTAACAGATTGTAAAAAAACAATTTATAAGAGAAAATAAAAAATTAACAAATATAAGCAAACAAGTATACGAGACAAGTATTTACGTTCACTCATCACATCACCAAAAAGCACTAACAGATCTTACAGACCTAAGAGTACTCTTAATTACTGAATACGTAATCAAAGCCAATTTCAACTTATATAAAAAAACAAATTTCCCAGACTAATATGTCGATCAGTACACATCCATCAGATTTTGTGTAAAGACTTAATATTCTGAGAAGAAAATTACCTTGTGCAGTGCCAATTGTAAATACCGAAAAGATGTCGTGTTGATAAATTTAACAAAGGATTACAGAAATAATATATAAGTATCTAAAAGGGAGCTGAACATGCTGAAAGAAAATTAAAGTGTACACATCGGCTTTATCAATATGTTCTATATAAGTTTCGTTTTTGATAACATAATGGGAGGAGTATACTTCTACTTGTTATTACATATTTGAACTATAACAGTACTATAAACTTTCAAGATTAAAATTAGAACAAAATATTTAGGATACCAGATTATAGTATCTAGTATTTTTTTTTATAATTGTGTACCTGATATGAACATGCTTATCCCTGTACATGGTGATTTGCAACAATAACAGATTCTGTTCATGTAATAAGGCTGAAAGATGACCAAACTATATGCATTTTTGCCGAATATTATCGCATTGCATATATTTTATATTTCATTTCAGCTCATCGTTGCTATCATTAGAGGAAAATGGAGAATGTATACCAGTGATTGGTGGAATCGATTGGATTGGCTATCGATGGTAGTATATATGTCTGGAATGCTGCTGAAGTTAGATGGAGAATCTCATTTTCAAAACGCCTCAAAAGTGTTATTGGTTGCGGCTTTTATTCTCCTTTCTATACGAATTCTTAATTTGTGTTGCATGTCCTCAATTTTAGGACCAAAGTTAGTCATGATCCGAAGAATGGTTAGCAAAAAATGTGATTATATTTGTTTGTTACTTCAATGGTTTTCTAGATAATATGAAAATCGTCGTTATATGACTAGTATAGTATGATGTTTTCTGATATTCGGGATTTTTTTTTTTTTTTTTTGCATCATCGATTAAGATATCAGATATATATATTTTCCTAATTTTTTATCTATTTAACTTTTTCTGGACTCATAGTTAAGTGTTAAAATTGTAATCAGCGTGTGGTTGTCGATGATCTCAGTAGATGATTGGCTAAGATATCAGTACTCTGGATGAATCGACATTTGCTAGCAAGTGTAACAACTTTACATCTTTTTTTTTAAATTTAGAAATTTGGAAGACACTCGGAGGGGATTTTCGTTTTTAAAGAATGTAAATGTATTTGATAATCACTAGAAAACCCGCTGCTTACGTAGTAACTCGTAGATTAACCATCTCGATTGGATAAATCCGATAATCCGCTGTTACAAATGAGAGAAGATATTTATTATATATATACATGTAATTCCTATTTTGGATTTTTTTTCTTCAAAATTTGAAAACAAGTATTGATATGTATAACGTGTATTGGGGATATTTCCAACAAAACGCATAGAATTATTATCATTACAATGATGTATTAGTCTCATGTAGTGTAATAACATTTAATAGGTATGGTCTTACGAAATCTTTACAAAATGATGTTAATTTTATTGATACAGTATTCAAATTAAAACTTTGATATAATTTGGAAATCTTAGTGTAGGAAGGTCACTTTCGACGTCAATATTGTTATGCCTAAGGGTAGGAGTTAGGAATGGTAGGTTTATTTGTATCATGTTTCATTCTTTACTTGTGTTGCTCAAAGAATTCATTTCTAATTTCACTTTTATTTTCGTGTTCCGATACTCTGAGCTGCACTGTTGTGTATATATTATGAACGAAAGGACTACATGTATGTATATGAACACTTTTTATTTCAGGTATCGCGGCCGTATTATATTGTATTGTATGTATTATATTATTGTTTATGGGAAATATAGTTAGGACAGGGTTTGTTCTCACTGTTTGACCAGAGGGGTACCTTGACATGTTCTCAGCTTTAGTTTGACCTGCATATTGCTTGTCCCGATTTCTCACCTGTTTTATCGATTTACGTCAAGGGTCTTCATTGTAACCAGAGTACGTTTTCACTAAGGGTTATTCTTGATAAGCCCATATCTCCCTTTTTCCCTGGACAGTTGTACATTCCTATTTGTATTTGCGCCATTTTCTATATTATTGCCGTGGGAACTTCCTGTTATAAAGACTAATCAGAATTGACAGAGATGGCCTAGTTTCCAGAACCCCGTATTATGTATATGTGATTTTACAACCAATCACTACGTTAATCTGCCGGACACACTTATCCCTATAGTAACGGACACACTTTTTGTGTCCGCGGACTTCCGGAAGTATAAATACGGCTGTAGCAGACGCTTCTGGCAGTTCACAGCTCACGGAACCTTGACCATTTTAGTTCCACAAACCATATAACCAGAGCTAACCACCTGTGAACCCTTCAACTTCAAACCATTACCAGGTTAATGATAACCTCGATTTTATGTATATATTTATGACCTGACCAAAAAGTTAGATCACAAAAATACTGAATTCCGAGGAAAATTCAAAACGGAAAGTCCCTTATCAAATGGCAAAATCAAAAGCACAAACACATCAAACGAATGGACAACAACTGTCATATTCCTAACTTGGTACAGGCATTTTCGTATGTAGAAAATGGTGGACTAAACCTGGTTTTAAAGCGCTAAACCTCTCACTTGTATGACAGTCGCATCAAATTCCATTATATTGACAACGATGTGTGAACAAAACAAACAGACACAATAGGTATAAATGTCACAAATAGGAGTACAACAGCAACACGAACCCAAGCAAAAACTGGGGGTGATCTCAGGTGCCACGGAAGGGTAAGCAGAGTGACCTAGACAATTTACTACAATACTACAACTTTTCCAATGTTTACGTACGACGATTAACGTCCAAGGGGGGTCCATGTACTGTGTTTTCGCTCTGGGGTATCTATTTATAATGTATATTGATATTTATGACTGATTAAATAGTCATTGTTGAACTTATAACTGTTTTTGTTATATTTTATCTTATTAAGAAAAAGAAACCAGTGTTATTTGCAAGTTATCATTGCAGTTTCACAATTACCAGTGAAATTTATCGAAAGGCCTGCTACCAAGGTTGATCCTGTATCTCGTGTTAAAATAATTAAATATATACACCTAACATCACTGAAGAGACATTAATTGTCGAAATCCGGATATGGTGTACAAAAACCTTTGCACCTTTTGTTTGCGGTATACCATCTTTTCCGCAAGTCTATTGTTTTCTGTTTAGTATTAGATTTATAATTAAGATCCATTTATTACATCGGTGATCCGTTTATTTGGCAATCGCCAATGGCAGTCAGCAAGGTTTAAGAACATTTGTTGTTCGACCTGTTAGTCAAATGCGTTTTGTTAAAATATACTTTTTCACTTTTTTGGTCTTTCGGAAAATGTTGTTTGTGCTGTATTTAGACCCCTTTAACAAGAAATTTGTTTTGCATGCACACGTATAAAAATTGCGGTTTTTATTCAACGCAATCATAGGTTTGAACGTTGTTTTCAATTTAGACTTGTTTATATATTTTCGTTTGGGCTTGTATTATATTTGCCTTCGGGTTTATATGATCCGTTCATCCTATTTTGACTCCTCAAAATTCAAGAGTCTATCCTAAATTGAGGTAAATTGTATGGCTTTTCAAATACCGTTACGATTCCTACCATCACTGAAGAGACATTAATTGTCGAAATCCGGATATGGTGTACAAAAACCTTTGCACCTTTTGTTTGCGGTATACCATCTTTTCCGCAAGTTTATTGTTTTTTGTTTAGTATTAAATTTATAATTAAGATCCATTTATTACATCGGTGATCCGTTTATTTGGCAATCGCCAATGGCAGTCAGCAGGGTTTAAGACATTTGTTGTTCGCCCTGTTAGTCAAATGCATTTTGTTAAAATATACTTTTTCACTTTTTTTGGTCTTTTGGAAAATGTTGTTTCTGCTGTATTTAGACCTCTCTAACAAGAAATTTGTTTTGCATGCACACGTATAAAAATTGCGGTTTTTATCCAACGCAATCATAGGTTTGAACGTTGTTTTCAATTTAGACTTGGTTGTACATATATAAGTATATACACACACAAAATATTAAGTTTCGTAATGCTATACCAGAGATGTCATAAAAGAATGAGCCATATCAAAATTGACATACAACGGCTATTTATGCACATATTTTTTGATAAAAAAAAAAGCCATACCCGTTCTGAAACAGATATTTTACATCGCCATTATATACATGTACATCTTGCAGTTTAATATCTCTTGAAGCAAAGCCTTGCCTCAAATCTATATATTATGATAAAATATCAACATAAAGTTATTTCGATTTTATGGAGTTTTGCTTTGAATGCAAAAGGATTGAAGCTTATCATGCTTATGGCTAATATGTTAGACAAAATTGAAAAACAATAAAATATTTATAAAATGATAATACTTGTTTCTTTCAATGGCTTAAGAATATCCGAATGATGTATTTGATCATGTTGATACATTTATAAAACTTTTTTATACTTTTTGAGTCATACCTTCTTCTTCAATCCATTGAAAGTTATTTTTTTAACCTTTGACTTTTGTCATAGTTTTAAAATAATATTCCAGAGATGTGTCTCAATGGAAATAAATTCAAATTCAAGATTTCAATTTCAGAATAAATATATCAATCTAATATCGGTCCGTTAAAACTTATGGTATATCCCACGTATAAGTGAGTGCTTGCATCTTGAAAATCCGATACATCATGATGGTTTCTAGATTTTAAAACATATTGACGACTTCAAACACAAACTTATGATAAACGTGATGATTTCTACCAACCAAATGTCAACTTCCGATACCCCATGGCCAACTATAACATAAACTCTGCTCCAGCTAGATAGCGTTTACAAATCCCATTAAATACAGAAAGGTCGTGTATTTTCACACTTTACAAACATCATTGGGATGTAACACATATCAAACTGCTCTTACAGTCATGAATAAATAAAGGCAACAGTAGTATACCGCTGTTCGAAATTCATAAATCGATTGAGAAAAACAAATCCGGGTTACAAACTAAAACTGAGGGAAACACATCAAATATAAGAGGAGAACAAAGACACAACAGAAACACTAAAATGCAACACACACAGAAACGAACTATAAGATAACAATAGCCATTTTCCTGACTTGGTACAGGACGTTTTAAGAAAAAATGATGGGTTGAACCTGGTTTTGTGGCTAAACCTCCCGCTTTAATGGCAATGCTAAATATAACACTAAAATGACAACATTACATGACAGGACTACAATACAAATAAATGGAATAACATACAGGACAGAGAAACACACAAATAAACAATACAATAGAACCTTACGACAAGCTAATAGTTATGAAAGGTGCCAGGCCTAAAGCTGAAGAGCATTGATGACCCAAAATTCCAAAAAGTTGTGCCAAGTACGGCTAGGTTATCTGCCTGGTATAAGAAAATATTTAATATTTAGAATAATTCATATTTTTGCAAACAGTAAATTTATAAAATATAAAAATGACCATATAATTGATATACATGTTAACACCGAAGTGGTAACTACAGAATAAAAACGAATACGTAAAACAACCTAGATCAGCACATAAAAACAGCACAGCCGAACAACGCATTGTATGTCAGCCGAATATGTCATTGTTATGAGACAGGGCGACATAAGTTTTACGGTCAGTTTCATAAATTAGGTAACCGATAGGTTGTTTATGTATCTTAACCCTCTACCGACATGTTTTTATGGTTTGAGATTTTATGATACAAGAATAGTCATCAAATGAGTGTGGGTTCGTTTGGTGAGTGATGCATTCATAGCAGGACAAATCCGGTATTGCTACGGTTGGTGTTCATGCAATTCCCTCAGTTTTTGTTTTAACCCTGATTTGTATTTTCTTAGTATATTGATGAAATTGAGCACTATTTAAATACTGTTAACTGTAACTTGACAAGTGGCAGGAATTTTTTCCGTCATAAACTCTATTTGTGAATTGGCTAAAACATATTTCAATTAGGCAGAAAATTTGAATATACTTCTAGTTAATGATTGACCATTTAAGGTCAAATGTTATTTGTATTGAGAATATATAGATAGGAAAAAGACATAGTTATTACTCTTTGAATAGTAAATTCACTGGAGAATCTCCATGAACGAAATGTTAGCTTTTGAATGTTTGCCATTGTTATGCACAACATTTTTTTATTATCAATTACAAAGTGATTATTTTTCCATTAAATATAGCGTAAATCACTTGTATATTTATCTGTTATTAATCACTTCAACGGTTTTTTCTTCATTTCAGTTTCGAGATACCTTTTCCTTCATGATTATTATGACAGTCATTATGATGAGCTACAACATATCTTTTTATGCACTTTTATATCCAAATTCTGAGCTCAGTTGGTTACAGATGGAAAAGATTATAAAGAATGGTTACTGGATGTTATTTGGAGAACTCAATTTAGATGGTGACACACGTAAGAAAAAATAAATAATGTTTAACACTAATCTGTTTTGATGTGTACTGATGGATATTTCAACCTGATATATGAATCCGAATGTTGCCTTTGCACCACAAGCTTACAGTTCCTATGTGTATTTTTCTAGTATGATATTATTTTTTTGTCTTTTTCTTAAATTTGTCTATGCTCTAAGCCGATCGGATGGATAAATTCACTTCCAAACAATTTTTCGAAACTTTTTCAACACATGTTTTACTCGTCACAGTATGTTTATGTCTGTCCTTGTCAAGAGCCAATATTCAGTTGCTGTGGCTGGTTTCTGCTTGTCATATTTTTAGATTACAGTTTGGTTTCATAAATGAGACCGTTGGTATCACTTTTAAAATAGATTCACACTTTTGGTCTCTATAGATATTTCGGGTAAACAAAAAATAACAATTTCCCCTCGAAAAAAGAAAATTGGTATCCACGAAAATAAATGAATCCACAGTATACATGTACGACAATCAGAAATATAGACAAAATTAGAGGTAATGCGAACAAGATCACATAATGATATCCCCACCTCATTGCAAAATTCATAAGGTAGAAAGGGAAACCCCGAAGATCATTCAAACTAATAATACATGATGGAGGTGAACAATGATATTATATATCACTGATTCTAAATACTGTTCATAAAATATGATAAGGGTTTTTGTTTCGGAAGGAAAAAAATACAAATTTGTACCAGAGTGAGCAGATACAACACAGTCAAAAAAAAAAAAGGAAAATTGTGCCACTTAAGCGTGTTTTTTTTTCTCGCTTCAGCTTTTTTTACACTTAAGCTGTTCAAGATAAGAAGAACTAAAGTGCCGAACGAATAGCCGGACAGACGGACAGACCCATAATCATTATAAAACGCCCTCTCTTGAAAGTGGGAACATTATAAAACATTCATCATATTCCTGCCTCTACGCATAAAATATTATTAAAACAATTTTTAAAAGAAAAGAACATAACGCATTTAACAGTTTTCAATACACATAATAATTCGTTTTTATGACAAGAAATTATGTAAAACAAAAATGAATGATGACAAATAGGTCCAAATCATGTTTTATTATGCTTTTAGATCACATACTCATTAAAGATACTAGGCTTATAATTGTGTACGCCATATGCGCGTTCCATCTATACATGCTATATTAGATACATTAGTTGTGCTTGACCAGTTGATTTGCGAAGTCAAATACGAAGTGGTAGAGCTTTAAACAAACAAATGTTGGATAGTTATACCAAATATTACCAAGGCAATCTATACCTGGTGGTATCGAGATTGTAGTGTTGTACATACACATTTGATCATGATTAAAATTAAAGTACCCTACCAACATCTTGATTGTTTAAATGAACTTCTTAGTGGATATTTTGGTTATATTATCATGATTATTACTATTTGAATATTTGCGTTGTGAAATAAATATAAAAAGGATGTGTACAGTCTTCTTATGTTCTATTGAAATTCTTAAAAAAAAAGGACTTATTTATAAAAAAAAAATATATTAGTTTGTCTCGGACCTTTTTAGATTATGTTCGTACGTGCTACATTTTTTTTATATCTGAAAATAATAACAAGATTATCAACAAGATTTGCAATTAAAAGAAAAAAGTAAAACGATACCGAGGGTTAAAAAAAGTGTACTGATGCAGACCAATTGCAAATTTTAATATTTAAAAGTTTCTAAATATAATAATTTGCAAGTTATGCAATTGAATTTCAGTATCTGAACCCGACTGCACTTTCAACAGAACAATTTATGAAAGTGGTGCGGAACAGCGTTGTCCTACAGAGCTTGGTGTCTATCTCACGCCTTACTTAAAAGCAACCTACGGATTGATAGCAGTAATCTTACTGCTTAATCTGCTTATTGCTATGTACAGGTAAAATGCAAGATATATACCTTTAAATTCAAATATTGTGTACACAGTGAGGAATCATGCTGAAGTTGGTTTTTTTTTTATTCAACCCTATCAATATAGTTATAAGATGACGACGTTTGACTGTCAATGAGACAACTATCCACCAGGGACCAAATGATGTGGATGTGAACAAGCCATTTCATTAAGCCAATATTTCAAGTTATTTTCATGCTATGTTGAATGATAATTAATAATTGAAAGGTATGCATTACTAAAATCATATTGGATTTGAGGTATCTATCACTATTTTGACTATCATATATGTTCAATATAATTTGCAGATGAAGGTCCAATTGTATGGTTTTTTATGTCTCTAGCATTTTTTGTAAGGAAATAAAAGATAAATAAAAAAATCAATTTGTCTGACAAGTTCAGAAATATGAAAATCAAAGTGGTTGTTATAATTTGACTGTTAATAAAAATCGAAATTCCATTAAACATCATTAACGTAATATTTTTGAGGCATAATATTCCGTGAATATACGTACGAATGACCGAACGTGTACATTTAAAATAAATAAAGATAAACCAGTACACAAAATATGTTAAAAAAAATAATTTTTAAAAGATGTATGCCTTGCCTTGTACTCTCTCTATTATTATATTATAACTCCGCTTAAAGGGAGATGACGCCTCTTTTTAGAAATAATTGAACATGAATAAGTACCAAAAAAAACTTTCAATAAGAGTAAGAAACGACAAGGAACAAAAATATGTGTATAAAACCTGTTTAATATAGATACACGAAAGAAATAAACCAGATGTAACAACAAAAGTCATTCGGAGGTTACTCTCTGGCCAAAAAGCTGAACAAGGGACGCCTCTGCGTGATAGTCTTTCAATAAAGTAAAATTACAACTACATACAACAAAAATGTTATGTCACAACATTATTTATTGACAAATAAACATTCAGAGCGAGAATATACTTACGAGAAAGGCGAACAAGGTTGTTGTAAATACAATCATTTAATAATACAACTAATTGAAAAGATTGAAAGAAAGCAGATTGGGTAATTTTTTCGATTTAATTTTTTTAAGCAAACATATATGTAACCAACGAGCAAACAATTCATGAAGGCTATGCTACCTTCAGTCATGCTAGCAATATAGTCCAAGATAGGTTGTTTATGTCGGGTAATTTCATTTTGTTCGAAATCTCCAGTACGACTTACATTTTATACATTCGTAAACCGATTTGAATCTTTTACTTTAAAACCTATTCTCCTTATAACACATGTTGACTTGTAGTTGTACCAAAAATATGTTTTGCAAAAACTTATTAACATATTTACTTTGTTTTCTTGTTTTGGAAGACAAAACAATGCCTCTGGTTACTAATACTAGTCCGTAAATAGCAGACTTGCACCTGTAAATCTATGAATCACTGTTTATAGCCAAACTTAGTACAGATTTTTTAAGATACATGTAATTCATAAATTTACAAAAAATAACTTTGATTATATTTGTGTATTACATTGTGCAACAGGAAATTACTTAAAATCAAACGAGAAATATTTCCGAAAGAGGACGTTTTTTAGTTCCAAATTATTAATGTTTCCTTTTTACTCGGTCATGTTCTTTTGGTCCTTTCTTAAGTTTAGTATATTTTACTACGTGTCACTGTGTCCGTGTCTGCAGTCGCTACTACAAGTTATGGGGGTGTTAACGACCTTGACTAACCTTAAGGGTCTCGAACAGTCGGAATAAACTAAAGCCGCGATTGAAATTGAAATTTCAATTAACTTAATCTATGTATGAATAGTAATTGATCAAGTAGGAGATTTCGTTACCACACATTTTCTGATATAAACGAAATATTACATTATAATGTTACATAAAGATAATCATGCAATCGTTATGCTGCTCATGTTAGTACAAATTTGATGATACGCCTAATTTGTTAGGTCGACATTAAGGAAAAGAGGACGGGTTTGTGGTAACGACTTTGGATCTTATTCGTCCAATGGCAAAACCGATGACCGAAAACAAAAGAAAAATCACTTTTCTTTTGAAAAAGTAAAGATAATCAATATTAAAACAGTGCCAGTGACGATACTGAAGTTATTTCATTTGCATAAGAATCTAATGAAACCGACATTTTGAAAATGTCAATCTTTGCTGCATATAAATAACAAAGATTGGAAAAATCGGGAACATACAAAATCTAAAGATCTTGCAGGTCACCAGTTATCGGAGTGTTCCACCTAGTCTTCAGCATGTTACAAATTCCCAAAATATATAAAGGCAACAGGAGTATACCGCTGTTCAAACCTATTTTTTTGGAATATAGGTTTCCGAGTATACCGGTCTGCTCTTGTCATGTAGTCTTTCAGTATAGAAATATTGTCTTTTCGTGTAAAGAAGCAATTTAAAAGTCGTGTGTGTTTAGGTTTAAAAATTAAAGATACATATTGTTATATAGTAGGTTATCCATTAAAATATTTTTACTATTTTTTTATACAATTTTTAGAAAAGGTCGTCTCGATTCTGTACATGTATTTGCGGTCATTTTGATGTATGCACATTCAATGTTTACATTTGGATAAAGTCCAAAAGTGTAAATCTTTGCTGCATATTAATCGATTCCTTCGACATTTTTTCATTGAACTTCTCTGATCTAGCTGCATACATATACGGATAATTGTCATGTTTCAGATAGGTAAACAGCCATTAAAAAATAGTTTAAAGTTGGAACTTTAATTTATGCGCATAGTAAAAGTTTAAACCAATCGTACAAAATATTCCTATGTCAAGTGTTCAGTGTTAACAGAGACATTACATTTCCCAATGCGTAGACATCTTTTAAAAGGGGTGATTTCAACTTCACCACTTGGCTTAGAAACTTTCATTGTAAGCAGCCAGCCTATAATGATAAAAAAATGCAATCTCTTGAATATTGAACAGATGAGAAATATTTAGTTCCTATATTTAAAAAAAAAAGATTAATATAATAGCTGATTTTATATTGCTAAATATACAAAGTTTTGAGTACTCATGACCCTACATTAAATCGATAATGTTTACTTATATTTTGGCATGCACATTAGGCACGCGTTTTTCAACCTATATGTGTATGACGTATTTACACTATATCCTTTTGATGAGTACTGATTGATAATTTAGTCTGGAAAAACATGATTAATGTATTATCTGTTATTCGCTTTGAAGTAGCTTTCAGTTACTGTGAGTTCTCGTATATCGTCAACAAACTTGTTTTCTAGTTATAAGTAAAAGTTGAAAATTTAATTGATATTCATTTATAAAATATTCACTTATACAGTTTATCTCACCTTAGATGTCTGAATTAAAACTGTTGAATTAAAATCAAATATTTGGTTTGTGTTAGAACAGTCTATATATTGCAAGAACTCGCTTACGTTTCCTTATTTAATGAAACAGTGTTATACATTAATTGCCACAAAGGCTCAAAATTGGAAGATTTCGGCAAAGAACTAGACCGATTTGTTACTGCTACTTAACAATACCAGATTGCGATTAAGGTTTGTTTACCTTAATGTGAATGCCACAAATTTAAAACTTTCACAAAGTAATTGTGTTAAGCAAAATTATAGTACTTATAAATTATCATGATGACTAAACTATGGTAGTCTAAATTGCTTACAGGTTATCAGGACAGGAGACGAATTAAAGCTTGACAAATTAGTGATATATTTTTATTTTCTTTCGTTTGCTTAGTTGCTTATTTACAATTATGACTTTTTCTTTCTGTCAGTCACACATTCCAAAAAGTTCAACAAGAATCTGAATTTTATTGGTCGGAACTACAGACTAACTTCCTTGAAGAATACAGCATCAAGACAGTTTTTCCAATCCATCTTCAATTACTTGTACTACCAGCAGCAATCATTCATGCACTCCTTTGGTTTTGCTATTCCAAACTACAATTGTATGGAAAGTGTTATGACAACGATATTTCTAACAATCTGGATGATGAATTTGGAGAGGAAGCAATTCTTAATCATCGACCCATGTTTGCAAGAGGTAAAATGTATATTGATAATTATGATTGTTTGTCAATTTGTATATTGCGAGTTTTGTATTACACTTTGTTATCTTTACAATTTATATTTAGTTATTGAATATTTTCAGTCCACCTTTGGCTATAAGTTTATTTGAGTTATTGTCATCATTTGGCGTCCGTCGTTGAGGGTTTCATTTACATTTTCCTCCTCCGGTTCTACGAGACCCGTTTTCAACAAATCTAAATGATCCTTATTGTATATAGTATAAAAGAGAGGCACCGGATACCAAAGGGATTTTCAAACACACAATTCGAAAAAAACAAAGACAAACCCCAGCAGACAAAAAAACGAAAAAGGATCAAAAGACAAACAACAGTATATAAGGCACAGCACAGAAAACTATGAATAAAAGAAACAGAAATACAAGATTTACAAAACGGCTAGAAACTAAAACAATTGGATGAATTCTTAAGGAGTAATAGACTAAATTAAGAATTGTGTATGTAAGATATCAAAGGACCTTGTGTACTTTTCATTAAGCAAATACGCCATCAGTAAACATCTACCTCATATATATTATATATAAATTTTAGTTGTTACATTCAAATTTGCCTAATATGGCCAATAAACTCGTAATATGTGATTTGTTTTTTGAACTAACTAAAAGCAAACCACCATTGGCATATTCTTTAAAGTAACTTGCTTTTCGGGCAAGTGGAGTGTGTGAAGAGCATCCCATTTGACGATTAAAAGGTAAACTATATGCAGCACAGTCCCTTCCACGAAACATGTTTTTCTCATATACAACTTATTAATATAAAAGAGTATCTTTAAAGCTCTGTGGAATGACAACAAATTGTTTTATTGACAGACATCGTGTAGTTATAATTCTGAGTGTTTCTTTTTAGATTTATACACATGATTTATTTAAAACCATGTTAAAAAATATTATTTCACTTGCTAAATATTATTTCAGTGTTTTTCTACAATACAAATTTTGATTTAAAACTGAAAACAACAAAGGAAGCAGAGGGCAATGGTGCGCTGAAAGCAAAAGGGTAACTACATTCCTTTTCTTATGTTCAATGTTGGCAAGCTATTTTAATAACTAATAAAACAATAATTTGTTGGGTCCTTTTGTTGATAATAAGATAAATAGTTACCTTCCTTGGAGTTATAATTTCTCAAACTTGCTGATAATTACTTAAGATATCACTCTAACTATTACATGAAACATCAGTTCACATGAATCTATTGAAATAGTGCAGATTAATTTTCGATTTCGGCTTATGGTGAAGATATCTAGTACTAGCATTTTGCTTAGAGTGATACCCTTGCGTTCTACACTTGCCATAGCTGTGTGTTCATCATAGAGGATTTATGGCAACTTGTTTTTCCTCAATCCATATGGGGGTTTTAATGGCCAAGTAGTATAAATAGTCCGAATTCTGTATCCATAACCTGTCAACACAGAAGCTGTGAGTTCGAATTTCGCACGTGCAAGTGCGTTCGACCCCAATTTTCATTGAGTAGGATTGTCAATTTTCCTTCCGAAGTTCGGTGGTTTTCTCTGACGATCCAGCTTCCTCCCCAAAAAAAGTACCGGTTACCACGAAATAACCAAAATTGGCGTTAATCATCGATCAATCCAACACACTTTAAGCGAGCATTTCTACTTTTCCCTCAAAGAAATCACGCTGTGATTGAATAAAAAAAGTATAAAACTTACCCATCAATAAATATATGACGTCAAAGAAACAATTTACTATAACAACCATTCGTCTACCTGATACTCCATATCCGCAAAATGGTCGGCATCTTGATAAAGTTATGTTGAAAATATGTGCCTGCATCCAAAGACCAGATTTGGTCTTAAACTATGTTTATAAATGAAAATATAATGAAATTTCATATAAATAGATAAAAGTTTTAGCGAACAATTCCTTTCTGAAAACAAAACTGTAGCAATGCGAATTGTTATAAGTGAATGTCACATGATTTATTGAAAACACATTCTGTGAAAGTCGTACAATTAATCAAATGAAATTTTTTTATTTGAAGAATAAATTAGGCTTAACATTGAGGAAGTTATATACATGTATGCGTGTATTAAAATGATCAGAAACTTACGTAGTGCTCTTCCAATTTAAGGTCATGTATTGTCGACCTTTATGCATATATATTATAACTAATATCACAGTAATATACATGACATCGACATCCCGATGTTTCATGTGTACTGTCTTATAGAATGAATGAGAGATCATTACTAAATGTTATTGCTTTCAGGGAAATGGACTTGATGGAAGTTGACAGGATTACGGTAAAAAATGAATCGAAAGAGAGATTGAGAGTGAGAATGAGAGATAACATGTTTGTGGTGAAGTTCCTTTAATAGAAATATGTTTTTTTTCAATATTTGTTTAAGAACTTAAGTTTTTTTATGCAATTTTTCACGGGTGTAAAAGCGTAGATCAAAGCATATTATGTAAGAAGCGTGGAAACATTTTTTTTTTTTTTATTGTTTTCTCATTTTACCAAAACTGAAGTTTCAATATAAATGTATCTTCCTTTTACAAATTTACACGTCTGACTACCCAGAATATAGTACTGATGTTTCATGTTCGGAAAATTTCGATCCAGATGGCGCCTTAATCCGTATATTGCTGTTAGTATAAAAGAGGGACGAAAGATACCAAAGGGACAGTCAAACTCATAGATCGAAAACAAACTGACAACGCCATCGCCAAAAATAAAAAGACAAACATACAAATAAAAGCACAGATGACGCAACATAGAAAACTAAAGACTGAGCAACACGAACTCTACTAAAAACTGGGGGTGATCTCAGGTGCTCCGGAAGGGTAAGCAGATCTTGCTCCACATGTGGCACCAGTACCAGCCTTTATCGCAAATAAATTGTAAGTCCTGAACATGTTGTAATACATGTCGTCGAATATAAGAAAACAAATATCAATGTACATAAGGCGAGTTGTTAAATCTCCATAAAGAACGGTTATAAATAGTACGTAAATATCAGGTTGTTGCATAACGATACATTCGAATATCATTCGCTTGTTACAATATGAAGCCTTTTATAACTCGTTTGCCGCTATCACTAGACAATAAGATTTATATTGCGACCCAAAGTAAGTATTAAGGTGCACACTGAGCTGAAAATTGGATACTACCAGCTGCTCACGCTCATACAGGATGCGACATGTTTTCTATCATTGGAATATGCAAAAGAGACTTTTCGTTTTGAATTTTCCTCGGTATTTTTGTGATTTTACTTATTACAAGGCGACTCAACACAACCAATGCATGTATCAAAATTTGTCAATCTTGCTGGTTTAAATATAGACACATATGTTGCTGTGAAAAGTCAATTCATCGCGGAACAATATAACTCCAGAAGTGATGCTCAATCAGTACATGGTGATCTATACCTATTCGTGTCTTAGTCAATGAAAAAATATCTGCTGTAATGTTACGGTCAAGCTAATGACAAAAAAAAGAAATAAATAAAACAACACATTATAAATAACTTGTGTTCGAAGCGCTTTTCTGGATTTCAACTAATTTAAATAATTCACTAAGCCTGAACAAAACCAGCCATTTTGATATGATGTTATCTTAAAAGACAAAACAACTAAATAATAAGTAATGATCAGGATTTCCGTAAATTTCTAGACTTTTCGATTGCAGTCTACTAAAATCTGTTAAGTCTATGTGTAGACTGTTCAATATTTGTTAATTTTCGTACAAAAGAGCTAAAAACGAAATTCTATCAAAATAATAGATAATGATGATAATAGCGATTTGTCTGCAATCAAAACGTTTGAACAGTATTGGAAATATTTGAACACTTAATGTGTTTATGTTAAGATCACTATAATCATCTAAAACTAACATAGATGAACTAATGATTGTTCATGGATTTCCTTATTATTTTGCCCTTCAAATGATTTGATTGGGCTGACACTGATGATTCTTTTGTTGAAGAAACTATCGTCTAGGGTAATATATTAATAACATTCTTTTCGACAGAGTTGATAATATTGTTATTCTCGTTTTTACCATGAGTATATCAAAATCGCTGCAGGCCGAACAACTGTTCTAACGTGCACAATATCATTCTTGTGGTTCTTGTTTTGTGCATATATTTCAATTTAAGCAGCATTTATCTTTTTAAGCAGTGTTGTATCATTTGTTTTTATATATTTCAGCGAACTAGTCTATTTTACGTTATTTTTTTTTTTACATTTATAATTGATCTTAAACTTCATTTAATGATATCGAATAGCAATAGTAGTATTAAAATAATTGTATAACTGCTGCTACATACTGGAATATGCATACATCGACTGGTTTGCCAATATTTTCAACAGATGCTACAGAGACAACTGGATGCAAATAGCAAAAATCAAGATAAGCAGAATGAGAAAAATGACAGACGATACCAAAAGGTATACTAACTTATACCTACGTATCGATAAGTATTTAATAAAGTACTTGTCCTTATTTCAGGACATTCATATTTTAAGCATTAGCGGTATAGAAAAAACTGTTGCTCTTTTTCAGAAATCACTTCTGTTTCAGAATTTTGAAATTGTTGCCTCGAGAATAAAATTCTTTTTATCAAAAAAAAAGATATCAAGACTTCGTGGTTCATATCCAGAATCTTATATGGGACACTAATATTCACATAGTTTTAAAAACTAAAACTACTATTTCCGTTTTCTCTCTGAATGCAAAAGTATAAAATTCATGCAAAAGAATGTATCTGTAGACTGCTCCAAAATAGCACAGTATTGTCAGTCGGAATCTCCAACAGTTTGACATTTGATGTTTTAATTTATTTTCTAAATGTGTTTGATGAGGTTTTTGTGTCTGTTTTTACCTTTTTAAAGCACATTTATACTTATTTTTCAGTCACTGGAGTATTTATGATTTTTTATATACTGTAGTTCAGAAATTACAGTTAACGTTTTCAATTTTATTTTCGTTGAAATGTCTTACTGTTTTAGACTATGTTTTGAAAATGCTTAACACATTGTTATATAATTTAAAGATACAAAACATCAACAAATAAACCTGTATCTCTTATTTTTTGCTGCTTTAGATTATGAACAGACTGCAAAATGTGGATAATAGTTTGATAGGGATACAGCAACTGGTTGGTATCGAAATTAAGCTTTAACCTATTGTATCTGTTCTGCTCTTCAATAAGTATGCATGATAAATGATTATGATGGATAATTTTTTTTTCTAAAGGTACAATGTTTTTGTCAAGATCACAAATGACAGTCTTTTTATTAGACAAGGTTTTTTTTTATATTAAAACAAATTAAAAATATCACTTTATAAATTTTACGTGTGCGATAGCTTTTCTTCATTTACTGTCACAGGGAACGCGCAGACCTGAATATTTGACAGCCAGTACCTGGTTGTTCATCACTTGGTTAATTTTAACCAAGGGTTTAATCTCATAGATTTTTATTCTTTTGTTCATCCTGTGGTTGAATAAAACCTTTTGTTAAATCCTTGGATAGATAATTCAGACCTCAGATATAACTAAAACAACGGAACATTGCTGTCCAAAAGTACAATTCCCTGTTTAAAATACGATTCGAAAGGTCAATAAATGTTTGGGAAAACGTTTTTTTCCCCGTTTTCTGTGGCCATTAGCTCATCAAACACTTATCATGTTTATCAGATTTTACAGTCCAATCCCCATTTTGCATGTATATTTGTACCTATAAAAATAATGAAATCAACATCTTTTTTCCACTGTTATCTTCCCTGTCAATAAACAAGTTGATGTAGAAAAAATCAACATATTTCAGTTTAATTATGTATTTATCTACAATAAAGTACAATTCTACGATCAATGTTCCTTTTTAAACAAACGGTGTTCTCTGTCACGTCCGCGTTGTTGTCGTACTATGTAATGAATGCAGACGCTGAAAGGTGTATCGTTTATAACAAGTAATCATATCTATTGACCAAAAAGTTTTATAGGACCAGAGAAAATTGTTTAAAATTCTTTTTTTTTTTTAGATTAGCATTCATTAAACGTTTAACAAGGAGTTCCGTTACCCCTGGTTAAAAAGAAGTTGAACAACCGAAATCTAACCTTTGGTTACGCCACCATCATTTTAAAGGATTAAACAAAGGATTATATTTAACCAAGAGATAAACAACCGGGTCCAGGGATGTGTAAATTATTAGAATTTTTAGTAGTTATCTGAACAAAAGGAGCTAAAAAGAATAACCAAATTCATTTAGATTTAAAGGATTATCCTCAGGCATAACTGGTTTCTAGCCCTAAATTTAAATTGTTTGGTATATTTGGCTTTCAATAACTCATCCATACTTGCAATTTCATGACGCAAGTACATGTTTGCGTGGAAATAAACTCCATTGCCAAGAGCGTTTATTTTTGGCATCCAGAAACTCCTATGTTGTTGGTTTTTTTAGATACCACTCTTACGATGCCTAATGATTCTAAACTGATAATTTTGTTACATAAACTCTAACACAATATACATATCTCTTTTTGAAAACAAAATGAACAACATGACTGCATGAATATTGCATGTATTTATAAAAATAAGGAGATGTGGTATGATTGCAACTATCCACCATAGTTCAAATGAAGTGGATGTAAGCATGTTTTCAATCAATATTGTAGTTGTAGTATGTTTCTTTATGCTGTACGTGAGATGTTTTGCACTTTCAGTTATCAAGAATTGCCAAATCGATAAAGGAGGAAGAAGAAGTTGTGGTGGAAAAAGAAGTCAAAAATGTTCTAAACTCTTCTTCTTCGGATGAGAATGATTCTGACAGTCTGTCAATTTCTTCAGATGAATACTCAACAGGTAAGAACAATATGTTTACCAACTTTATATTCAAAATATATTTCATTTAGAAAATTATTAAGAAGCAAGGGTTCCAGCTCCTTTAGGCGAAGTTGACTTTTTGAATTTTGCTATTAATTCTTGGTTCCTTTTCGTTAAAAAGCTCTTAACAACGTGTTTACGTATGTATGCATCCTGGCTTTTACATGTTTGGTCTGAACGGAGGAGAGATGTTTAACAAATCTCACGGTAAGTGTTTTCCAAAAAAAAAACAAATAAACTGTTGAATAAGGTATACATTAATGGCGATACGGCTTTGCATGCAATAATAAGTATATGGTTTTTTTTTTCATCTTAAAGTCATATGGTACTTATTACAATTATCTTAAATGTTGAGTATGCTTGAAATGCTTAATTGTTTAGTACTAAACATATGTATGTAGACTTTTTTGTCAAAGAAAATCCTTCATCTCATCAAAATCTTCAGAAATATACTGCTACTGAAAGATTGTCTGCCCGTACGCTAATTCACCGATAGCTTCTCCGTATATAATTAAATTAAAAGTGATATCAGATGTACGGTAAAGATACAGCGCAAGTGCGATGGAAATCCCGTGATAAAAGAAAACACACGTGCAATGAAAATAAAAAATAGTGTTAATTGTTTCTTAAAAAACATTTTAAAATACAACAAACCATTTCAGAAATGTTATGACTGTATTTAATTAACTCGTTGAAAAGCATGGGAAATAAAACAAAAGAAACTTCGCTATACCAACTCACTATCGTTTCTTGTGCTCCGTGATTCTCTGTTGAATTTTAATTTAGGTCGGGATCGGTAAACTTCGGTATTATCAAAACACAAAAGTTAATTATCAGTAAAATTTTTGATAAACAATCATTGCATTAAATGTTTGTGTCAATGGTGCGTTATGGATTAGTATTAAATATAAGTAAAACGCGCTAGACATGCATGCGTTGGTGCAATAATTTCCTAAACATTATAATTTTATGAATCTCGTTTCCATTGACTATATCAAAATGTAAATAAACTATTATAACTAGCTCGAAATCAACATGCGGACATCTTATACGTTCAGGTATTTCAAATCCAATCTTTTATAGTAATGAATATACAAAACGCAAAAATGTCGGTCATTCACCTTAAAAGCTAACTTAACCTTTAAACATACTTATTCAGAAGGGATATGGTTACAATACTGTTGTCAGGTCATTAAAGGTGGCATACTTTGGTATTAATATTGATTCACGCATAGGGTCTTTGCATCTCAAATAAATACATTTATTCTAAAACCAGTTGTTGGCATGATACGGGTTATGTTCCTCCCATATGCTTCATGATGGTATAATACTTAACCCCTAACGAGAGGGATTGTGCTTGTTTTTCATATGATGAAGACATAATCTTTCAATCAGTTTAATTGAAGTCTGGAGCTGGCATGTCAGTAATTGCTAGTAGTCGTTTGTTAATTCATGTATCAATGTCATTTTGCTTAGTTTCTTTTGTTACCTATTCTGACATCGGGCTCGGACTTCTTTTAATCTAAGTTTTACTGTGCGTATTGCTATGTGTTTGGTAATTCTACATTGGCTAGAGGTATAGGGGAGGATTGAGATCTCTCAAAACATGTTTAGCCCCGCCGCATTTGTGCGCATGTCCCAATTCAGGAACCACTGGCCTTTGTTAGTCTTCAATGTTTGTTTAATGTTAGTTCATTTATATGTTTTGGAGTTTAGTGTGACATCCATTTTCACTGAACTAGTAACCATTTTTGTTTAGGGGTCAGCTGAAGCCCGCCTCCGGGTGCGGGATTTTCTCGTTGTGTTGAAGACCCATTAGAGGCCTTGGGCTGTTTTCTGCTCTTTGATCGGGTTGTTGTCTCTTTGACACATTCCCCATTTCCATTCTCAACTTTATCAAATATGTGTGCAATGTTTTTGTTTTTTTTAAATATTTCCTCGGTTCGACTTCTTATTCGAGCAAATATTTCATGCTTTCAAATCGCATATAGTAAAACAACTTAACGAAACATATTGGTGACATATTTGTATTGTCTTATGTATAACAATTTCATCAAGATAAAACTCATCAAACTTATAACTAAATACAACAGACACACTTTTCGAATAATATCAAATGTATAAGTCGATTCAAAACATTTTGTAGACCGACTAATCCTAAGTCATCCAAATGTACTAGTATGCAATGAATCATAAGCAAATTACTGATCCAATATCAGATTGTTTTATATTTTGTAGACGAATAAGATTGTAAAATGCAGAAGTCCGGTTGCAGATACTGCTGATATGCTGTGAAACGAACCGATATTTTGGGAATAGTGACTTAACATGCAAAACTAGTAGTCTAATTATGTTTACTTTATGTGACTTCATAATAACCCCTTTCTATTCATCAACTGTAATCCACTCATTTATATATAATCACAGTTCCAACTTCACAGTTTTTATTTAGTTGGTATGTCATTAATTACAAGGCCACGTTAATGTGCTGTAAGGTGTTTATATTTGAAATGGTTATCGTGGCTATTCCTCATGAGTCCAAAATAGTTTTCATTTGTCTTTTAAACTGTTTAATTTGCTTAAGTGTCAAACTGATAAAGGTCAGCAGGAAACTGCACATCAATACTTGCATAACATGATATGTCCGACATGTTTTTATGAAATAGTTGAATTTTAAACTTAAGTATGCTGAAAGTGTCAGTTCCTGATTATTTGACTGAAAAAAAATAGAAGTAAGCCACGCATGAAATTGATAAATGTTCAACAGATTACAAAAACAATATATTTCTAGATGTTTCGACACATACATTAAGGTGACTGTAGTCAACCAATATTCAAATCAGAAAGATATCGCAATCAGTGCCGGATACGATTTAATGTTTTTGATCTAGTCGTACAAATGCTATTTTTTTATTTATATATTTGGCCCCAGTTATGGTCCTAAATCTGTGTTGCAAAGCCCTGCTAATTCTTAGCAATAGCATACAAAACTGTGCACACATTTTAAGAGACACAAGATTATTGGTTTTTATAAGTTAAAAGCACCATTTAAATCATGCACTCAAACGTGTACATTGAAGTACATTACCATTTACAGATTTACAGTAATAAGTGCACATTTCACACAAAAGCTGTTCCGTCATATGATTTCATTTCGTTTGAACAACCGAATGCCGTATGAAAGCAACCAAAGATACCTAAACAATCAATATTATGTTTTTCGCATTTAAGCCTCTTTCATGTAAGTTTTCAACAAAATTTTATAAATAGCAAATGCGTCTGTAAAACTATGGATATGGATATAAGTTGTGAGGAGAAAAAAAAACAGCTGTTGCTTTATATTCATTTTCGTTTCTTATGGTTTTGTTTAGCTTTTTTTTTTCTAATTTTCCGAGTTATCATTGCTACAAAGGAAAATACTAATACATTATTGTTTTAACAGTTTAAGTTTATAAAAATATAGTTTTTAATTGTGCCGTTTTCAGCTCTAGTAATCCGATTTACTAATTGTTGGGGAAATATGATCATATTGATAATGTTTCTTAAGACACCATAGAATTTAATCAGATAAATAAGTGTAGTTTGTAATCAATTCTAACAAAACTATCATTGTAACATTCTAGTTTTTAATAAAGTAATTTACCAAAAGAAAACATGGTTTAATGTATATGTATATATAACCACATAAATGAGATAATCACAGTTTATCGGGGATAATGATAGATAATCGGTCGACCATTATAGATGTACGCCGTAAATTATAATTATTAGTCGTAAATGCATTTACGAAATTATCGTCGACAATCTATCATTATCTATGATAAATGAATTAACGGTCGACAATCTATATTAAATGAACGCGGGAACCACATTATTGGATAAGAACAGATTAACGTGGGATTCGTTAATGCATTTAGGCCCTGTTTTCAAAAACAATTCATATGTACCCAATTACAATGCGTAATCGACCATGCTAAATAATTTCGTCCAGTCATATCCATCGATTCAAATGACAACACATTCAAGCCAAATGGATCGTCTAGCTAATTATCACCAACCGTCAATTGCATGAATTGATAGTGTTTAAGAATTGAATAATTGGTTTTTGGTGAAATTAATACAAAATTGATATGATGCAAGTTTAAAGTTATTAATATTTTTACGTTTGCAACAGACAGGAATCCTAGGAAAAGTATACTAATGATAATATTACTAAGTAAATAAATTATAACTGGCACTAATTTCGTATATAATTATGGCAATCCGTTGTTACATTTATTCTCTATTTATTAATATTAATTTTACATTTTATAATATTAAAAAGTAATTTTTTGATATAAATAAATCTAATTTTTAATATAAAAAAATTTCAGTCGGATATATTAATATTTTCAAGGATTTGTATAGTAAGTCTTACCATGGAAGTAATAGTGTCTTACTATTCAAATCCTTGATATTTTTAATGCGTTTTTAATATAAGTTAATATGCTGATTTTTTAATGTTAAAAAAAATCATTTTTTAATATTCAAAAATCGACATCAATGTAACCGTTGGCCTTACTGGTGGATTTACCGGGGGCACGTGCCTCCCAGTCTAGTTCAACAAAAACAAATTCTAATATAATATTGTATTGCTACTGAATCTAGAGAGGAAGTTAATCACAGATTGATTTGACTTCTTAACTGGCCGTTAATTAACCCCAGCTTCAACATGTGTGATTTGTGACAACTTATCGGGTAGATGTGTCAATATTGACACTTGTGTGTAATGTCTCTTTTCAAAAGATTTGATGTAAACTATTTACATGTACATTGATTGGGAAAGTACGAATAATTTTATTAGTTTTTAATACAATATCACAGATTAAGATCGATTACCAGGTGATATATTCTGATCAGGAAAGAAATGACTACTAACAAAAATCTGTGTTTTGTACAAATAAGTGTTTAGTGCCAAGAATGTTAGTTTAGTTTAAACATATTTTATTGTCTAAATATACAATATGATTAGATACAAGTTATAACAACTTAAAATAATCCTCTCCAAATAAGTACAATATACAAAATTTCAAAATAACAGCATATATATTTCAGTACAATATCAAAAATATATACAACAAATATATTATGTTAATACAGTAACAGTTGGATACGAGTACACTTTAAGATACAGCAATATTCATCCAAGAATCTTTTTGTATGGCGTATATAACTATGTACATTTCTGAAAAGGGTTGTGTTTTGTTCTACACTAATTTCGTCTGTTCCAAATAAAATATGTTCTATGGAAATAGCAACTAAGTGTTGAATGTTTTCAGAGAACTGGAGTCGATTTCACAAAAAAAACTTACCACTAAGATTGATCGTAAGTATACTGAATTTTCAAGATTTACGATCAATCTTAGTCTTAAGTATTTTTGTGAAACCGACTCCTGATAACTAAAATTTATGTAGAGTGGACATTCTAAGAAAAAATGAATCGAATCTTCTAATGGACACCCACTTTCACAACTTGGGTCATTTACTAATTAAATTAACTCTGTATTTATAAATCAGCTTTTAAAGGACTACATCTGTGACGTAATTTTGTATGCAATATATTTTCCAACCTGTTTCCTATTAAATAATATTTAGGTACCAAAAATGAAATATCATCTCGCCAGATTGTGTTTGTGAAATTTGGAGATGATTGAATGGATCTATTTTCTAACGGTACTGAATTCCATGCACGAATTGAAGAAAGGGGAAAAGGATTTAGAAAATATGTCCAGTCTACATCTCGTTACTCTATAGTGAGAACGGTTTCTAGTATTATAATTGACAAGAATGTTAGTATCGATATACGGGATATGTCTTCATTACAAAATTCTCACATTACCATTTTTGTGATTTTCTTTCTTCAAACTGTTTTTTTTTTTTTTTGTGAATTTATTCAACAAGAAACTTTTTTTTTCTAACTGTTTTTTTTTTTAAACTGAATGTCGTTTTTTTCTTTTCACTCCTATTTTCAATGGAAACCAACAATTTGTTTAAAAACAAACTGCATGCACCCACCTTCTTACCACAAAAAAATTTGATTGTCATTTTCTGATATATAATCATTAATAAAAAACAATTAAATATCATAAAAAATAATCTTGAACTATGATATATTTATCTATTTGTCCAAGCATACACTAATATATGACACATGTACATACATGTATGAGGCTAGGAACGGGTCACCATTTCTAGGGATAAGAATGGGATCCGAGACATTTGATATATGTATCTGATGGTGTTAACAGAAAAGAGAATGATGGGACCAATAAATATCAATAAATGTAAATAACAGAATAAAGAGGTGGTTGTTGGTTGCTAAACGTCCAGTGGCAAATATTACATGTATGCTTAGGACAATTAGTGGCAAATATTACATGCATGCTTAGGACAATTATAATACAGATCAATTGGCAGAAGAACAAAGAATACAGTGAAATGGTATGGACTTATAGAAACGACGATCTGACACCTACTCCCCTATTACTACCACACTCGCATATATACATCGCTAAATAAATATTGAATTTTGGTCTCATGGTTCTTTTTTTCTGGAACATTGATTACATTCTCTACAAGTTGGCTTTCCTTTGACACAACTATTTACCCTTGTCTTAAAATATCAGACTGTTGATATAGCTTACTCAGTCGTGATACTCATGAGTTCTCGAGTAATCGTATACATGTTTAATGTCTTAATTTGTGAAAAGTTTTTTTTTTTTGGGGGGGGGGGGGGGGGAGGATACAGTAATTTTGTTATTATCTTCATAAACCTTATTATAGTATGATAACATCGCTTGACATCTTAACGGAAGACATACATATATTATTATTGGCTATTGATGAATATTTTATAGCTATAGTAGATACTCATTGAATGTCTTATAGTTATATCAGGTACTTGATGAATACCATATAGTCATAGCAGTTACTTGAGAAATAGCATATTGTCATAGTAGGTACTTGATGAATATCATACTATCAGTGCAGTTACTTGAAGAATGTTCTTGTTGAATGTCCTATCGCCATAGCAGTTACTTGAGAAATGTTCTATAGTAATAGCAGTTACTTGATGAATATCCTATTGTAATAGCAGGTACTTGTTGAATATCCTATAGTCATAGCAGTTACATGATGAATATCCTAATGTCATAGTAGTATCATGACGAAAATGCAATTGTAATAGCAGGTACTAGATGAATTTCCTGCAGTCATAGCAGTTACTTGATGAATATTCTGCAGTCATAGCAGTTACTTGATGAATATCGTATAGCCATAGCAGTTACTTGAGAAATATCATATAGTCATAGCAGGTACTTGAGAAATGTTCTATAGTAATAGCAGTTACTTGATGAATATCCTATTCTCATAGCAGGTACTTGTTGAATATCCTATATTCATGGCAGTTACATGATGAATATCGTAAAGTCAAAGTAGTTACTTGAGGAATATCCTATTTTCATAGCAGGTACTTGTTGAATATTCTATAGTTATAGCATGTTCTTGTTGAATGTCCTATCGTCATAGCAGTAACTTGATGAATATCCTATAGTCATAGCAGGTACTGGATGAATATCCAATTGTAATAGCAGGTTGTTGATGAATATCCTATTGTCGAAGCAGTTACTTGTTGAATATCCTATAGTCATAGCAGTTACTTGCGGAATATTCTATAGTCATAGCAGGTTCTTGTTCAATGTCATATCGTCATAACAGTAACTTGATATATATCCTATACTCATAGCAGGTACAGGATGAATATCCTTCAGTCATATCAGCTACTTGTTGAATATTCTATAATCATAGCAGTTACTTGATGGATATCTTATTGTCATAGCAGGTACTTGATGAATATTCTATAATCATAGCAGTTACTTGATGGATATCTCATTGTCATAGCATGTACTTGATGAATATCCTATTGTCATAGCAGCTACTTGTTGAATATCCTACATTCAAATAAGGGAATTGATGAATATCCCATAGTCAAAACAGGTACTTGATGAATATCTTATAGTCATAGCAGTTACTTGATGAATATCCTATTGTCATAGCAGGTACTTGATGGATATTCTATAATCATAGCAGTTACTTGATGGATATCTTATTGTCGTAGCATGTACTTGATGAATATCCTATTGTCATAGCAGCTACTTGTTGAATATCCTACATTCCAATAAGGGAATTGATGAATATCCTATAGTCAAAGCAGGTACTTGATGAATATCATTTGGTCAGAGGAGTTACTTGATGAATATCCTATTGTCATAGCAGGTAGATGATGAATATCATATACTCATAGCAATTACTTAATGGCTATCCTATTTGCATAGCATGTACTTGATGAATAAACTATTGTCAAAGCAGTTACTTGATGAATATCCTATAGTCAAAGGAGGTACTTGATGAATATCCTATTGCTATATCAGGTACTTGATTAATATTATATACTCATAGCAGGTACTTGTAAAATATCATATTGTCATAGCAGATACTTGATGAATATCCTATATTCAAAGTAGTTACTTGTTGATTATCATATAGTCATAGTAGGTACTTGGTGAATATCCTATAGTCATTGCAGGTACTTGATGAATATCCTATTGTCATAACA